CGAGAAAGACCCCGCGCGCCTCTGGGTTAGCCCCACGTCTCCTGCTGCTCAGGAAAAGGCTTTCTTTGACGAGCAATTTGGTCCATTTTACCGCGCCGAAAAGGTTTTCTTGGTCAACGACCAGCACTCCAGCGGCCCAGCCTCCGTTCTCAGCTATGATACGCTGATCTGGTGGATGGGTGTCGAAAAGAGCGTCAAGCAGCTGAAGGGCCCCAAGTTTGGCGCGACCCTCAATGACATCTGCTTAAAGCCTACTGGCACCTCCTGTGTTGTCCAGTCCGTGGCGACCTACTTTGGCGACGAGCCCTCCCTTGTCGGCAAGAATGACTGGGAGGATCAACTGCGACAGTGCGCAAAGTCCCCCGTCGAGTGCCGTCCTGATTTCGGTCTTCCTCTCGAGCCGAACATGATTCTAGGCGGTTACGAGGACGATCCCGCCGCTGCTCATGCCATGACTGTCACCTGGGTCGTCCAAAACGCAGCTGAAGGTAGCCCGGCCGTTGAGCGTGCCATGGACTGGGAGGTTGCGCTTCGCGACCGCCTTCTCGAGGTTCAGCAAGAAGCTTCGGACCGAGGACTTCGCCTTTCCTTCTCTACCGAGATCAGCTTGGAGCAGGAGTTGAACAAGTCAACCAACACCGACGCCAAGATCGTGGTCATCAGCTATATCATCATGTTCCTCTACGCCTCGCTTGCCCTCGGATCCACTACGCTGTCATTCCGGGATATGATCAGGAACCCAGCTGTCGCTTTGGTCCAGTCCAAATTCTCCCTCGGCGTTGTTGGCATCCTAATTGTCCTCATGTCCATCAGCGCCTCCATCGGTCTTTTCTCCTGGTTCGGACTCAAGGCGACGCTCATCATTGCCGAGGTTATTCCCTTCATCGTTCTTGCCGTCGGTGTTGACAACATTTTCCTCATCGTTCACGAGTTTGAGCGCGTCAACGTGAGCCACCCTGATGAGATGGTCGAGGAGCGTATTGCCAAGGCCCTGGGCCGAATGGGTCCGTCGATTCTTCTCTCAGCCATGACCGAAGTCGTCGCTTTTGCTCTCGGGACGTTCGTGGGTATGCCCGCGGTGCGCAACTTTGCCGCCTATGCCGCTGGTGCTGTCTTCATCAACGCCATCCTTCAGATCACGCTCTTCATTTCAGTTCTGGCCATGAACCAGATTCGCGTGGAGGACCATAGGGCAGATTGTATCCCGTGCCTGCAGGTCAAGGCAGCCCGTGTCCACTTGAGTGGCGGAAACGGCAATGCCAATGCGCGGTTCTACGAAGTCCCGGAAGAAAGCTGGCTGCAGCAGTTCATCCGTCGTACATACGCACCGGCCATTCTCGCAAAGCAGGCCAAGGCGATCATTATCGCCATCTTCTTGGGTCTCTTTGCCGCTGGAATCGCACTTATTCCCGAGGTGCAACTTGGCCTGGACCAGCGCGTTGCCATCCCCGACGGCTCTTATCTCATCCCCTACTTCAACGATCTTTACAAATACATGGAGACTGGTCCTCCTGTCTACTTTGTCACCCGTGAGTTCAACGCGACTGCGCGCAAGAACCAACGCGAGATCTGCGCAAGATTCACCACCTGCGACCAATTCTCCCTCTCCAACATCCTGGAGGGTGAGCGCAAGAGACCCGATGTCTCATATATCTCATCGCCCGCTGCCAGCTGGATCGATGACTTCTTCTTGTGGCTTAACCCTGACCTCGGCGATTCGTGCTGCGTTGAGAACGGCAAGGCATGCTTCGCTGATCGTAACCCGCCATGGAACATCACCCTGTCGGGTATGCCCCAGGATGGCGAGTTCGTCCACTACCTCGAAAAGTTCCTCAAGGCGCCTACTAATGACGACTGCCCGCTCGGTGGCCAAGCATCCTATGGTAATGCAGTGGTGGTCGACTCGGAGAAGGACACTATCCCTGCCAGCCACTTCAGAACGATGCATACCCCGTTGCGCAGCCAGGACGACTTCATCAACGCCATGTCGGCAGCCCGACGAATCGCGTCCGACATTACAAAGTCAACGGGTGTTGAGGTTTTCCCTTACAGTCTTTTCTACATCTTCTTTGACCAGTACGCCAGCATCGTCTCGCTCACAGGAGCTCTTCTCGGTTCGGCTGTGGCAATCATCTTTGTCATTGCATCCATCCTTCTGGGATCCCTCATGACGGCGCTGGTCGTCACCGTCACAGTCTGCATGACCGTCGTCGATATTATCGGAGCAATGGCAGTCTTTGGCGTGTCACTGAACGCCGTATCGCTCGTCAACTTGATCATCTGCGTCGGTATCGGTGTGGAGTTCTGCGCGCACATTGCGAGGGCGTTCATGTTCCCGTCGCGCACCGTCATGGAGCGCGCCAAGAACCGCTTCCGTGGCCGTGATGCCCGCGCCTGGACGGCTCTGGTTAATGTTGGAGCCTCCGTCTTCTCTGGTATCACCGTCACCAAGCTTCTTGGAGTGTTCGTGCTGGCATTTACGAGGTCAAAGATCTTTGAGATCTACTACTTCCGAGTGTGGCTGTCCCTGGTTGTTTTCGCAGGCACTCACGCCCTCATCTTCCTTCCTGTTGCTCTCAGCTTGTTTGGAGGAGAGGGATACGTTGACCCCGAGAGCGAGGGCGGCATCGAGGAGGATCTTGCCAGCCGCAGATACCGGGCTCTCGTCCCGGACGAGGAGACTGATTCGGACGACGACTATTAGAATGATTATGGCTTTACCTAGGTTTTGTAATAATAGTGTTGGGAGTAAATAAAGTGGGATTTTGCATTTCATCCAAGTGTGCCTTTTTTTGATATTATCTTTGGTAAAGTTCATGATGGGTTCCTTCCAATCACGCTCGCCTGTTGTAGAACGTGCAAATTAGGGGCATGGGCAATTCAACAGCCAATGTCGTTAGGCACCATGGCTGTTTAGGCAATTCTGCAAGTATTACTTTGATCGCACTTTTGTTGAAGAACCGGAGGCTGGGCATTCTGAATGGCAATCCACGGGATGCGTGTACCTAGTGTGACGACAAGGCGAAATGGCAAGCCTGACGTGCGGACGCAACGCGGTGCCACCAACGGCGATGTGCCACATCGGCGGGCGGGAAGTGGAAGTGGATTGCGGTGACATGGTTTGACAGCGCATCATGCCCATTGGGTGTGGGTTGGGCTGTAGCGCGGGGTGGGTGGTACCATTATCACTGGTATTCGTTCATCGTCTATGTTCCACGGATGGCATCGCAGCGTCTGTAAACTGAGATGCAAGACATTCAATGGGTCTACCTCTTGCGTTGAACTTGTTGAAGCTGGAGGGGTCGAAGGCTGTTGAAGTGTACCCATTTTAGGGGTCCAACACCAGAGCAAACGTTCAGTTTTCCATCCCATGTGTTTCCTCCATACCAAAAGTGATATGGAGACTTTTTGGTCACGAGAGAAGCCAGAATTTTTTTCAAGACGAAGAAAACCCCCCCTTACAAGACTCTGTACCTTTGTACTTGGACAGAAATGATGATTATGTACGGAGTAATACGAAGAGGGAAATATAATTAAACCAAAAAAGTAACCGGGGCTCTGGGAGGGGAGCTTCACCTGAGGGTCAAATTTCCGTATGATAAATTGGCGGGTTTTTCTTGTCGCTCGCGCCCCTTTGCGACTCGTAACTTTTGTAAGGGTCTCATTGTCTCTGCGTCGCAAAGAGAGAGCACAAGGCGCGTTCCTCTTCTAGCAGAGGCCGCGGCGCGTGAAATGGACGGGATGGTTGATAGCTAGTCAGGCTAGTTCAGGGGCTCGCTGATGATGGGCTCGGTGTTGTGAATCGACGGGAAGCTTTATTCGCATGTGTGCAAGTAACTGTACAAAATACAGCAGATTCAATTGCTTTTACCTTCCTGTCCCGCCCATGAGTTGTTCAACTCCATGGCTTCTCTGGAGTCCTGGACCCTCTCATCCGATACTCCCCATCGGCCTCTCTCAGTCTGGCCTTACTGGGACGAATGGAAAGGAGCGGACGGATCAGAGTTGGCAGCCAGCGAGGACAGGTCCGACTCAGTCAATGCCATACCTGCGCCGATCCCGCGAGCCAGTGGTCTTGTGACGCCGTTTGGGCGCTGAGCGAATGGAAACGAGTTATCCAGAGGTTGCATAAAGATGATGGAACAGGCGCTTCCTGGGACCGAGATTGGGGGGGACAGAAATGTTTGGAACGTGGAGAGACACACACAGTGACACAGCACAAAAGATACGTACAGGTAAGGTACCTGTGGTGGAGAACGTGTCGAAGCCAATTGGACACGCTCATATCTCGCCAGCGAATGGCAGGCTGCGAAAAAGAAGACCCACCGCCCGAGCTCCCGAAGCGAGAGCCGCCCGCTGTCAGCACTGTCCACTGGTTGGCTCACCTCTGAGAGCTCAGAACCAGAGGTACCTTATCGCTGGTGCTGGCAGTCAGGGGTAAGGTACCGACCGCTAAACTTGTTTCCTCTCCCCAAGACGAGGAGCTTGGGAAACAGAGAAACAGAACGATAGAGCCTGAGGGCCATGTGGCAATGCCGTGAGAGGTCCTCGGTAGCCATTGGATGTTCAGGCAATGGATCTCTTTATCCTGCTGCATACGTGTCTTGGGTGGCTTTCGCCCAATGTTCTGGCCTGGCTTGCAGATGTCTCGCTGTTCTCGTCGGGTGTCAGTGCTTCAGACAGCTGGGGATGCATCCTCTGCCTTAAGTTACCTTACCATAGGTACCTTAGTGCAGTGCCTGTGCCGGGCATGCATACATTGGATCGTCTCTACAACCTTAGTAGAGCCTAGACAGAAGTAGATGCCTCATTCCATGCTTGGCTTGAGATGATGGTGGAAAAAGGGTCCTGTCTGTGATCTGAGGTGCTGAGGTACCTGACGGACAAAAAAGTACTTGAAGCTTATGACTGATTGTTGGACACGGCCAGCGTCGTCTCCAGCGTCTCCATGTCCCCCATGTTGCTCCATCCGCCAATCTCGAAGCAACCCTTTTTTTTTTCTCTCTTCTATATACTGCGTAAATCCTCTACCAGGAGTCCAGGACCCATGGCCTTACCTAATTAGACACCTCACCTTTCTCTCTCTACCTCACCCAGAGGTACCGGCTCAATTCCTTCCTCTGCCTTGGTCCAGCAATTTCCCAGCTCCCAATTCCTCTTCAACCCCCTCTCTCACACCTCTGTCCAGCTCTTTCGCCACGGTTCAGAGCTTCCCAACCTGTAGATATCACGACGGCATTTCCGTGTCGTTTCGTGCGTCATTCGTACTCTTGTTTCGGCTTTCCTTTCAACTATTTTGTTGCCATCGTTCTGTTGATTTCCCCCGCGGTGAAAGTTTAAGCTTTCCCAAACAAGGAAAGTCAAGCAGCAAGGAGAAGGGGAAAAGGACAAGAAGCAAAGAAGAAGAAAAAAAAGGAGACGACCAAGCAAGACACCACCGCGTACGACGTGTCGCAAGGTAAGTCACAACAACCAAGCACCAAATTTGTCCTTCTCCGGCCTCAATTGTCGTCTTTTGAGACCTCAATGCAGCTCTGCATAACCATCTCAGAGACCTTCTTACCACCCCAGGAATGCTGGAATGCTGTGGCTCTCACCACAATGTTGCTCTTCCGCCTACTTCCCTCCTTCGTCTCTCCCAATTCCTGCAGCCACCCGAGATCCCTTCCCCAACACTTCCTCATGAACTGCCTTAGCTGACCTGGATAACGCGCAAGCAGAACCGCCCGAACGACGACACCCTCTCCTCCTCCCGGACGTCCCACCATCGTCTACAATCATGTCCGACGCCGGTAGCTTCGAGGTCGTCCAGCACGACGAGGCCCCCAAACCCGCCGCCGCTGCTGCCACCACCTCGCCGAGCACAAAGTCCACCGCCTCAGCTGCCTCTTCCCTGAAGAAGCCCGCTTCGAGCTCTGGAACCACCGCCGCTGCCCGCCGCCCGACAACGTCCACCTCGAGCACCGGAAAGCCTGCGAGCACCACCTCCTCCACTACCTCTCGTGTCGCCGGCGGCCTGACCAAGCCTCCTACCCGCCCCCCCGGAAGCAGCTCCAGCACTGCCAGCAGCACCGTCCGCAAGCCCGCGAGCGCCTCCTCCACGGCCACCCACCGCTCGAGACCCAGCGTATCCGCCTCCGAGGACGAATCCAAGAGGACCGCCCGCCGCACCTCCACTGTTCCCAGCAGCAGTGCCGCCTCCCCGAGCAAGGAGAGAAGGACTTCCACCCTTGGTACCGCCACGGCCGCCGCCAGGAAACCTGCCAGCTCCACCAGCAGCTCGTCCGCCGCTCCGCGACTCTCCTCGACGACATCGCGCACCCCGAACTCGGTAGCCCCGCGTCCCTCCTCGATCAGCTCCCGCTCCTCCGCCGCCACCGGTACCGGCGCCGTTGCCGAGGCCAAGAAGCGCCTGTCCACCGCCTCCACCTCGACCACCTCCTCCGCCGCTCCCAGACGGTCGATCCGCCCCGATTCGTCCGGCGCCTCCGAGGCCCTTGGAAAGGAGGTCGAATCTCTCAAGGCCCAGCTCACCGAGAAGGAGACCCAGCTCGCGGACAAGGAGTCGCAACTGAACGAGCTCAAGACACAGGTCCAGCAGACCCAGGACAAGCTCACCCAGTACACCGACGGGGTGAACAGAGATGCCGTTCAGGTGAGGAACGCCGTGTACAACATCCAAAAGGCCCACCAGGACCAGGTTACCGAGTTGAAGGCTAAGCAGACGGAGCTCGAGAACCAGGTGGATGAGGCCAATGAACATCTAATGGCCACCGATGCTGACTACGAGAAACAGCAGAGCGACTACACTGAGGCTGTTGCCGCCAAGGAAGCCGCCGAGGCCGAGCTTGCCTCGATGAAGCAGTCCCTCGAAACGCTCCAAGCGGAGCACGACGAGAAGCTCAAGGAAAGCGAGTCCGCCCTGGCCAAGGCCTCGGAGGAGCACGCCGCCAAGCTCGAGGAGCTGCAGAGCTCCCTGACGGACCAGCACAAGTCTGCTATTGACGCTCTTGAGGCCAAGCACAGCGAGGCGCTCAGCCAGGGCCAGTCCGCCTCCGCCGACAGCGAGGAAGCGCTGTCCAAGATGAAGGACAGCCACGAGACCGCCATCGCCGAGCTCCAGAAGAAGATTGACGAGCTCACCGCCTCCCAAACCGAGCTCGAGGCCGCGCACGAGAGCAAGGTCTCTGCCGAGGTCGAATCGCACAACACCAAGCTCGCCGCCGTTGAGGGCGAGATCGCCGAGCTCAAGACCAAGCTCGAGGCTGCCGAGAAGACAGCAGAGCAAGCCAAGGCTGACCTCGACGCCAAGACGGCTGAGCTGGCCGAGGTCCAGGCCAACGTCGCCGACCTGGAGAGCAAGCTTGCGGCCGCTGAGACCGACGTCGCCAAGGCCAAGGAGGAGGCTCTCGAGTTCCAGAAGCAGATTGACAGCATCAAGGAGGAGATCACTGCCAAGGACGAGGCCCTGGAGAAGGCCAAGGCGGAGCACTCGGCCCAGGTCAAGAAGCACGACGCCGAGCTCAAGCAGATTTCTCAGGACTACGAGGAGGAGATTGAGTCCCTCAAGGGAGACGCCTTCTTCAAGCGCAAATTCCAAGATCTCGAGGTCAAGCACACCGAGCTCGAGACTGAGCATGGCGACCTGAAGAACAAGCACACCGAGCTGGAATCGCAGCACAGCGACCTCACCAACAAGCACGGCGAACTGGAGTCGAAGCACACCGAGCTTACCACAAAGCACGGCGAACTCGAGACCCAACACGGCGATCTTTCCAAGAGCCTCGCTGACGGCACCGAGACAAGCACCAAGGCTCTCGAGGCGGCCAAGGCTGAGCTTGCCGCCGCTGTTGCTGCCTTGGAAGCACGGGAGGCCGAGCACCAAAAGGCGCTCGACGCTATTCGCGCTAGCCACGCCGAGGAGCTGGAGGGTGCCAAGAGCGGAGCTTCTGCCGACAAGGACGCTCAGCTTGCCGAGCTCCAGAGCCTGAAAGACAGCCACGCGAAGCAACTCGAGATCCTCAAGACCGACAGCGAGGCCAGCCTTGCCAAGGAGCTCGAGGCTCTCAAGGCCTCTCACTCTGAAGTTGTCGAGGCTCTCCACGCGGAGACTGCCGGCGACAAGGAGAAGCTGCTCGCCGAAATCGCTGCCGAGAGAGAGAAGGCCTTGGCGGAGAGCACTGGTAACAAGGAAGAGCTTCTTGCTGCCCACAAGGAGGAGCTCGAGTCCATCACCAAGAAATTGCGTGCCGATCACGAAGCCGAGCTTGCTGAGCTCAAGGAGAAACTGGCGAGCTCCCACGAGGCTGAGCTCGAGGAGGTCAAGACTAAGCTGCAGCAGTCGCACCAGGCTGGAATCGAGGAGGCCAAGGCCAAGCTTGCCGAGGCCCACCAGGCCGAGCTGGCTGCCGCGAAGCAGGCTGGCGACAGCGCGCACACCGAGGAGCTCTCTACCCTCAAGCTCCAGCTCGACGAGGCCCTAACCCGCATTCGTGAGACCGAGACGTCGAGCGCGGCTGCTCTTGCCGAGGCCAAGAGAAACCTCGACGACTCTCACTCGGCCGAGGTTGAGAAGCTCATCTCTAGCCACGCCGAGCAGCTTGAGGCACTGAAGCAGCAGAGCTCCTCTGGAGCCCGGGCTGAGCTCGAAGAGATCAACAAGGCTCACTCCAAGGTTGTAGAGGAGCTGACTAGCCAGTATGAGACCAGAAACGAGTCGCTTGCCAAAGAGATTGAGAAGATCTCGGCCGATGCCTCCAAGCTTGAATCTGCCCTCCAGGCTGCCAAGGCGTCCGTTGCCCAGGCAGAGGCTGACAAGACCAAGACCCAGGCCAGCGCGGCCGAGCTCGAGGCTGCTCTCTCCGCTGCTAAGGACTCCATCAAGAAGGCCGAGACGGAGAAGGCCAGTCTCGAGGAAGAGCTCGGCGAGCTCGGTGCCATGATCTCGGTTGAGAAGATGGCGCGCGCCGAGGCTGAAGCGGCTCTCGATGCCGTCAAGAACAAGACGCCCGACACTGCCGAGGCGGATAACCTCCGTGAACAATTGAACAACACCAAGAAGGGGCTTGAGCAGGAGCTCACTGTCGTGCAAAAGAGCCTCACCATTGCCAAGCAGGAGGTCGAGGACGTCAAGGAGGACCTGCTGCTCGCGCAAAAGGAGCTCGAGGCATCTCAGTTTGAGGCCGACAAGCAGCTCAAAACCTACAAGGCCGACTACGAGGAGCTCAACGACACGATGACCAAGATTGTGGAGGAGGAGCAGGCCAAGCGCAGAGCGCTGGAGGAGCAGGTTGAGAGCCTGAGAAAGTCATTAGCCGACAAGGAGAAGGGCGTTGAGGAGTTCCAGGCGCAACTCAAGGTCAAGGATGCCGAGATTGCAGAGGCCAAGGTACGTTTTTTGGTTCTTGTTACGTGCGGCCCGGGCGAACTTTCACTAACACAATGTAGGCCAACGCATCGGCTGCCAAGCCTAAGGGACTTGCGGCCAGCAGATTTGCCGTTGGCGACGACGAAGACGACGAGGCGGACGGCTCAGCGGCCAAGCCCGCGGAAGGTGAGGAAGAAGACCATTCCTCCGAGGCACTGGCTGTGGTGCGAACGCCCTGCTTGATGCTCCCTTTGTTTGGAGAGACGGGACAAGAATGCTAACTCGTAATTTGCAGCTACAACGAGCTAGAGTCAACGCGAATCAGATCCACAACATGGACCGCGACATGCAGGAGAAGAACCTAGCCATGCTGGAGTCCATTACGGATTTCCAGCAATCACCGCACCTGAACAACAACAATAACAACTAGATGCTGCCCAGTACGCTTTCGAGAGAACGACAGGCAACTTAAGGACAGAAAAAAAAAAGGGCAAAAATGTCTGGGTTGGCTAGTAGGCTTGTCACTGGCCTGACAGCTCCCGCAACACAACGCAACGCAAGGCTCGTTGGCCGCTTCTCCTCGCCCACCCCGCCTGGTCGGGACCGAGGTTTCTTGTTTTAATGCACAGCACGGGGGTTTTTACATTGTTTGGCGCGTCTAGTAGAAATGGCAAAAAAGTATTGCACTTGCTCGACTATAGACGCGCTGGCAATGGAAAGGGAAGAGAAAGTGCTTGTTTTGCGTACTGGTACTCAAATTGATTTGCAGGAGATGGATAGAGAGAATGGGGAGAGACAGCCGACTGTTGTCGTGCTGTAGGTGCTGACGCTGTGCTGTGTAGCGTGTCAAAATAGTTTGGCATGCGGTTGAGTGTGTGTATGTATGTGTGTGTAATTATTTGGAGGAATTTGCGTGTGACGGGACGAGGTAGCAATGGACGATACCCCCTTTTTCCTCTCGCAAGCCCAAATTTGCCAGTCCCCAACTCTTCCCGAGTCCGAGGGTCTCCATCGCCGGCGTTGTAACTTTTTGTCTTTGAAATTGAGTTGCCGTGAGTGGTGATGTTACCGTCGGCCATGACACCATGGCTTGCGAACTTGCGGTCCGCGGAAGCACGGATAGGAAATACTATCCGTACTTCCTCGTGGTAATTAGACTAGGCACCAGGAACCCCCGAACTGAGTCGAGAGGGTGCGGGTTCCTGATCCGATTTTCCACAAAATCCAGGTTCCCTAGATTCTAGGGCCTAGGCTCTGCCATGAGTTCATAACTTTTGTAGTTACCCATGTCTAGACAAAGCCACGAGGTGGCCGTGGTGGCAGTGTTCACGAAAGCTACGAAATGGGTAGTGCCCGCGTGCTTGCTCCGGTCTCCCGCGGGCCGGCTTAGGTTCCTTGCTAAGCTATACTAGTTAGTCTACGAAGTAGTGGTTCCCATGGTTGACGCGGCTCGTGGAAGAAGGGGGCTAAGGTTGGACTTGGTTAGTCGCCGTAAGTATCCGTAGTGTTGAAGATTGCTGTGGTCCCCTTTTTTTTCCTCCTCCCTCTGGTGGGCTCTCTTTCTTGTCTTTACTATTCCTTGAGAACGGGCCGAGGTTGCGGTTCGTCGTGATGAGGTGAGGTGAGGTGGCCTGGCAATATGGTGATGCGCCACGGAGGCCACGGAGGCTTTCGTCAGCGGCCTGGGCCCGGGTGGAGGTGGGATACCTAGGTTTGCTTTGCTTTGCTTTTGGCCGCTGAGTAAAGCTGTTTCCTGGTGTCATGATCCCCATCATTCGTCAGATCTTTTGCCTTCTGTCTCTTCTCAGTCTCCCCGCCTTCCGATCTACGGATACCTACGGAGTACGGAGTACTTCAAAGCTTTTTGGTTTCACGGGATGCGGGCGGGCGGGCGGCACAGAAAACAACTGTAACACACAACAACATTGGCATGCCACACGGTACGGCATTCTTTTGACGCAGAGACACTCCAATTGCTGCAAAGACATGAATCGCATCTGCCCAATCACGGGAACAGAAATTGCGCGGGACAGTGGGGGAGGGAGGGTGGACGCGCAGCGCCGGGTGGAGGATTAGCTGATGGTGGATGGGTGGATTTTCTGCCTCTCTTTACTCCCCTCTTCTACTATTGAGAGACTGAGAGCGACTGAGAGTGGGTGAGAGTAAGGTGACTTCGTCCAAGACGCGATGAAACTACAAGCCGTGTCCTGTTTTTCTTATTTAACACGGAATTGCCGTTGAGTTTTCTCAAACTAGCCGTTGGAAATATCGCATTGGATCCTCTTTTGCTTTGACCTCGTACTTTTTTTGTTATCCACATTTCTCATCTACCGAAAGGCAATTGTCGTTCGATTCTTGCATTCCAAAGGATTGTTAGCGGGAGAAGATCTCTCTCTATTCCCCTTGGGACCTTTTCGGAAGCTTATCCGGCTTAAGCTTGCTTTGATAGCAAACAAACCCAAGACCGCATTTCTCTATTCCGCCGAGCCCTTTTACCTCAATCTGGATTCTGGACCAGCCGCATATTACATAGGGAGAGTCAGCACACGGTGCCGAACCCCAGCTTGGGAGCTCCAGTCGGCACAGGTCTAGACAGGGCCCCGTTCCTACTAGCAAGCGCAAGCGAGGCGTGCGAAGCCTGCGAGTGTTACGCAGACTGGCAGGCTTATCCAAGCTGCTCGTAACACCTCGTTTGATTTGATAACGACTAGCGTACAAACGTGAAAGAGCTGGGCCAGCGGGCTTGCGAAACCGCAGAAATCCCTGGTTTAGGAAGAGCGAGATAAACAAACAGCTCTTGGGAAAGCCATATAGGAGGGGCAGACGGCGGACAGTATTTAGGGCTTTTGAGGCGCCGCGCTGTTTCCTCCAGCTGAAAGATTGATTTACCTACGTTACTGCTCCAGTTCGAGTTCAAATCAATCCATCGAGACCGAAGACGATACAGACTACGACTTCCTACCTACAAGCCTACATAAGCCTACATAAGCCTACATATCTACGCCCGCCAAAGCTCAGCTTGCATATGCTAGATTCGACGCCTTCTTCTTACTTGGCTCTTTGAGTCTTTGTCAGGCAACCCGCGCCCGCGAAACCGGATTCAGCTCCAGATTTCCCGGGAATACCAAGGCCCGATCCGTTGTCTCAATATCACAAGCTTCAAGCCGCAGCAATACCTGCCTTACTGTCGAGCAACATTAGGGGGAAACCAGCAAAAGAAAGAGATCTTGATCGAAGAGAACCAAGACGGGACGGAAATTAGAGCAAAACGCCATCATTCTTTCACAAAGGACGGAAACACCCGGTCCTATCTGAACACAGCTCCCCCGCGATCTACCTACCTTACTAGACGACTCTTATAACACCCCCCAACCCGCAGATCCTGCCTTGTTCCCCCCCGAAAAGTCGACTCAATGAGAATCCCTCGACTCGCAAAGATGCAGGCGGAACAGCAACAGCAATCTTCCTCCCCGTCCCCGGCCGCCACGCCGCTCCCGATCCTCTACGCAGAAGACACCCCCTTCTCGGAATACTCCACCGCAGTCTGGGGCCGCGTCTTCAACGCCCGCCGCGACTTCTCCCGGCGCCCGGCCGCCGTCGTCACCGCCACGCGCAAAGCCCACGTCGTCGAGGCCGTGAAAATCGCAAACGAAAAGGGGTGGCGCGTGAGCGTTCGCTCGGGGGGCCACTCGTGGGCCGCATGGTCTGTTCGCGATGAGGCGCTACTGATTGATTTGGGGAGTATGGGCAAAGGTGTTGCGGGCAGCGGCAACGAGGATGGCATCGCGTATGATTCCAAGACGGGAATTGTGAGTGTTGCGCCGGCGAGGACGGGGAGGGAGGTGAACGGGTTCTTGGCTGGGCAGATTGGCGGGCCTGGAGATGATAGTATTGAGGGGATGGGAAGGTTCTTCCCTGGTGGTCATTGTCCTGACGTTGGGCTCGGTGGGTTCTTGTTGCAGGGTGGTATGGGGTGGAATTGCAAGGTGAGTTTACACCGAATTCTTGAGAAGGGAGAAACTGACATGAAGACAGAACTGGGGCTGGGCGTGTGAGAATGTTGTCGCCATTGAGGTTGTCACGGCCGATGGGCGGGAGCTCCGCTGCTCCGAGACGGAGAACGCCGACCTCTTTTGGGCCGCGCGCGGCGCCGGACCCGGTATGTCACTTCCGGCCTCCCTCCGTCCTTCCCGTATCATCGGGGATGAGAGAAGATACTTTAGCTAACAACTCACAACAGGCTTCCCTGCCATCGTCACCCGCTTCCACCTCCGCACCCGCCCCCTGACGGGCATGTTCCAGTCTCTCTACTTTTACTCTCTCGACCGTTTCGAGGAGATTCTGAACTGGGTGATCAAGGTAAGCCCTTTTGAATCCTTCTACGCCTCATCCTCTCCTGGCATCTCACACAACAACCACTAACACAACACCAGATCTCCCCAAAAGCCTCCCCAGAACTCGAAATCGTCCTCCTGGCCCTCACACCACCAGGCCAAACCACCCCGCAAATCATGGCAAACTTCCTCTCCTTCTCCGCGAACCCGGAAGCCCTCATCCCCCTCCACTCCTCCCACCCGTCCCGGCCCCTCGCCACCGTCTTCGCCACCCCGACCTCCCTCCCGCAGCAGTACGTCGACCAGGACGCCTCCAACCCGCCCGCGCACCGCTACATCTCCGAAAACGCCTACGTCTCCAACGACGCCGACGTGCCCAAGGTCCTCAAGAAGGCGTTCACCGAGCTGCCCACGCCGCAGTCGTTTGCGTTGTATTTTTCAATGAACCCTTGCTCTCGGCGCGCGCAGCAGACTGCCGGCGAGACGCCGTCGTCGTCTAACGGAACCAGCAACGGCGCGGTAAAGACCATGCCCGACATGGCTCTCAGCATGCAGTCGGACCACTACTTCGCCCTCTACACAGTCTACCCGGACGCCGAGGACGACGAGCGGTGCCAGGGCTGGGTGAGCGACATCATGACTGGCGTGGAGAGGCACGCGGCGGGCTCGTATCTCGGTGACGCCGACTTCCGGTACCGCAGGACAAAGTTCTGGGGCGACGAGCAGGGCAAGAGGTTGATGGAGGTGCGCAAGGTGTGGGATCCCAAGGGGCGGATCGCGGGGTACTTGGATACGGAGGATGAGAGCGGCGTTGAAGGGTTGAGGAATGAGTTTGAGTGGGCTTGAGTGAGCCTTGTTCTCGGACTCTCTTTTCTTCTTGTTATTGGTGTTTGTTCTTCTTCTTTTTGCTGAGGCGTCGAGATGGATGCATATATACCTGTTGCCGAAAGATATCCTGTTCGAAGATTACATTTACATAAAAGGAGGAGGGGCCTATCAGATGCAAAATCGTGTATATAAAGACAAGGAAGAAGGGAGTTAGGTTAGGTCTCCGCTGCTTGTTCTCAGTAGAACAAGACCTGTTGCCGAAATACATCCTGTAAAAAAAACTTCACGAGATGATACAGATACAGGTGCATGTCAGAAATAACATGGTATAAACAATTTCTGGTTTTTTTCTGTTTTTGATATATTTACTTCTATAGTATTCATCCACGTCATCAATCTCGTCAACCATGGTCCATCTACAACGACACCTCATATAGTCTCTATGACTCAACCTTCTCGGTGGCACTGTCCTTGGTAATGATATCCCTCCTGGAAAACTTGGCCTGGAAGTTATTCTGCTTGACGAACCAGGCATTGACCAGCTCCCACTCTTGGCTCGGGTCCTTGAAGGAAATCTAGTCATTGTCAGCATCGGTAGTCCTCTCTTTACAACAGCAAAGTGTTGCAAACTTACGTCGAATCTCCTGAGCAAGCTCGGAATGACCTTGTAAATCTCCAACAGACTAATGTTCTTTCCGATACACGTCCGGCTGCCCATGCCAAACTGGAACATGTGCCCGTTCATCTCCTTGATTCTCTTCTCTTCCGCCGCGGCGTCCTTGCCCTCCTCCGGCAGCCAGCGCTCAGGGCGGTAGGTATCGACATCCTCACCCCAGATCTCCGGTCGGCGGTGGATAATCCACGCGCTGCAGCCCACAATCGTGCCGCCCTTGACGAAATGGCCTGCGATCTCGGCGCCCTGGTCAGGGACGATGCGCTCCAGTGGCAGGCCGGCGGCCGGGTGCATACGGAAGGCCTCCTTGACACAAGCATCGAGATACACGAGCTTCTGGGCCTCAGTCCACGTCACCAACCCCGTCTCGTTGTCACTGAAGCCGCCCTCCCTCGCAAACGTATCCAGCTCGTCCCTCAACCGCGCCAGCGCCGTAGGGGTCCGGAGGAGGTAGTAGAAGACGGCAGCCAGGCTGATGGCGGTGGTCTCGGAGCCGGCGAAAGCCATGCTGACGGCCATGGTCTGGACGAGGATGTCGGACATGAACTCGGGGCGGGCCTCGCGCGCGGCCAGGAACTTGGAGAGGAGATCGGGCTGCTCGGCGAGCTTCTTGCCCGAGGTGACGGGGAGGAGGGGTTCCTTGCCGTCGAGCTCGGGGAGGCGCTCGGCCATGCGGTCGCGGGCGAAGCGGGCTACGGGGAAGGTGGCGTCGATGAATCCCCATTGGGAGAGCTTCAGGTAGATTGGGTTCTTGAGGAGCAGGAGATCGAGGAAGGGGATTTGGCCAATCTTTGGACATGTTAGCTAGCTGTCTCGGAGTAGCTCGGTGATGCTCTGGATGGACTGACCGGTGCGACGTAGAGGAACAGCTTGCCCAGGTAGGCCACAATTCCATCAATGTCCTCATTCTTCTCGATGAAGCCGTGGCGCTTGCTGTAGGTGATCTCTCCGATAACGTCGAATGCGTAGAACTGCAACCACGTGGTGAAGTCACATCCCTCGGGGTTTCCAGCAAACAGCTTCTCCGTCTGAGAGAGGAAGAGCTTCGTCGTGTTGTCGACAAAGGGCTCATACTGCACCAAGGCAGACATGGAGAACGCCGAGTTGACGCAACGGCGGAACTGAGAGTGGAAGTCATTGTTCGTCGTGCTGAAAAGGGACTCGAGCCTGAAGCCCTTGGCAATAGACTGTTGAACGATGTAAAAGTCGGACTAAGACAGTTAGCTATTGTAGGTACTGAAGTGATAACCATATAGGCTCTACCTTTACGAAGCCCTTGTTCAGGCCGTAGATGCTCTTGAGAGCAGCCGGGTCGGCAAAGGAAAGAGTGTTGGGGCCGAGACGGACGACGTCACCATATTTTGCGTGCAACTTTTGATGTGTGACCTCTGGACGGCAACCCTTCACGTCAAAGAAGCGCCACCAATCTGTTAATGAGGCCAGGAAAGGTCCCGGGTACTTGTTGAGGCCATTGTTATAGCGGTTCTTCACCAGCCAGGCTACAATAAGTGACAGGCCTATTGAGAGCCAGTGCTGTGCGAACGTCTCTAATATTGTTTCTGTAATACCGTGCATCTTGACCGAGGTTGTGTTGTCATGAGACGGAGCTTGGCCGTTGAGTATAGCAAAATGTAATGAGAGAGGTCTTGGTGGCGGCACCCTTGGTATAAGAAGACTGTCCGGTAAACCTCTAAGCGGGTGGATCCAAGTAGATGTAGCCGGGCGTGAAATGGAATTCCCGATTCAGGTACCGAAGTGCAATTTACCCAGTTTCTATGTTGGGATGTATCGACCGGATCCTATGGGGCATACAGGAAGAGGTATGCGAGGGGGCATGCCGTATGGTCGACGTGCAGGTCCTGCGGACTGTGCCTCGGCGGGGTGGAGTCAAGGAGGAACAGGCGTCACGTCGAGATGGCAGATGCGCTTAGCTTTTTCGTGTTATGTGTGTGTGTGTGTGTGTGTCTGGTTTTGGGGCGGCAGGTCGGCAAGTAAATTATTGGGAACCTCTCGGCGATCTATGGGCACCGCCAGTAATGTAGCCAAGACAAGACGGCACCGCGTAACTGCAAGGTAGGACGAAGCTCGGAGAGTAGTAAGTGGAGGGGGGAAGGGAATGGGGGCAACTGAGAAGAGCCTAGGAGGATGGCTAGGAGCTTGAGAAGGTTTCCAACCCTTGACGAGGTATCCTCTGCCTACGGATAGTGTCTGACTATGAATACCTTAGTCTCCACGGCCGAGGGGAAGAGCGTTGGACATTCGGCGCAGAGTCTCGTGCGAGATGAGACAAGACAAGACAAGAGGGCGGGAACAGAATAAAGTTAGAATTTCGCAAGGGTGTTTGCGCTTCTGGGATATGGGTTGGGGGGACTGGCGGATCCGAAGTGGAAAAATGTGAAAAAATTGGAGAGAACCTGGGAACTTGGGGGAGACAAGAAGGCGGTAATGGTAGGCGCCGTGCCGAAGGGAGAGGCGGCGGCGAGAGTGAGAAAGGTGTCACAGACTCGCTGTTGCCAGATAAAGCCACACGGAAGAGGCTGGAAGAACACGAAGATGAGGTAAGATGAGTGTAGATAGTCGACGCCGAGAGGTGCCATTCGGGGTGACCAGGACTAGGACTGTACCAACCGTCCGGCGTTCAAGGCCACGCGAGTTCAGAAGACGAAGACGTTGACGATTACACTCATCACTAATCGTGGTGTACTAGAATCGTGTGCTAAAACAGTAGCTTGGTAGACGGGTCGTCGGCTGGTCGTTTGAAGATGGAGCGAGTCGTCCGGTCCAACAAGAGAGCAGAAGTCAGACAGTGTGACAAGTCCAAGAGGGAGGCAAACATCAGCAGAGTGTGACCCCAAAGGCGCCGGCGTCTGTTTCCAGAGCCGTAGCCGTGGCCGTACACTAGAGGTTAGCCGGAAAGAAGCAGCCCATCGAATCGCCCCTAGACGACCCGAGGAAGTCAAGACTTCAGACTTCAAGATACGCTGACGGGTGTACTTTGCACAGGTGGGAGCCCCCAACGTCATATCATGGAAGAGAGAGAAGACGAGAGCAAATGGAATGCCACACCTTACGCAGCAAGCTCTTCGACGCTAGCTCGGGTCTCAGGTACCGCAGCTTGCGGTGGCCACTCAGAGGCTCGCAGAATGACACCGGCGGGATGTTCTGGTGTGAGTGGTACAGCATGTTCAGCTCTCACTTTGCGCGCGAGGGATTTCCAGCCAAGTCATGAGAGATCCTGGGGTAGGAGCCTGTGGCCTGTAGCCTGTAGGGGTGAAGGGACCCTAGTCCAAGCCCGCCGTCCGTCGTCTTTGGTCCCTACGGTGAGAGAGAGTGTGTGTGTGACCGCTGCCGAAGGGACCGAGCCGGATGATGCTGTGAGCAACGGGTCACGGCAGGTCGTCGCTGTCATTTTCATCATCCATGTTGCGCCATCATGGTCCTCTTCCGCCGGGGGGTCGCACTCGCAGCGAGACAGATCGGCTGTCAACCAGAGCTGGTACGAGGGGCTCGATTGCCTGCCGAAGCAGCCTCAACGTCAACGCTCGTGTTGGCAAGGACACGGACATCCACAAGACAGAATGAGGTCTGCGAGGAAGAGTTGCCGCCAAAGCACCCCCAGCCCGGATGGAGGTGATGGAGGGGTGGTGGACACCTTGTTCAGGATGCTGAAGGTTGGTCATGACTGATGGAATCTTCGGCAGATGCATTTCTCATATTTCTGTCGAGGACTCGAGGGCCATCGTCCCAAGTGCGGGCACTCGCCTAACCGTACCTTACTGCTCACTGACAGCATTGGCCCCGAAGATACGATCCTGATCGAGAACAGAGAGCGTTGATTCGGGTTATCCGAGGCTTGGCTGGAGTCGTATGATATCCAGACGCATTACTGCCGCATCAGAACGAACCCCGCGAGACTCGAGAGACGAGGCACGTCGGAGGCGGAAGAGATGCAGAAGAGAGCTATGCAGAAACGGGAAGATGGAGCCGCCTCCCCCATGTCTGCTTTCGATGCTCTACGGAGTACCTAGTCAACTGCTCGACCAACTGCTCAGTGCTCCAGACTCCGGAGCACTCCTCAAGGCATCCCGTCAGCTGCAATTTGCAGCATCTTGTCGGCGGTAAGCTGCGCAACTCTCAAGACACCGGGCGGCGCGCCGACCCACCGTTGGGGTACCTTATCTGCGGGGGAGGGGCCCCGTAGGATGCTGGAAACAGGCATGACATGGCCAAGGCATCTGGTGGGGGGCACGGCAGTTGTAAATGCGCTCACTTGCTCTCTCAGGCTCTCTCTCTCTCACTGTGAGTCTCACGCTCACTCTCGTTCTCAGTCTCACTCTTGGCTGTTGTTTCAAGCGCCCACAGTCTCAATCTTGGTCTTGTTTTGAGTCTTGACGGCCTCAAGCAAATACAGTAGAGCCATCCTCTCCCCAATTAGAAGTCCTTTGTTCACAAATCCTCGGCCTACCAGACCATAATACCGACCCATTCTTGCTATCCGTACATAGTAAACATATCCAGTCCCCTTTGTCAACGTGTCTCACTCCTTTGGCTCGCCGACATCGCCGAGACGGGCGAAAGAACAAGAAATGTTTGCCTTCATTACTGACCATGAACTCATAGTTCCATAGCAATCAGAGACACCCAACCTCAACTTCGATCCGACTTTCATTTGCCGACTTTCTGGCCCGGAGTCCATCCCAACTCCCGTAGTCCAAGACATCACAGGGCTCCACGTATGGGTTGATCCATGGAGAACCCCTTCCCTACCAACGCAGTAGCCTTCTTGGTCCCTGACGCAGCGTCGCTTGGAATGAGACGTGATTGGTGCCGGGGCGACGGTCAAACGCTTTCGGCCCCGAAAGGAGGGAGAGACAGGCGCCGGACCCTCCCCTTCATGCCATGATACCTTGTTTTCACCGCAGACACGGAGCCTTCACAAGCACGAGCTTGTGGAAACGAGATGCTCGTATGGACACGCCCTAGTAAAGGGAACGGCACAGTTGCGATCTTCGTACGCGTATGAATCTTTCTCCAAGCCTTCGGCCTCGGCGTCCATTCATCCTCCGCCCTCCGAACCACCCGGCTTCTCTCGGCCCTCTCGTCGGCTCTCTCGTCGGAGTCTCCTGTTCTCATTCACCAGTTCTGGAACCTCCTCCCCCAACCACGCGCCGCATAGCCGCTCCCGCCCCGGACACCTGGCTTCACTGACAACTCAAGGGTTCCCCGCACATGCATCGCCCAGTGACGCCTTACCGCCGCAAGGGTTAGGTACCACAGTAGCCGAGGGATGGCACATTGTATGTATGTATTATTTGAGATGTGGTTGGGTTACAGCACATGAGCTTGACGTCTTGTTGCTTCTTCGAACCGTGTCGCAAAAAGATAGTTCTTGCCCGTTTGTGCAGATTTGAGGCATTCCCAGTCGGGAACGACCCGGCGAAAGAATGCCAGGATTGTACAAAACACCACAAGCAGTGCATATTCACATCATACCGAGTGAAGATACTTGCTACACAAAACGGTGGAAAACCAACCCAGAGTTGGACTGTTTTGCCGCCCAGTTCTAGACTGTCAGACTGAAGCTGGAACAGAAGTTAGAAACGATAACTACAGGCCTCAAAACTGTACACTAACTAATGACTCGACCCGGTTCTAAAACAAGTAGCCTCGAGATTCAGTTTTCCTCGGCAAATGATCCGGCCAGCTCTGTTGATCGCTCCAAAGCCCAAAAGCCAGAAGTAGGGCCGTCGTCTGGATCCAACTTCCCCTACCGTGTTAGCACAGTAGACCAACCTTCCATCTCACGTGTCGAAGGCCGAAAGAACCGCACGCTTGTGCGCCGTCGCGCCGCCCTAAATGCTACCCCAGTGGCCTATGCTACCGTTCGCGAGGGAAAGTCGCCGGTTCGGCGGTTCATAGTAAAACAGATCATGTATTCCATAGTGTCTCTAGTGTAAAGGAATTCGAATCTCCTAGTTCAAGGGCTCATGAATGAGAAATGTCTCTTGAATGTCGGCGAGTTGAACTATTCCATTGTGTTCCATCTCCAGCTCGTTACTCTCACTCGCTCCAAGTAGGCCAAGCGGTTCCTCGCTCTCGCGATCGAAACAAGACACATCTCTCGATCTCTAATCCCACTATACGAGGAAGAGAGACCGAGAAGGCTGTCTGCAGTTGACAATTACTTCTCAGTAAGACATCGCCAAACCCTTCCAGGGACCAACCCTCATCCTCCATCTCCCGCTCTTTCAAAGCCTCCTCCCAAAAACCATCTGCCGAAGGCCCCACGGCCAGCGCACCCCAGTCGTGCCCCCATCCCCCCCAAAGGGCCCCAACCAACGGGCCCCAGTGTCACGGCGTCGCCTACGTGGCTTGTCAGCCCCCCCGAAGCCAAAATCTTCGGCAGATGTTTTTGCGCGTGTTCTGGCGGCCGCCGCAACCAGAGGAGCCTGAGGAGGAGGTTCCAGAGGTTCAGGAGCTTTGGGCGCCTTTCCTCTCCTTCTCAATCCCGTCTTCTGCTCCTCACTGGGTAGGTTATGGCCATTGTTTCCCACGCCCCCTTGCGCCGGCCGTCCGTTTCCTTTGCCCGGCCCCCCAGCCCAATGACACGAACAGGTGGGATCGGATCGGAGGTGCCCACGTGGGAAGAAGAGGGAATCGACATTACACAGGCTACACTGTGGCCGCTCAACTATGCCGTTTCCGGATCCTGCTATAGCCCTTTTTAACTCCGTGCTAATAAGACACAACCTTGCGGCGTCATTTTGACGTCGTATCGTGATATCGTCTCTCCATGGTCAAATTTTCAGCAGAGCCTTCGTATCAACATTGCTGCTGTTTTGACCGGTAAGTGAGGCATGAATCATGCTGTTCGCTAATTGCAACCGCATAGAGGAAACGGTTTGGTAATAATTGGAATCTTCCGAAACGCAGATTCCGAGTCATCACCGCTGATTACGCGTGAGGTAAGGTAGTAGGCGAAACCCTGCGTGCAGACATGATTGAATATGATGAATCGAGGCTTTCTCATATGCCCGGAGTAATGATATTGAGACGCTCGCTACGAACGTGTGGGTATCCTTGAAAACAATAAACTTGCAGCTAGTATATCTCAACAAGTCGGCACTTGTCAGCTCAAGTTGCTGCAAATGCCGGAACCTCCTTGCCTCTCGATGCTGCGTGTGCTCTGGCGCTTTGCTTGAGCAAACTGATCATCGCTATGACCTCGTCTTCGCTGCGTTTAAGCATCATTGCAAGCGCTTGAGTATCAGCGTCTGGCCTTGCGGACAACGTCTGTAGAAGCCACTTGGCATCTGCTTCGGGCCAGGCCAAGGGCTCAACGTCCACCGATCGTCGCTCAGTATGTAGATGGCGATTCAATGGTCCGGCCTGCTGTCTCTCGTACCTGCTTTGTTGACTCTGTGGCGGGGAGCCTGCCATTCTGCGTGCTTTCTCGGCTGCAATCCGCTCCTCCAGTCGCCTATCGCAGAACTCCCGTTGTCGTCGTCTAGTCTCTTCGTATTCGTGCCGCTCTCGCTCTTCCTTCTGTTTCTTCTCGCCAAACCGCTGCTCGTAAAGTCGTTGCCGTTGAATCGTGTGATTGACCTTGGTCCAAGTCGCATCCAGCTCTCGCTTGAAGCCTCGTACATACTCGGCCAGCTTCCCTCGACTGAGCTTCTTGGATAACAGTTGCTCCTTCTGCCTCCTCCTCGCAAGGTTTGAAAGCATACCATAGTATAGCTTCTCGATCCAAGCAATTAGTCTGTGCATAATTTGCAACATCGGTTTCGTGAACGACCCGGTGTAATGTGATGTATTGTGCTCAGTACCCTTTTGGAATACATTTCCAAGCGTAACCACAAGCAAAGGAATGACACTTTCGTACAGCTCCTTAACGAAACGTGGCGCCGGCATATCAGATTCGTCGCCGGGGCTGGGCTTCTTCGCTTTCGTGGCTATCTTATAAACAAGTGTGTCGACTTCCTTGAAGGTGCGCCTGGCATCGACCGCATCTGCATCGCTCGAATGCAAATAGTCGCATTGTTTACTAAAAAGGGGTGCGCGAGGTGCTTCTTCCCAGAAGCCGTTCAGCAGTTGAATGCGGTCCCAGAGAGGCTGAGTTCTCTGCGAAAGTTGCGCCGACCCAGTTGTGAGATCGACTGCTCTGCCATCTTTGGAGCGCATCCAACCCACCCCATTCATCAACTCCTTGATGCTCTTCAGTGATGGTGATTTGACTGGCGCCGCGGTCAGTCGGTCTTGTTCTTCGGGCTTGTGAAAGATGAAATGATCGTCCGGGTACTTGTAATCGACCTCCGGAAAGAGGTCAGGAGTCAGAGGGTCCAAATCATCAACCAAACGACGAAGCTGTTGCGTTGGCTCTATTGGATGTGGCTCCATTTGGGAGTCGGTATCACCTGGATAGGCATCGTCTCCCCTTGCTTGTGCAGACGGCGGCAACTCAGCGATAGTTGGATCGTTGTAGAGTTGCTCATCATCATCACCATCCCCGCCGCCTTCTTCTGAGCCTTGCCCTGAGCCTTGCTCTGCGCCCTCCCCATCTGTGTTCTGAGTCTCGCGCTCGACAAACAGTCCATTCCCATTGTCGGCGTCTTGTGAATCAGATCGCGAATCGGACGATTCGTCCTCCTCGTATGATGATACTGAAAGGTCGGCCGCGACGGCAGACCCTCTAGGTGGGCTACTCGCAAACTCATAGATATCCACCCTGGGGCCTGCAGCAGCGGCAGGTTCGTCCTCATTATCTGGGTCTGGCGTCGCTTGAGAAGCGTCGGCATTCGGAAAGCCTTTACTCTGTTTCGTCGCTTTCGTTCTCGCGGGTCGACTGGACTCTTGAGTTGTCTGCCCCTTTCCGGCACGGCTCGCGTTCGTACGATGGGTATTTGTTGCTTCCCTACGCAATGTATCTACCCGAAGATCCTCCTTCCTCGGCCGACCTCGTCTTCTGACAACCTACAGGAGAGATTGTCAGCTCCTTGAAGTGGTTTAGAATGGCTTGGGCTTACTCGTGGTTCGATCGGCGCCTCCGCTGCGAATGGTAGAGCTGCACTTTCGCCATGATCCTCTGTTCCTTCTTGGTCTTCTACCTCTGGACCATCTTGCGTGGTCTGGTCGCCTTGTTCGTCATGGCCTTCTTCTCTGTCACTGCCTTGATCGACGTCCACCTGATCTTCTTCCTCCACATCCTTCTGACTTCTTCGTCTTCTCTTCACTCGTATGGCCTCGAAATCCCTAATGTCTTCCACATCAACATGACCGAGACGTTTGCTGCGCCGAGTTCCAGCCGGAAGCTCATCGATGCTGCTGGCCGGCATGGCCATCTCGCCATCTCCCGCAGCTTGGCTCTTCGTCGGCCGACCAGGTCTTTTTCTGGTGGCTACCGGCATTGCCGTCTTGCAACCGGAAGGGTTCGGTTATGGCCTAAGAGGGAATTCGACTTGAGGAATGGGCTCTCACGCAAAGTGACGTGGCAGCAATTGATATTCATCAGCCCTCTTGGCGTCTCATTGTCGACAATCCGTCGTTCGTCCAATGACGCGGATGAAGCAGCCACCACGGAGTATCGCGACAGGAACGCGCTCTTGATGCCTTCCGACCAGAGCGCGTTCCGAGCAGGGATCATGGTGCTAGTGCCCGCTGGCGGGGCCGGCGATGGCCCCTCCTTTCGGCTGAGTCAGCAATAAGGGTCCATCACTTCGACACTGCCCTGGACAAAGACATTCACGTTTCCTAAGTCATCATGTTCAGCACAATCTTGAAGGATTGTGCTCAAGACAGTATACACAAGCAACCTGATGACCACTGCATTCGAATGCGGTTTCGGATGTCTTTCTCACTTAGGAAGGCTACGTCCACTGCCGGGGTTCACATGTTCACCCTTCGTCGTACTTGACTCGGTCTCCTCCCCGACGATAGCTCATCGTTCCCGTGTTGGACACCTCTTTCGAAGTGTTGTATCGAGATGTCTTCGTTCCTTTCTACAACTCAGCCGGACATGTTAGTTCGATGATTACCGAATTGGACAAGTTCTCGGGGCCGAATACGACTTCCAGGAGCGAATTCTCCGCCAAGACGTCATCAACACAGTTTTCGACGAGAACTAGGCTTGCGAGTGCAACACTTATCATCACCAACAGGTTTCTCATCAATCCCTATCTATGACCTTGGAATCTCTTCAATGCAAAGTGTCATGGAGTCTGGTCCAAAGGCAATGGTCTGACACGGGCTCCTCGAGATTTGGCTTTCGTGATAGGTTCGCGGATGAGTTTAAGGTAGTCCGACGAGGCGAAAGAAGCCAGCATCATGGCAGAGGCAATCCTTACCCTCACACCACTTCGAAGCGTACCCGAGATGGGAGCTTACTCTCTTTAACCAACACACAGACTCGTCGAGCATGGAGGTCCATGTCAAACATCGACGTGTTCCAACCCAAATCGCTATCCAACTCCACTGCGTTTCACCCACAACCTGTCGGACGCTGATCTCCTTCTGCACATCTCACTCGTTCATCGGTCTTTTTCAGCTGAAGTGGTCTCTTCTATCTACCTGGCATCAGTTGGAAACAATCGTGCCGATCGTGCATGATGCGGCTCAGCAATTGGAAGCCACAGGCCCACAGCCTTTTTTTTTTCGTCTGAAAAGCTGCGACATGTCCCGTTCCCGCCCTCAGCTTCCCGGAGCTAGAGCTTCATGCCGTCATGTAGTGTCGGAGCTTCTTTTGGCCATGGACTAATGGTGGCGACCGCATCCGTTTCGTCCCTACTAGAGTCTTGGCCAGACGCACCAAAACTGTGATGGGAAGCGCAAGGAAGAATGAGGCCGTCTTTGCCGGTGTGGGTGTCGAGGTGCCGGGCAATAGGTAGGTTCTTCCCGTCCCGGACACGAGCCAAATAAATCTTGTTGCCGGAAGCAACGGCCTACTCGATCAAGCAATCTACAACTACAAAGCAGGTTTTTGGCTTTTTATGACATTCGAGAGTTAAAGAAAAGTTCAAACGTCGTCGGCAATTTCTTGTTCGGCGAGGCTTACATTTGTTATCATTGTTTCTTCATTTTGCCTTTGGGTTTTCGCTTTCGGAGACCATCTACATATGCCAGCTATTTGTCTTTGCAACGAGTCTGATTTAATGTCGATTGCCCTTCAAGTCGATTCTTCACGAGCTCCTATCGACGAACGGCGCCGTCGCCCAAGATGCGTTTCAGTGTGGGAATTGCGTTCCTTTTCGGCCAGGCCATGGCCTCACCTCACTCGCTTCAGCAACTCCAGCAGAGACAGGACAACAAAGACTGCCCGCCAATCCACATCTTTGGAGCGCGAGAGACGACGGCGCCGCCGGGCTTTGGTGCCGCGGCCGGCATCGTCGACGACCTCACCAAGGCGAATCAGGGGGCCACGAACGAGGCCATCAACTATCCCGCATGTGGAGGGTCGTCAGACTGTTTGGGAATCAGCTACGCGGACTCGGTGAAGAATGGGACGGCGGCTGTTGCCACGGCCGTGAATGAATTCAACAAGAAGTGCCCCAAGACGAAGATTGTCATGCTGGGGTTCTCTCAGGTATGTCTTGCATGTTGGCATTGCACTGGCAGAGACAGATCTGACTGATGAAAACCAGGGTGCTCAAATCATGGACAACGCGTACTGCGGTGGTGGAGACAGCATTGAAGGGGTCAAGGACGTCAATGTTCTCATCTCCAATGAGGCGCTCGGCGCGGTGAAAGTCGCCATCTTCATGGGCGACCCACGTTACGTCGCTGGCCTTCCTTACGAGGTTGGCACATGCAAAACGCAAGGAGTAAGCTGGTAGAAGAAATATGCAAAAGAAAAGAAGCAGCTACTAATGTACATCAGTTTGCACCACGACCTCAGGGGTTTCAATGCCCGAACGGAGGAAACATCAAGTCATTCTGTGACTCAGCAGACCCGTTTTGCTGCAACGGCAATGATCCCGTTGCTCATCTACAGTATCCCAGCATCTACGGCGACCAGATTAAACAGTTTGTGAGCGACAAACTAAAATAGAGGAAACGAGAAAGAAGGTTGGAGCCCATCCTACGAAGTATACCCTCAACCTCGACCCAGGAAGACTTGCACTTGCAAACCATTCAACCTGGGCGTACTACCAACTCCAGGGCCGCGCGGCCTTTGATCTAATAGATGGCCTCTTCGAAACGAGGGCCATTGAGTCATTTCCGAGTCCTTCTTGTCATCAGACTTTTACCTTTTTTTTTTCCCATACCTGTACCAAAGAGCTCAACCAGAGGTACATACAGTCCATAATAGGGAGGCCATAGACGGCGCTCAGACAGACCGAGGTTTGGATAGAACCTAAGCATAGACGTAATTAATACATTTTGATACATACTCTCGGTCTCGTCTCGGTCTCGCACATGTAGTAGAAAGTGTGAGTCCGTTTGACACGTCCAAAAGTCTGCTTCGAGCCGGAAGTCAATTCGGTGTGTTTTGAAGAAAGTTCCATCAGGAACTCGGGGGAAAATAAGCTTGAAGCGGGAGAGAATCTCTCATTGTTCCGGAGACCCTGTACGCTGTAGTCATTGTCGCTGACTAAGGCACGCTCTGTCGTCACTCCACAATGTTCACCCCTCCATCATCTCAAACATCGGGACGTTGCGCCTAGAGCTCCAAGCTATTGTCAACAGCCTTAGCCACAGCGAGCAGAACCTCACACAACCACATCCAACCCAACCCAACATCCTAACTCCTTTCGTCCCAACCCACGAGTGAACACACACAAGCAAATCACAATGGATCCTCCAAAACCATCACCATCAACCTCATCAACAACAAAACCACCCGAAAACCCATCCTTCCCCGCCATCACACCCCTCCCAAAGACCCCGCGCACCTTCCAAACCCCCACCAAGCGCATCAACACCGGCACCGACCTCGCAACCTTTCTCACAACAACAGCCTACCGCGACATCCTCCTCTTCCTCCTCCAGCTCAACCGCTCCCTCTGCCCGCGCCGCAACCCAACCCGCCCAACCGGCCCCTCCACAACCTACCCCCTCTCCTCCGTCCCCTCCACACCCGAACGCGGCCTCCCGCCCTCCATAGCCAGCCTCCAGGCCCTCCTCGCCGAAGCCGAAGCCCTCATCGAGCTCGCGCCCCCAGACCCGGGCCCCCGCCGCTTCGGCAACGTCTCCTTCCGCAAGTGGCACGAGCTCCTCGCCGAACGCGCCCCCGCCCTGCTGTCCAAGCACATCCCCGACTCCGTCCTCGCTTTCCCCGCGACCCCGTCCTCCGAGCCGCCCGCCGCCGAGCTCCTGGCGTACCTCCTCGGCTCCTTTGGCTCCGCGCAGCGCCTGGACTACGGAACGGGCCACGAGCTCGCCTTCCTCGCCTTCCTCGGCTCCCTCTACAAACTCTCTTACTTCGCCGACGACACCACCACGAACACCACCGCCGCCGGCTCAGAAAATGGCCAACCCACTATTACAACCGCAGCAGCACAAGACACATCCGCCCTAGACCGCATTATCGTCCTCGGCGTAATCGAACCCTACCTCCGCGTCGTCCGCCGCCTCATCCTCACATACACTCTCGAGCCAGCGGGCTCCCACGGCGTATGGGGCCTCGATGACCACTCCTTCCTCCCCTACATCTTCGGCTCCGCCCAGCTCGCGTCGCCCGTGTCCGCGGACTCGGACCCGATGCCGACCGAGGGCTCCGTCCGCGGCGCGCCCAAGACGGGGGACATTGTCAAGCCCGCCGTCGTCGAGGACCAGCGCGCCGAGAACATGTACTTCTCTGCCGTGGGGTTCATCAACGACGTGAAGAAGGGCCCGTTTTGGGAACACAGTCCCATCCTCTTTGACGTGTCTGGCGTCAAGGACGGTTGGGGCAAGATCAACAAGGTGAGTTATTTAAATGTTCGTCTCGTACCAGTGTAGGGTAACAACTGACATACTTCCCAGGGCATGCTCAAAATGTTCAACGCAGAAGTCCTCCAGAAATTCCCCGTCGTCCAGCACTTCACATTCGGCTCCCTCTTCTCCTGGGACCAAGACCCCAACGCCGCGCCAGTATCACAGTCCGTCCACGCCGCGAACCAGCCCTCGTACAACTACCCAGCAACAACGGCGCCTCCCCCGCCTCAAGCAGGCGCAGGCACGGCTGCGCCGTGGGCGACAGCAGGTGGTGCTGGTACTGTTCCGATGGGTCGCATGCCCCCTCCTCCCCCCGGCGGCGCGGGCATCCCCTACTCGCGACAACCGCCGCCGCCACCGTCATCCGCGGCTTCGGCGAGGGGGCCGCCGCCGGGTATGATGGCCATGCCTCCCGGCGCGCAGCAGGCGAGGCAGGGCACGGCTGATGCGCAGATTGCGTTGACCAAGGCGCCGTGGGCAAAGTGATGAGACCGAAGAGGAAAACGGAGGATGTCATGAGTTATATGTAATAGATACCCCGACTGGTTGTGGCTCAAGCTGAGCAGAGGTTAGTTTGAACGCCTTGGTGGAGATGGAACCTGAAAGAAGCCCCAGGGCCAAGACGCGAGCCTGGGAGTGGCCGAACGAGACCAATGGTATCTGCATAGCCTGTAGATACAACTTGTAGATACACCGCCTTCGTTGCTCCGGTGTGGCTATACCGTCTGGAGACAGCAGTCCGGAGACGAGAAGAAAAGAGAAAGATCATATCAGTTTAAGAAAGTACGCTCGATTCAACTTCTCGACTAATGGGTATCCGACAATTAAGCAAATGAACATGAGCAGACCAATGGTCTGAAAGCAAGAAAACCATCTCAACCCCCAATTGCATGTATGTGCCGCTTATCTCCTCCTGTGACTGGAGTGGTTTCGTCGTCATCGTGAAGGATAGCGGTTCGAGAGATGACGCTACGGGGTTGAATCGCTTGCATCGATCGCTCTCTCACTGCTCTGCCAACCCAAATTCCTTGACCTCTGGTCGAGTCTAGTCCTTCTTCAACCAGATGACATTGTAAATCCGAATCCAGTCATTGGGGCCGAAATCCAACGGCGCAATCTAGGCGGTGGCAGCGGCCTCCTTCTTCTCCTCGGGCTTGGCAGCCTCGGTGGGGGCAGCGGCGGCCGGAGCAGGGGCGGCAGCGGGCGCGGCGGCCGGGGCGGTGGGTGCGGGAGTCTCCTCCGTCTTCGCGGGCTCGGTGGCGGCCGGGGCAGCAGGGGCAGCAGCGGGAGCGGGCGCGGTGGCGGGCTCAGGGGCCTTGGGGGCCTCGGCGGCTACGGCAGGGGCTGCAGGCGCAGCGGGAGCTGTGCGAAGCGCATCGGGTCAGTCATCTTTTCTTTCTTCGTGAATTTTACGCAGTTGGCAAGACTCACCAGCCTCGGGAGCCTTGGCGGGCTCGGTAGTAGCAGGAGCAGCATCCTCCTTCTTAGCCTCAGGCTCGGGGGCCTTGGCCGGCTCAGCAGCGGCAGCAGGAGCAGGAGCAGGAGCAGCAGCGGGCTCAGCTGTGTGTAGTCAGTCAGTAAGAGCTTATCGAGGCGTCAACCTGGCGAGAGATTGTTCACGCGAACATGAAGAAGCGAGAGGAGGGAACGTACTGGCCGGGGCAGCAGCGGGAGCAGCTTCAGTCTTGGTGGGCTCGGTGGCAGCGGGCGTGGTGGTGGTCGCGGCAGGCTTGGCCTCGGCGGGCTTTGCCTCGGCCTTCTTCTCGTCCTTCTTCTTGAAGATGGCCTTGAACTTGGACTTGAGGTTGTCCAGGGCGTCGATGGCTAGTTGGGAAGCATCGCGTGTTAGTGATTTTTCTTGGCACTCTTGATTCGGATATTTGTTGCGTCGTCGCGCATCTTTGGGGAGCTCTAATAGCTTCTCTTGCAGCTTTCGCAGTAGGACGACCAGGGAGAACTTGGGGAAGGGTGGGAAAGGGCAGACTTACGAACTCCAGGCATGATGGCTGATTTTCGAGGGAGGACGTGTGTGTAAGAGCTGGTGTAGTCGTGTATGTACTATGTATGTACGTGTGTAAGCGATTGCGGCGATGGAGCTACGATACTCGGCGACGATGGATGCTGGAGAGATGTAGTTGGGACGACGACGGGGTCAGGGCAGGTCTATGTAAGAAGCAAGAAAGTCAAAAAGAGGCCACCGACGATGAGGTGGGCAAAAAGGGCCAAGGGCCGGGGGGGGTGGTTCCCATTTCTCAGAGAGGATGGAAATAGACGGTGCAGATAGACGCCCACCGCAGGCCTCAGGGAAGGGTCTCGTCTCCAGGTCTGGTCTCCAGGTCTCGTCTCAGCACAGCATAGCACAGCACAGCATGGCAGTCACGCGTTGGCCTTGGCATAAGTCTCTCTGTCTCTGTATGTACAGTATAAAGTACCTTAAGAGGCAGTGGGAGGCATGACGGCGGTGAGGTGGGCAACCAAGGGACGAGCCCAGGATGCCATGCCGGGACTTTCCAGCCAAAGGCAAAATGATCAAGGTGGGAACCAATGGGCTGCATGACTTCCCTGGCTGAGGCAGTGACAATCAATGGGGATTCGGGGAAGGGAATGGGGCATGGCCTGTATCTGTAGACTGTAGGTACTTCCAGGTGGTTGATGATCCTCGTCACTTATCATACGTCTCTTCTGTCCTTCTTGTTCCAACAAACGCCAGTCTTTGTTGTGGCCTGTTGTCTTGTTCGCCTTGTTCTTCCTCATGTTTTTGTAGTAGTAGAGATAATGGAATATCAACAAGAACCATCTCTTTGGCCATCTCGAGTTCCATTGTCTGCAACTTGTAAGGTTCTTCCAATGTACTAAGAGGTAGTGAGGTGTGGTAGGGATGGCAGCTGCACGGCCTTCCCACTAACAGATGCACGGGGCCAGTAGCGGCGGTACGTATCTGAGCTTAGCCTGCGAGAACTTGTCAAGTCCCGTCTGGAGAGACTCGTGGAGAGCACCTTATCCACCATCTATCCATCTATAGAAGAAGAGACTGTTCGGCGTCTGTCTGTATGGATAGATATATCTCATGGCGTACGGCATAGAGAGTCACTCTACTGTCGAGCATCCCCCGTAGCTCAACATCAGTCGGGAAAGAATCCGATGGACCACAGTCCAAAGTTCAGAGTTCATCCGTCATCGGAGATTCGCACGCCAGTTCGTATCGATTCCCGCTGTAAGTTTGATGAACAGGATGGACACTCGACGGGATGCTGAAACCCTGCTTTTTCTGCCCCCCCATCTGCCCTCTGTGCCTCTCTGGCTGGCCGCCGGTCACTTGCTTGCTTGCTGGCTCACTTGCAGCTGCAAGCCAAGAATATTCCCATCTCCTGCCGCCGTATCTGCTGCTACCGCCGCCGCTGCCGTACCCCAATATCCTGCGCATCTGCCCTGGCCAAGGCATCTCGTCCCATCCCACTCACTGCACCAGGTAGACCAGGCAGACTGCTCTGCCCTGGTGGGTGGCATCCAGACGCATCTAACGTTGGGGGTTTTCCAAGATGTGTGTATGAGATACCTTAGCGTCGCGCGCGTGGGTTGACGAGAGAGACATAGAATCTGGCGGAATGCCGTCATTTCACTCCAAGCCAGATTCAGGACCAGGGTCCAACACAATCGAGGCAACCCAGCGCACCAGTGACCAGGCACACCAGGCTAGGCGCTACGTGGTCTGGTTCACCATTCTGCGTGTGGCCTGCCATTCAGATGGCTATCCCCCAAAAAGAATAGCGGGAATAGCGACAATCAGTCCGAACCACTGAAGACCAAACGTTGGATCGAATAATCGATTTCACCCGGTGGGCTTTTCGAGATTGCTCGAAATTGGCGCGGATGGATCGTTAGGGGGCCCTGGCCAAGCCTGCTGCTGCTTCCCTCGTCCCGCTGCGACGCTGCTCATCTCGACTCGCTTGTTGATCCTCACATTGACAGCAGGTTCAACGTTTTTCTACGCAGAATCCACGGCTAAGATGCAAGTACTCTGTAGGTTTGGAAATAAAGTCTCGCTCATGTGTCGGCACGTGGGTGGGCACACACACACACACACACACACACTCCTTTACACACCACCACCTACTGCCTACTGCATAATTTGTATGCACCGGGACGTCAACTTCTGCCAGGGCCAAAACCAGACCCAGAACCGAAACCGACAAAAGTGAGGAGTGCAGGCTGCGACAAAAGAGAACGAGAGTCGATAAGCAGCGTCAAATCACCAAAAAAGCAAAAGAATGGGGCTCAACCGGGGATCGAACCCGGGGCCTCTCGCAGGAGACGACTTGACAGAGTCAAGAACCCAAAGCGAGAATCATACCTCTAGACCATTGAGCCGAACCAAGCCGTTTTGCGGCTAGGAATGCAGGGGCTGCGATGACGGGAAAGCTCGGTTAGCCGCCTATGTTCCCTGCCGAGAGGGAAGAGTGGGGCAGCCATCTTTCCCGTCCGTGGTGCTGGTGCTCGCTTCCCCAGTGTCCCAGCCTGCCGTCAAATCCAAGGCGCGAAGAGAAGGAAGCTTAAGAGGTCGTAGATCTAGGTGTGTCGGGTCTCTTGTTCCTTGTATGCCGCAGGAAATAGTTTGAGAAAAATAATAGAATTCAGAGAGGCCCCCGCCGGGTGTTGTAAAAGACAAATCTCAAATTTTTTCGTTTCTTGGCTGGGTGGCAGAAATTAATCATGAAGCGTTCGGGAGCTGGCAGGCCGGCCCTTACTAGATCCTCCAATCAATATCTAGCCTGTCTCCGCCCGCCGATATGGTTTCCCTGGCCAAGGACTGACTACCTTATTCGCCTTCATAGTGACATTTATCCGGCGGTGAACCTCCAGATCGCAGAGGCAAGCTGTGTATGGACTCCTGGGGGGTGGGGGTGGCAGGCGCAGCGTGCATGAAGCCAGCGAGCAAGACTCCATCATTCTCATAGAAGATCATAGCCTGTCTACATGCCTCTGCCTAGTCGATCCAATTCCAAGATCTCAGGAGAGAAAGCCCGCCTCAACGTCCACGTTTTCTTCCCATGGATGAGGATCATGAAGGGTCTCGAAACCACGCAACTCTCTCCAGTCTATTCTAGATGGAAGAGGTTCTGTCATCGACAATCTCATCAAAGACCCGCGATATAGCCATCTCCCACGTGGTATTCCGCATCTTGATTTGACAGGTAAGAATTGGCACGGGTTAGGCCAAAAAAAGCATCTAAATACGATATAATTGAAAGAAGTGAACTTGAAAACTGTTCGTCATCTCAGAACTGTACTCACCTCCTATATACAACCCCCTATTAAATCCCACCACCACGCCAACCGTCTCCTACATTGCATACATCATAGTATCGAATGTACAAGCTAGTCATCAAGTCATCAGTCGTCAAAACGTCCCAAAAATCCAAAATGTGCGTATACCCTTCCCCCTTCCCTCTTCCCCGTTTCCTCCCATAAGCACAACCAAAAACGCTCAATTGTGAGCATTCAACACCAACAACACCAAATTCGCCACAACCATGACGGTAATCATCAACCAAAGCAAAACAGCAAGCACCGTAACCCACCACGAATTCGCCATCTTCACACCAACAGCGCTAAACCGCCGCGCCGGCACGACGCCCGTATCAGACCCGTAGCTCGCGGCGCCGGGGACGACAGTCATGTACTTGTCAAACGAAGTAAAGTAAATCAGCGGCGCCGTGATGACGGGCAACACCGTGCTCAGCACGACCTGCGTGCCCGTCAAGGCATTGCTGAGCCCGGACTGCCCCGCGACGGCGACGACGACGACGGTGGGCGTGACGCTGATGAGGCGCGTCGCGAGGCGGCGGAGCCAGGGGCGCATGCGCCAGTTGAGCGCTCCCTCGCTGACGAGCTGGCCGGCGATGGTGCAGACCAGGCCTGCGGATACGCCTGACAAAAGGAGGGCAAAGGCAAAGATGATTCCCGCGGCGGAGGAGATGCTGTTGGCGAGTAAGTCGTGCATGCCGAAAATGTCAGAGGCGAGAGACGTCTGGCCCTGGTAGAGCGCTGAACCCGCGACGATGAGAATGGCCGAGTTGACAAAGAGGGCGAAGATGAAGAGGGAAAAGACGATCTCGGCGATGGAGAACTTCATGCAGTGCTTTATGGCGGCCATGGAGGGGAAGTAAAAGACCTTGTTGTAGCTGTCGACGGTGGTCATTGTGTCGGAGCGGGGGAGCTCCTGGAGGTTACCCTCCTTCATGTCAAAGTCTTTGAGGCGGGACTGGACGACGCCCGAGCCGAGGTGGAGGCTGTGAGGCATGACTGTTGCGCCCAAGATTCCGCATGACTGATATAATCTGTCACAGTACACGTTAGCACGACCATTGGATCGCAGGAGGGCCTTCTCTACATACCCCTGAGTCTGGATGATGGAGCTGGACGGGAGGTATCCGCGAAACACCTGACCGACGGTCGTGTTCTCAATCAAGGAAAGCTGAATACAGAAGCAAACGACGACGCCCAAAACAAGAAAACAAACGCCAATCTCAAACAGCCGTAGACCGCGCATCGAACCGTCGGGGCGGTAAAAGACGACGATGAAGACGACGTCCACAATGGTGAGAACGACGCAGGCGATCAACGGCAACTTTGGTATAAGCAGGTGAATAGCCGTTGCAGTTCCAATGACGACCGCCATATCCGTCGCGACAATGGCAATCTCGGCGAGTGCGTAGACGATGATGTTCATCCATTTCGGGAGAAAGACGCGGCAGGCAGTCGCCAAGTCGAGGCCCGTGATGGTCCCGAGTTTGATGGACAGCGCCTGGAGGAATATCGCAACAATGTTGCTCAGCAGAACGATGAACAGCAGGTCAAAGTGGTAGGAAGCCCCAGCGGCGATATCAGTGGCGTAGTTCCCGGGATCAACTGCGTCAGAGGGTCAGTCTCGACTGCGCTTTCAATACCTCGCTCCCCAAGGATACCCACTATATGCGACGGCAATCATGAACCCGGGTCCCACAAACTTGCCAAATGTCATGAGGTCGCTCCATCGCCTGTTGATCCAATTCTTCTCCCTCTTGTGAACGGCATGGCTCGGCAAGGGAAGTGTCGGTCCTTCAAGGAGCGAAAAAGGGCCTTCGTCGTCGATCCGCGTCTGCTTCTTGAGCGTATTCGGGGCAAAACCCTCAGTGCTGGCCGACGTGCCCTGCGACGATACAATGGCATTGAGGTTGATGAAATCCGGTGGCACGTCACTCAGTCGCCTTGACTCCGAGTGTGACTGGCCGTGTAGAGTTTGGCTGATGGTGTAATCGGCGGTGAAAGGACTGACGCTGGATCGGCGGGAACTGCCACCTTGCTGAGCGACGGGCTCATCCAGCCATGTAGGCTTCATGGTATCCCAGGTAGCAACGACAGGTTTTGATCTGGTCCGCGATGCTACATTCCAGGGGGACGATTAGAATTGATGCCAATGTGTGACCTTAACAAGCAAACTCGTCAAAACTTGCCATGGAAGCGCTTATGAGCGGCAGCGTTGAACCCTTTGCAAGAGCGCCAAAGGGGGGGAACAAAAGACTCCTCGGTTTGAGGAGGAAAACGGGAAACAGCATAGTTTTGTCACGTCCAAAGGTGCCGATGCTGAAAACGGAGCCGGAAACACTACCAGATCCTCACTCAACGGCAGGAAACATTGCCGAATGCGGTCTCCGCGAAGGCCTACGGCGCCTCCGTATGCGACACCACATCGTCATGAGAGCAAGCCGTGGGAAACATCCGACCGAGCTACTGGGACGCCCAAGAAAGACGGAATGGAACCGAGCAGTGGGTTTTCCCTTCGAAACAGGTCCAGATGTGCGAGGGTCCTTCTTGGCTAGTGCGGACGGGGCGGGACGAGCAAAGAAGGACGCTCCACGAATCGCCCGCCACTAGCAGTCGGTCGAGTCTTGGAAGAATGCTTCTGGACCAGGCTTCTTGAGACCTTTTGTCCGCGTTCGGAATAGCCAGTAGGAGAGCGCACTTGCTAATGTTCACCAACATGGCGAAATCAACGATTACGGCATGGCTTGCCTTTACAAGTCTGTGAGGAGTGGATAAAAGCAGAAGTTGAAGCTGTAGCGTAAACGGAGGCGCCTAACCATGTCATGTAAATTGCATCTTCTGGTTGGCCTGACTAGAAGCGAAGTTTCTTTGGTCTGAATCACTAAAGTAATAGGTATTCGACAGCCGAACTTTGTTGAAGGCTGATGTCCATTTTTTTGGTCTCTCTCTCTCTTCTCCCTTGGCGGGCCGTTTCGAGCTTGACTCGGCCGGCCGCCTTCGGGAAGATGTGTGTGTGGGACGGTCAGCTCACCGGACTGACCGGGCTCACCGAGACCCATATCACCGCAGTACCCCGGCGGGGACCTGCGTGGCTCCGTACACCCCCTGTCGTCCGGTCTTGCGCTCGGCCCCGATCCGGAACGGGATGTGGAGATGGGTTTTGTGCTGTTGAAGCTGGGCCTCTTTTCGCATTCACCTAATCTTCTTGGTGTCCTTGCCAGCAGCACGTTCGCGGTCTCTCTTGGCATAGATGCCAGCAGTGAAGGGGTTCTCATAGCGCAGGGCAATTTGGTAGACGATGAAGACCCAGACAGTCAGCAGGATACCGGCGGGCTTGCCGTAGATGAGGGCGGCGCCGAGGAAGCTCATGGTGGAACCATTGTACATCGGGGCGTCGGTAATGCTGAAGGGGAAGCCAGTCACGATGCTGTCCATCAAAATGCCGAAATAGTCACCGAGGAACGTGCCGGTAATACCCAGCTGCCATGTCGAAGAGAGAACGAGAACGTTGCCACATGCCACGAGGGCGTATCCGACATAGGTCACCGCATCGGACGCGAGAAGTGGGTGGGCTGGCTGGAAGCGCAGGGCCCGTTCGTAGAGAAGATCACGGAAAATGCCGAGAGAAAAGATGGTGGCAGCCAGACCGTAGCATGCAGCTTGCGAACGTCCGCCAGCGAGCTTGGTGAGGATCTTGTTCTTGTACTCTAGGAACCAAGCGGGTTAGACGGTAGCTACTGGGACTCGACCGTGGCGGCTTCACGAACCTTGTCTTGCGACGATGCTACGCAGATGTTAGCACACAACTTGGCTGAGGCACGTTGACGAAGATAGAAAAGCAACTTACTTCCAGAACAACGGGTTGAAGGCAATTGCAGCCGCAGAAACTGTTTGCAACGAATTGGGTCAGCGGGGGAGGAAGAGGCGACGACGAGAAGCCTGAGAGGAAAGGAAGGGCCCAAGCTCCACGGGTACAACATGACGTACTGAGTAGGCTCTTCTGGTTGAAGTCGACCAGGGCCTTGTTGTCAATCTGGACGGGCGCCATGGCGAATAACGATGTCAATGAAGAGGAATGCTGTTGTAGAATGAGAGAAATTTGCAAGGCAATGCAATGAGTAGTTTTCCTCTCAAAAGGAAGAAAACCGTTGAGGACAGAGAGTAGCTTATTTAGGAAGAAGAGAAGGATGGGTTGGGAAGTCTCGTAGGCTTGTGACAGAAGCTTGCTCCACCCCAGGTATTTATGTTAGCGGGGACACCTGGCCATAGCGTCTCGTCATAACGCAGTAATGCACCGCTGGGGGGGTCCAAGGGTGCGGTTTACGTCCTTAGGTAAGTACTTTTTATCCTGTTACCTACCTTTCCGCACTATGAGGTACCTCACATTTACCGTTTGCTCTAAAGGTAGCCTTAGGTTTCTTTTCTTCACGGGGTTTCGACGGTCTTTGGGGCTGGGGTAAATGAACCCTCCAACCCCCGCCGCAGCTATCCGATCCTTGACGCGGCAAGCGATAGCTTGAGAGAACGAGCTCCTTTGCCAGCGCATCCAACACAATCCAGTCCTCCAAAGACTCTGAGACGCAAGGGAAGGCAGTACGGAACCATGAACTGAAAAGGGTCATCAAGAAATCCAGCATATATATATAACTAACTAGAAAACAGCGCGCCGCCTGGACCAATTCGCAACGTGGGGGGTATCAATTGCAACGTCAACCGCCAAACACCATAACCCGGAGACAATCCCTCAAAGTAAGCCAACAACGCCCGGGCACCCATTCACCTGCGATTCCTAGTCTTCTTGGCTACGGTGCCCGTGTCTTCCTCCTCGTCGTCCTGGCCCTTCTTGAGATCCTCCGTGAGGCCCCACTTCTCCTTGTCGTACCAGTCCTCGCCGTCAGACATATCCCGGTTGGCACCACTGTGCGCTTCCGACTTGGACCACTCGAGAACTGTGTTGCGTAGCCGGTTGGCCTTGAGAAGGCCTTCGTGGAGCTTCATAGCACCGCGGCAGACCTCCTCTTGTTTTTGGACGTACAGGGCTAACAGGCGGCGGATATCCTCGGCCTCTGCCTCTGGTAGACCCACATCTCGGTCTGGACGAGCGTTGGCCGGCGGCCGGAAGAATGGGTGGACAAAGGTTTCGTCCGCCGCCTCCGATGCCGTTGCCATTGACGGCGCATGCGTACCGTTGCCATCAGCCAGCTCTGCTCCGGGCTGTGACGGAGGTATCGCGTTGCCGTCGTGCATTTCAACGTCAACCGCCTTTTGTTTCTGCTTCTTGTCGGCTTTGCTTTCAACCTGTGCCTCCTTGGCTACCGTGCTGGGCTTTGAAGTTTCGCCGTTTGCTCCCTGGGATACGTCTGCTTCAGGCTGAGTGTGCTCCTTGTCTGCCTTTTCAGATGCGGACTTTGCAGCAGCATCCCCCTTCTCGGAGCCGGCATCAGTCATTGTCACGTCCCCATCTTCATTGTCCTTGTCTCCAGACGCCTCGCCGTTCGTGCCGTTTGGCGCGTGTTCTGGTTTCGCATCGCCGCTCAACGTACCAGAGGAGGCGTCCCCGTTTGATCCGGCAGTGGTGGCTTTCGTGTTTTGTAGGTAGCCGCGTTCGACGTAGTCTGTTGAGTACAAGTCGGCATCGTCCGGACCGACCATCATGCCACAGGGGACCCATGTGTAGTCGCCGCATATCTTTGTGAAGAGATGCCTGACTCTCCACAGCGACGCATTTTCTTTCCGTCGAACGTCGCAGCTTTGCTCGGCTATCTCGTCTAGGGTCTTGGCCGTGAAGGGTTTCGAAAGGGTCGGATGTTGTGGCAGATCGATTGAGGCAGTCAAGGGAGCTAGGATTTCTGGTCGGGGGTCAATTAAGAGCCTGGGACCGCGATTGATTCTTGTGGTACTCACGTTCAATTCGAATATTGGCGTAGGGGTCAAGCTCTGTGGCCGAGGCGACAGCCTCTTGAATGCGCTCCTCGTCGTCGTCGCTGTCAATCTCGTATCCTTCTTCGTCTACAATGGGAGGGTTGCGGCTGATTATCGTGCGCTGCTGGCCGGCGTAGTCAATCACCTGCAATGATTAGTGCCGATCGAACGCCGTGGGCGGGTATGCGGAAGGAACTCGCGACGTACTTCGTTGTAAACTTCAGGACCGGAGGGTGGTGCGAGTTGACCTTTGTGAGCAAAGAGTGCGCGCTTCTGCAGTTTATGACCACGGTTGCCGTAGTGGTCAATCTCGTCGTCCGAGTCGGATTCTGCCAGGTGCTCGTTAGAATGTGAGGTCGACAAGACTTCACGACGGGAAGTGATTCCTGTGCGTACCATATGCTTTTCGCTTCAGAGCCTTCTTCATAGCGGCCACCGTCTCGGCGAACAGGATCTGTTGGGTTGCCATTGCGCTATTCAGACTCTTGCCCCTGGCGACGTGCCCAAGCGATCACGGAGGTGGGTGTGGCGGCAGCGGCAGCGAGAAGCAGGACGAGGGGAGAGACTTGTGGTCGGTTGGAGCTTTTTTCGAGTGAAGAGACTGAACAGTCCCAAATGACTGGTTATTGAGTTCGAAGCGGATCGGGAGAGGTGCGAGAGGAAGTCATTTACGAGATCGGGTCGGAGAATGGTATGGTGTGGGAGAGGTGTAGGAAAGGTAGAATGGGTAGCCCTCAATTTCTGCGCGCAGCCTCTGTGACGAGGCGGGAGGAGAAGCACGCGGGCGGGCGAGGCTGGATTTCCTGGCCCTGTGGAGGGTACCCGACTGCGCTCCCACACTGATGAGCGTCCTACTGCCGATAGGTACAGGGCGACTGCGCTGCGCTTTCCACTGCTGCCAGGTTCCCGTCCGCTCTTTGGAGGTGGGTCGACCATGACCGCATTTAGGTGTACAGCCAATCAGGGCACCCAGCATCGGCAGCCACTTTACCCGACGCCGAGGTGTCCTGCTGTCGCTGATCGGCTGTGCCTCCAGCGCTGTTCAGGGGGTGTCCACCTGCTTTGTGGTCACTGCCCGTATCACTACGGCGGGACGATAAGGTACTTGTCGCCTGTACATACACAGTAAGGTAGGTAGGTACCTAAGGTAGGTAGCTTAGGATTACCAGTGGTGGGCTGGGATTGGGGCGAGGTGCGGGACGAGAGCTGTGATACTTTTGACATGTACCTTTCTTCTCACAGACCTGTTGGAGGACGCTGGACACCCATGCTTGCGCGCTCCTCAACTTGCACGAAGCTTCCCCATTCGCGACAGCGTGCAAGTCTTCCTCACTGCACGCTCTCTTGCTGCAATCGCCTGGTTTCCTGATCCCAGCGGCCATGCTCCCTTGAGTACCGCTTCCGTGAGTGCCCACTACCTTAGCTACTGCTATCACCAGTAGGACACGCTTCTAACGTGCAGTGTCTGTCTAGAGTAGCTTAGCGATCCGGTCGACCCCTGCCAAAAGAATCGATATCTTCATGGTCACCCTGCGCTGCATGCTCCAACTTGATAATAATGGACGGATACCCGGTTGGAAGCCTGGATCATAACATCCCGCACATCGTCATTGCCGGCCTGACTTCGAGCCCCGCCAAAGCCCTGCCTCTGAACGCAGAGCTTCGAGACCAGGCCCTCTTGATCCGATCCGAGCTGCCAAGCATAGAAAGCCCGAATGCCGAAGCTCTGAAAGACTACATAGTTCGTCAAGATGGAAGGAATCACCCATGGAATGGCAAGGACAGCGGGAAGCCGTACAGGCTGCGGGTCGCCGTTGCTGGCCGAGTACGGCGCGCACCACCTACTTGCATCAAGTCATGGCTAACATCTGCATAGTCTCTTGTTCTCCCTCCTCGCCGTGCTAGACTTCCAGACGGCATAGAAGCTCCCGAGACGCCCGCTGTGCTGCATTCGCCCTTTTCTCCTCTTAGCCCAGTCTCTCCACTGTATCCCGATGGCTTGATGAACACAGACTGGCTCCAAAAGCATGAGGACATGGTTCCCAGTGTCTATGTATCATTCTATACCCTGACGACTGATCCGACACTTGCTACCCTTCACGACAATCAGCTGAAAACGGACATCAACAACACCAAGACCGCTATCAGCAGGTCAGGCTACAGGACACGCTTCGCCGTTGTTCTCCTGAGCGATGGCGTTGCTTCGGCTTCTATGCAAGATTTCATGCAGGAGAGACTCGAAATCATCAGGCGAGGCGTTGCTTTGGACAACAAGTCCTTCTTCTACCTGTCACCCCAGGACCTTTCAACAGATTTGGAGCATACTGCAGACTCCATGCTTGCGGCCGTCTTCTTGCAAGCCATAGAGTACTATCGCGATCTCGGCCGTCATGCTCGGAAGAAGCGCAGCCGTGGAATTGCTCCACAACCTACAGTGCCGCCCACGAGCACTTCCCAAACGACCTCGGTGCAAGACTGGAATGTACGATACGATTACAAGACGGGGGTTTTCGCCGAGTTCCGACAGGAGATGGACGCGGCGCTGCGCTCATATGAACAAGCTTATGAGGGGCTCCTCAGTCAGGACGTCATGGACATAATCCCCAGCTGGAGCCCGAGGTGGAACGAGGCGCGCATGCTTGCGGATGTGCTGGCGATACGCAGCATTCGATGCCTGCTCTGGGGTTCACAGAACACTGCTGCCGTACGGAAATGGCACACACATCGGGACAGGATAGCCGACTTTGTCGATCGACGCGGCCGGGGAACGAATAACTACGGATGGGCCGCATGGGAATCGAGGTGGGCGGTAGTGATGGCGAATCTAATCGAGAGGGTGGACATTCGCAGCTTAGCGCCAGCAACGCGAACGTTATTTCTCCAGCCTGAAAAGGCAGCTGCAGCCGATCGCTTACGACCATGGGAAATGCTGCATCACACGGGATATTGGTATCGCATCGCAGCTGAGCACCTGATGACCCGGCGAAGACTCGCCCGGTCTATTCCAGAAGAAGACCGCCGCTCGCCAGATACCACTCCAGCTTCGGCAGTTGCGAGCAAGGCCTTCCAATACGACACGTACATGTGCCCAGATCCTCATGAGGAGTTTCCTCTGCAGGGGACGGGCGTCAATCATTCTAAGCTCATTATAGACATTCTAATGGCAGCTAGATCCCAGTTCCAGGCACGGCGTCAACTGCGGTTATCGGCCGAACTGTCTTTGGAATGCGCGAAAGAAATGGTGAATCTAAAGGCCTGGGACGACATTGTTGCTTTGCTGCGACCTCTCTGGGAAGACATGTCGTTCAGATCAGAGGGATGGCTCAATATCACGGAAGACCTGAGCTGGGTGTTACGTGCTGCGGCCGCCCGCATTGGTCACGGGGAGCTTGTAGTCGCCATTGACTGGGAGCTGATGAACAGGAGTAAGGTCTTTTCTTCTCTTCATCTTTACGTATACTGACTGCAACACAGAGTTCACGCGGCGGCCCAACTGGCACTACGACATCTCCAGGTCCCTCGAGGGACTCGATATCGAGCCAAAACCAGCTGTGACCATTAATGACGATGCGGTTTCCTCCTTCATCGCCGCATCCTTTATGTTCAAAAGCGAGGATGGTAAAGCTGGCGAGAACTGTCAAGCGCAAGTTGCCATTCGATCCGACGCTTTCCCAGATGCATCGGCGGTGACGCTCAAGGGCCTCAGAATCGACTTTGAAGGTAGCTTGAAGACCATCACACTAGATCATGACCCGGAGTCCAATGGTGGAAAGAGCAAGGGCAACGTCACGCTTGTGGATGTGCCCCTGACCGAGCAGGCTCGAGCCGGCGAAGAGGAGGAGGAGGAAGGCTCATCAGGGCTAAGCGGATCTGGAAACCTGACCCTGAAGCCTGGGCACACGAACGTTTACGAAATGGCCATACCTCTCCGGGAGCCCGGCGAGGCGCACGCATCCTCGGCGACGTTGATCCTGGAGACGGACACCTTTTTGCTGAATTATACCGTCACCTTCCGGGATCTGGGGGCTACGGACTTTTGGTTTGGACCATCACTTTCACGGAGACGGATCGTGCGGCAGAGTGCGCATGTTATCCAAGTCCAGGCCAGGCCGCCCAAGCTGGAGATCAAGCTAGCGCAACCCCTGGATCAATTCTACGCAAACGAGCCAATGGACCTGATTGTGGATGTTGTCAATGCCGAGGAGACTGATGCTGTCGCTAAGCTTGAGGCTCACGTCTTTGGCGAACAGATCCCGGCCTTCCGCGTGGACATTGAAGATGAAGGAGAGCATGTTGCAGAAGCTGGTCAGGAGGAGGCCAAACTTACGGGGTTGACACTTGGAAGTTTGGCAACATCGCAGTCAAAACGTGTCAAGATCAGGCTTGAACCCGTACAGCTGACCACCTCTTTCGACGTCACGCTGAGAGTATTTTATCATCTCGCCACCGACCCAGCTACCTTGATCATGCAGATTCTACCCGTCCAGCTCAACGTCGTCAACCCCTTTGAAGCAAACTACGATCTTATTCCGCGTCTCCATTCGGATCCTTGGCCGAGCTTATTTGATTATGAGGGCGTGCAGGACCCCTCCGCAGACGAAGCTGCGATGCAGCCCCGCGGTCTGGCACAAAAGTGGTGTCTCGTGTGCCACTTTGCATCGTTCGCGACGGAAGACCTGGAGATTGTCAGCATGGACGCCGAAGTCATTGCCTGCCAGAACCACGCACGATGCACCACCGCGACCCGCCCAGAAATCGCAGAAGGCGGGCTCCGAATCCCACCGAAGCAGATGCAGGAGGCCCAGTTCGACCTGGTCGCTCAAAAGTTCAGCCTCGACGATCGGGGCCCTGCATCGCTCGATGTGGCTTTTGTCCTCAAGTGGCGCCGCACATCAACAGCCTCGTCACCAGCGCCGGTCAACACAACCAGGATGCTTGTCCCGAGATACATCGTCTTGGGCACCGAGCCTCGCGTCCTAGCTTCGTACTCTCTCGCCAATACCGTGACGGGTTTGATACATTTGGACATCACTATTGAGAACCCGTCGAGTCATTTCCTGACGTTTGGCTTGAACATGGAGCCCAGCGACGAGTTTGCGTTTTCCGGCTCCAAGCAGACCACGGCGCATGTGTTGCCCGTGTCTAGACGAACCATTACGTACCGGTTGCTACCTTTGATACGGGGCGACTACATCCGGCCCACACTCGTGGTTCGGGACAAGTACTTCCAAAAGGTATTGAGGATCATACCGACGGAGGGGATGAAGATCGACAAGGACGGCCTGCTGGTTTGGATACCGCCAGAGGAGGGCGAAGTGGAAGAGGAGTAGGAGGGGCCGGTGATGATGATTGCGATCAAGATGCCGGGCTTTCTTGTGTACATAGACTCTACATCTAAAGGTGTCTCTAAACATCCAGCTCCACAAAGGTGCCAAACACTACCACGCTCTCGCTCCTCTTGATTCTAAACTTTCGTCGCTCGTGAACTACACACACATGCTTCTAGATCTTCGCCTTGGGTGGCCGCGCCGACCCCCCAATCTTACCCATCCACTCCTCGGTAAGCGTCGTCTTCTCCTCGACGCTCAACCTCGTCCACCGCTCATACTCCTCCTGCTCGACCCTCCACTCCCCCATCACCTTCTCAATCCACTCGGCCGTCAACTTTGCACTCGTGCCCGGAACCTCCATCGGGAACAAATGCCCGCCACCCTCGAGCGTAACCTCTTTGACTCTACCCCTCGCAACCCCACCGCTCCCGCCTACCCCGGTCCCCGTCAACCGCATCTTCTCGTCACGCAGTTCCGGCGTGGAGAGATCGCTCGCGCCGCCAAACACGTAGAGACAGCTTGGTCGTAGGTGCGGGAGGCGGACGAGGGTGGAGGCTCCCTCGGAGCGGTAGACGGGGAAGGTGTAGTAGCGCTCGTTGAGGGCCGGGTCGAGGTCCGGGACGAGGTCCGGGTTGACGAGGTCCTTGCCGGAAGAGTCGTAGGCGTGCCAGGAGGGGCGGAAGTAGGTGAAGACTTCTTGGTGTTTTGTCGTTGCGAGGGTGACGCTTTCTTTTGTGATGGGAGTTTTGGTGCTGGAGGTGGTGGAGGGGTAGAGTTGCGTGGGCACGTCGCGGAGGCCGTGGTCCATCCACGCTTCGAATACCCTCTCATCCCAGCCGCGGTAAAACGGGCTCTTGAGGAACGCTTTGCGCGCCTCCTCGCGCGAGGGCCAGAGATCTCTGCGGCGGGCGCTCGCTGCGGCGGGGGAGGCGGCAATGGTGCCCTTCGCGTTGGAGGACCATTTCGAGATGACGGGGTCTAGGAGGACGACGCCGGAGAAGAGGCGCGGGTTGATGAGGGCGACGTTGACGATTGCGTTGCCGCCGAAGGAGTGGCCTACGCCGAGCAGGGGGCGGGGCGGGCGGAGGGTGTTGATGAGGTGGAGGAGGTCGCGGGGGTGGTCGAACCAGCCCGGGTCGTTGCCGAGGAGGGGTTCGTTGAGGGAGGAGGAGCGGCCTTGCCAGGCTGCGTCTGCGATGATGATGGAGCGGATGCGGAAGGTTGAGGTTGGGAGGAGGGATTGGGCGTGCAGTTCTTGCCAGAGGGCTTCGTAGAGTTCCTGTGGTGATTAGTGAGCGTGGTGTTTGTTTGTGTGTGTGTGTGAGTGAGAGAGGAAAGAGTTCATGGGGGATATGAGAGACATGAGATGAAGGTGACGAACCTTGGGGAAGCCGTTGGCGTGGGCGCCAATGATTGTGACGTCGCCGGGCTTGGGGTTCGGGTTGTCCTTTGGGATGTACTCCTTCACGGCGAGCTTGAGGACGTCGTCTTGGGAGCGGGAGAGGGCGCGGGGGAACTCGCGGATGTGTGAGCCGTCTAGGACGTGCTCCTTGATGTGGAAGACGGAGGACATGTTGATTGTTTAGTGAGGCTGTTCAGTTGGAATTGGGATGAAGTGAGATGAATCGAATTGAGTGAGCTTCACTGAGTGAACGACTGCAGTTCAGCCAGGATACACTCAGCTCATGTGTGAGAGAGAATGTGTATGTGTCTGGTATGAGTGTTGAGTAAAGGGAAATAAGATGAAATAGGTCAAGGTGAGGCCAGGTCTCAAAACGTCGTCTACAGCTTCATCGGCTACTCAGGTAAGGTTGGCAAGGCAAGATTGACGAGGTTAGAAGACGGGACTAGACTTGCGACGAAAGGACCGGGTCGACGTTCGTTAGTGAGGGTGAAAGTCTGGGGTCCTGGGGTGTTGTGTGGAGCTGGTAGATGCCGAGGTACCAGCGGTTACCGGTACGGAGTACGGGTACGCCCCATGCCATGTACCTGAGCCGACACTACCTGTGCTGTATTAGTATTTAAGGTATCTGTACCTCAGTTCGGCTCATACCCATCCCCGAGGCCGTAGACATCATCCATGTAAGTAGCACTCTCAAGGCATTTATTTGATGGCATTTGCAACCGAGAATTCTGGCAAGATGAAAAGGAAAAAGCAAACTCAAGAGAATCAACCATGTCGGCGTGTTCATTCCATGTCTTGGAGGTAACCGACTCGGGGGGGGAACACAAGTTTGACAATGGTTAACACCATCAGCCACACGTTTGAGATGCTGCAGTCTCGCCATCTGAGATGAATTGAGTTTTTCCCTGTTGCCCATTGTGCGAGTATTCTTCCTTGTGTCGTGTTTGTGTCTGTGTTTGTGTGTGAGTGTTACCCGCCTGTCATCCATTCGCTCCCGTGTCTCTCGTCATCAGAATTCGGCTCTGTTCTGGAGGGACCTGTGACGGACTGGATGACCCAATTCTACCCCGCAATCTCCAATCTTCCAGGCACGCCGCATCGCCAGGTTCTCGTGCCCCGCAACACTTCATCTGCCACACCTCGCCCGACCAACATCTCACCGAGTCCACTCCCGTCACCTACACCCACACACCCGCCGCCGCCGGACCGGATCCGGTCCAGACACCCCTGCATGCCGAAAGTCATCATCTTCGCCGGCGCCCCCGAGGCCGACTGGTCATCTCCGGATTCCCTCCTCCTCTCCGTCCCACCCGCTTTACCCGGCTCCACTTCAACGTCAACGTCAACCTCATCGTCAACCTCAACACCAGCAACTCAAAACGCAAATACAACCACGATAGCCCTCCCCGCCTGGCGATCCCTCCCCTTATACCACAAGCCCCTAACAACAGGCTACTCCCAACCCCACGGCCTCCCCTCAAACTTCCTCCCCCCAGCACACTTCTTCTCCCTCTCCTGGGACGCCCACCAAGAAACAACCAACAACGACACCACAACCACAACGGACTCCCAAGACCCCCTCTCCCAGCAATTCTACAACCACTCCCTAGCCCTCCACCACGACCTCGCATCCTCACAACTCCCTCCCCCTCCGTCCTCATCACAACCTCCACCCCCGCAAAACCCATCCAGACACAGAGACAACACCTCCTTCAACACAACCGCAACAGACTCCTTCATAACCGAAACAACAGACTCTTTCGAAGACACCACAGCAGACCTCTCCACCTCACTCTCCACCCCGCGCCCTCCCCTCCTGACGTCAACCCACCACCTCTCCGACCTAGAAGACATCCCCCCGGCCCCCTCCCTCCTCCGCCTCGCCCCGCAGACCGTGACCGTGAACCTCATCGCCGGCGTAATCTCCGTCTCCACCCCGCGAAGCGTGACCACCCGCTGGGGCAACGAACTATCTCTGGTCGAGGTGCTCTTAGGGGACGACACGCGCGCCGGGTTCGGTGTTACGTTTTGGTTACCTGCTATGCCGCCGCCTCCCCCAGCAGCTGCGAAAAACACCGGTAAGCCCGCATCCGCAGATCCGACGTCGCCGGCGAACCTCCGGAGACAAGACGTCGTGTTGTTGCAGAATGTGGCGCTGCATGTGTTTCGGGGGAAAGTGTACGGGCAGAGTCTGCGCAAGGGGTTGACCAGGACGACGGTGCTTTATAGACGGAAGTTGGGGGAGGGTGATGAAGGCGGTTATTATCGTCCGAGAGACCTGGAGAGGTCTCCCGCTGCTGGAGGAGGGGATGGGAATGGGGAACCGAGCACGGTACATCCGCAGCTTGTCAAGACGAGGAGGGTGCGGGAGTGGGTGATGAGGTTCGTTGGCGGCGGCGGCGGCGGCGAGGAGAAGACGACGGCGAGGGGGGTTGTGAAGAGGGGGTGGGATGCGTTGCCTGATGATACCCAGTGAGGTGTGTGAATCACTTCGCGCTCGGAAAAGGGAAAGGGAAGAATTGTTGTACTGATAGATGCTCTGAAGGCATGGGTTATTCTGGTTTATACGCTGGCGTTGAGTCGAGTACACGACTTAAAGTAGAAAGCGAACCATACAAACACCCTTAATACCTCGTAGCTGGCAGCATGATCGACATGTTCAGGTAAGAGCACCGTACTGTACTTGGAATCTTCCTCTAGCCCATCATAACCGGGGGCAAAGTAGTAATTATTCAACCTTTGGTCCTCGCGCCACCACCGCCAAACCCCTGTTGTCTGGTAGCGTACATGGTGAGATTGTGCACCGCCTCGCGCATAAGCTCTGCCGTTGCGGTCATTCCTCTCCTGAGAGTGCTTTAATGATCGTAAGAAATGGTTTTACTTCCTCCTCAACGTCCAATTCATCCATAGTGTCCGCCTGACGCCGTACACCCCATCCCGCACCTCGCAGGCCCTCCCCGCCCACGCCACCAGTCATGGCTGTTATCCGGCTATCCTATTACCTCGAGTATTCTGGTGAGAATATACAAGTGACAACCGCCAACATGTCTCTTACTACACTCCCGAAGCCCATCGAGCAGGAGAATAACATCCAACTCTTCAGAACCTTCACCAGGCCACCACCATCGCAGAGAACGTTCTGGTAGGGGGATAGTCGATCCCCGAGCTTTGGCAGACTCCTTGTAAACAGCATTGGCACCATGCGTGGCGTGCTCATTAGTAGTACTATAGGTAGGGAAGAAAGGACGTTGAAGAAGTAGAGTTAGCTCAGGTATGTGATAGTTATTAGTATCCCGTTCTTAATTACGGCCCTAGGCTACATTAAGAATTCTGGTCACTACTGGGAGCAGTACGACTCGCAACAACGATAACAACAACAGCAGCAGCAGCAGAGCCGCTATCCAAGTCGGGTGCGGAATGATTTGGGGCAAGACCCGAGTGCGGATCTCAGTCCCCTTCACCATTGATCTGACATTTAGTTTTCTCTTCGATCCCCCGTGAAGGAACCATTTCTTGCTCGTGGTCCTTGGACTGAGAAGCTGGAGCATGCTCATGCTTACTCTGGTGCCCCTCAACGTTTCGTCTACACTGAAGGCTAGGACATCATACTCCGCGGTGCCCTTCATTAGGAACAGCATTCCGGGTCTTCTTCCAGTCTTGCCTTCGGCGGTAGTCTGGTCCTGGTGGTGTTCGCTACTCCGCGGGGACGCTCGAGTCTCTGGCATCTGTCTCTGTTTCTTCTTGGATGCTTCAGCTCGAACTTTCCCCAGCAGGGCCTTCTTGTCACGGACATGAAGGCATACACCCTCAGACCACCACGGCTCCAAGTCAAAAAGCCTACCAACAGCACCAACACTATTAAAAACATCTCGGAGGACCGCCAACTGTAGTTAGGGGATATATCCATAATGAGAGAGCTACATAGCACCGTATGAGAGCACAATTTTCACTTGGAGAGTGACCTTTACCACTCCCAACACCGCTACCCGTCGCCTCACACATCAAATGCATGTGGGCATCCGCTTCACGGACCGCAAATATGGCAGGCAGATCAAGCGCGCCGGACTTAGTCTCGAGCTGCATGACCATACCGGCAAGATCCATAGGTATGACCTCTAGAATAACCGTCCTATCGTCAACATCGATTACGTTAACGAGAACAAGTACGTAGACGAGACCGAGTCCGAGAAGATTAACGTCTACATCTCTCGATAGGAGGTCAAGTCCTATCTCAAGTCATACAACTGCATCTAGCAGCGCATCATCTTTGATGAGGCCCGAATAGCCAAAAAGCCATCCATGACACCACTTTTCAGGACCCGCATGTCTAATACAGGCCTCGCCCACTCTTGATTTTGTCATATGAAAGCATATTAGAGCGTATCAATTACGTCCAGAAGTTTACATCCATACACAATAACAATCCGACATTACAATTTCTAGTCTAAGTAGAGCGGGGTTCTAAACAAACCAATCAATGTTCGAAAGCCATGGTTAATTCTAGCTATATACTCTGTCATTAGGTCGACTACACAAGCCAAAGTAGAAACGCCGATGGCACAAATACCATTACTACCTCGTGGATGGCAGCCTGGTGACAATGTTCAGGTGAGAGCACCGTGCCATACTTCAGATCCTTCACCTCAGTTCCTTTCACTAAGCGCTTCGGGTGAAATGGTCGAGGGATTCATGGGGGAAGATCCGAGTGTGGATCTCAGTCCCTTCGACCATTTGATCCGACGTTTGGTTTTTTGTTCGATTCCGCGTGAAGGACCTGATTTTTCCTTACGTTTTTTGCTCATGGTCTTTGGACCCGTATGTCCAATCTTTACACCAGTAACTGGTCGCATTCAGTCCCTTATCAGTCAGTCACTTGGACCCGGACAATGACGTTCAAACACATTGACAATCGACATTACAATTTCTAGTCTAAGTAGAGCAGGGTTCTAAACCGGGTATCCTCTAAATCTCATGTAACCATTTCCTTCGTATCGTACAAGACAGTGAAAATCTCAGACAGCAACAGCAGCAGCACCACCCTTTCCCTCCTTCTTGACGCTCTTCCATTGCAGGCCCAGGCAGGCAACGAAAGCAGCACACGCGCAGGCAACAGTGACATAGAAGGTGTGCCTGAGTCCATCCATGTAGGCCTCGAGGACCACGTCAATGGCATCAGCACGCCCCATCTGCGTCAAGATGTTGCGGACTTGGTCAGCGCCGGCGTTGATGAAGATCTGGGGGTTGATATCCGGAGCGTTCTTGGTGACTCCGTTAATGAGACCCGTCTGGAACAGTGTCTGGGCGACGGCAATCATGATGGCGCCGCCAAAGGACTGGAAGAACTGCACGCAGGCCGTCGCGACGGGCACCTCCTCCTGGGGCAAGACCGTCTGGACGACGAGCACACCAATTTGGAAACCTGCGCCGATGCCGAGACCCGCGAGCACCTGGTATCCGAACCACTCGCGCATGGGCGTGTCGAGGTCAAAGGTGGTGATCATGCCTGAGCCAACGGCGAAGAGGACCAGAGATGGCAGGATGATGGCGCTGTAGTAGCCAACAATGGAGATCAGAGCGCCACTAGCAATGGATGCGACGACGGTGGCGAGGAGAAGGGGCAGAATCTTGATGCCGGCTTGGACGGCGCTGACTCCTTGGATTGCCTGGAAGTAGAGAGCTGCAATCTGTTAGTGTGATGGTTCTCAAATGTAGTTGATATAAAATCTCATGCAGAGATAGGAGTAAGGGAGGTACTTACACAGATAGTAGAGGAGCGGGAAGAATGCAGCACCAAAGAAGCAGGCAAACAGCATGGCGCAAACGACGTTGCGGTTCTTGAACAGCTTGGGAGGTAGCGTTCCCTTATCGCCCTGCCACAGCTGGATGCCAATAAAGACGATAATCATGAGCGCGAACCCAACAAAGAGTCCGATAATCTTGGAGCTGTTCCAGGGGTACTCGGCGCCACCCCACTGGAGAGCGAGAATGAGGCAGACGATGGCGGGCAGGAAGATGGCCGTTCCGATGAGGTCGAGCTGCATGATGCGCTTCATGAGAGAGTCCCCGTTCGGGTTGTTCTTCCGGCTGATGGTGAGGAGGAAGAAGATGAAGAGCATGGCAATGCCGCCGATGGGGAGGTTGATGTAGAAACACCACCGCCAGGTCGCCTTCTCGGTAAAGACACCACCCAGCAGAGGCCCAGCAACCGAAGCAACACCCCACATGCCCCCAATAAGACCGAATGCCAGGGGTCGCTTCTCGAGAGGCATGGTGTAACTAAGGATGACGATGGATCCGGAGAACAGACCCGCCGTACCAATACCAGCAATGGCGCGACCAACGATAAAGGCAGTGGAGGTTGGCGCAAGAGCGCAAACGAGGGAGCCGATCTCGAAGATGGCGATGGCAGTGAGGTAGGCGTACTTGATGCTAAAGAGCTTGTAGATTGTGCCGTACATTGGCTGCAGGGCCGTCGTGGTCAGGAGGTAGGATGCGCCATACCAGCCGATATCCTTGACGCTGCCGTACTCTGCTGTGATTGTGCCGAGGGCCGGGGCGATGATGGTCTGGTCGAGGGCGACGAGAAAAACGGCGAGGCAGAGGGAGATGAGGATGAGGACGACTTTGAGGCCGGATGGGTAGACGATGTCGTCGTCGCCGGTCGTGTGCGAGGGGCCCTGCTTCTCGTAGGTCTCGGGCATGTTGGGGTCATCGTGAACGTGGTGTTTCTCGGTGGAGATGGAGGGATCGGCTGAGGTGGTGTCACCGAGCTTCTCGTCGGGGTGTTTGGAGCCCATGGCGATGGTGTAGGTTGTGATGAAAACTCTTGTTGTCGTTGTTTTGCTCGAAGGCAGATTGGCTTGTACACTGGTTCAACCGGTGATGTCTATGTTCTTCGTAGCTGTAGAGTAGAGAGGTAGGGAAGACGTCGATATTATTCTTTTACAAACCTAACCTAAGGGTGAGGGAAGAAAGAAAGGGAAGGAGGACCCTGGATGATACAGAAGAGGCAAGAGACGCATGTGAAAAGGTGTGCGGCAGGCAGGGCAGGTTTTATGTATCCATCCGATGAGGCGGGCTGATACTCGCGCTTGCGAGGTAAGATCAGGTCAGGTAAGGTTAGGTACACTAGTAAATCATCCTGAATGACATCTGAGATCGTGAAATTTCTCAGCTGCAGCATCCCATCGGGTAAGACTGCACCATCGCAGACCCCAACCCGATTTGAACACTCGTAAGCCCCAGGGATGGCCCAGCCAAACGCCCAAGCTTCCCCCTGTTCAATGCATAGGTAAGGTAGTAAGACAAGGTATCTTTTCTTTGTGTGCTCCATACTTTGGATACACAGTTGTCATGTAAGGTAGGTAAGCAAAGTAGGTAAAACTACACTAGGTGGGATACCTTAGCGTGAGCTTGTCTGCGTTTGAGTGGGTGGGATGGGGAGGAGAGAATTGGGGAAACGAGTCACTCGGCCTAGACACGCTGCAAACTGTGGTCATCGAAATTGGCAAAAAAGAAGAAAATGTCCGAAGGAGGAACAGGAACGCCCTTCGTCACCATAGTTACGTGAGCTTCAATCGCGTGTGGTGTGTGTCAGTGCCGGAGGGAGGGCGGAGGGATATCGGGCCAGGGGCAGGGGTCACTCCGAGCACAAAGTCCTGGTAGTAGGTACCTATCCTCCCTACCTTATTTTACGGTTTACGACGGCTGCAGCAGACTCCATGTGGCAGTGGATCAAGAGTGCTACTGCGTAGACCACGGTCCATGGATGATGGATCTAAGAGAATCTAAAGACCGGAAAATCCAGACGAATTCCAGGAATTCCAGCCCAGTCGGTCGGCCCATCTCGGTGGTCGGAGGGAAAACTTGTCCGACTTACGCGGGGTGGGTCATCCACTGTAATTAGCGCCCGTGATTGGTTCAAATGTGAGCCGACGCCTTCGGCCCTCGCACTTTGATTTCATAAGCCAAAAAGCCTCTTTTTGGATTTACGACGTCAAGACTCCAAGCGCGCATCCAGCAAACCGCTCAGACCTTTGCTCATCTCCCGTCTCCTTGGTGCGCTACTCCCTAGCGGGCGCCGACCAACACCGCAAACACCTGGCTGCGGCTGAACCCATTCTTGCAGAGTTTGGTGTAGAGGCCCGTAGACCAAAGGCCCATAGACGGCTCCGAGAGTCACGGCGATCCTTGCACTTGCAGCTGCTGTACACAAGTGCTTAAGTTGACTCACACCGTGCGTTCGGCCGATGAATCGCTTGCGGCTCATAATCTGTCCGACCGCCGCGTCTCTGGTCCATTGATGATTCACGAAATGGGACTTTGGTCGGCCGTAGGACCGGACGGACCTGGGTGTCCTTCCTTCGTGGAACCGGACTCGACCAGGGTAAGCCGTGAGGTGATGGATTGCGCCGGGACTCTAGTCGTCTCCCCTGATGTGTAAGTTGTATTACATAACGCCTTCAACGCCGTTGCAGGTTGAGGTAAGGAACGGGACACGGCGACGGGAGGGGCCGTTACGACGGCCGGCCCCCACATGCCGGATGAGGCTATTCGGAAATCCCGGGCCCGACAAACTGTCAAGCACTCACTGGTATCTTATCTCTTATGTCTTGACTAGATTAACTACCGGAGTTGATTTCTCCGAGACTCTGGTTGCCTCGATGCTTGAGATGCATTACCTGATGCCTTTGATGCCGTTGCAGGTCATGGCCCAAGTGGTCAACACCGGCTAAGGTAATAAGTTTAGTCACAGCATTGAGGATCGCACATAATTTTCTCCGCATCAGACGTGTCGTTACACCAAATATCTCGCAACGATATCCTAAACATGAGAGACATCTAAGTCAGAGGTTTCTTGGTATTGTTGGTGCCTGGTGGTTTGGTGGGAAGGCCTCATTGCATCTCAGACTTGTAATCCGGCACTTATAAAAGGCCTCTTTTTCCTCTGGTGTAAGCTACCCCCAATCCTTCCCAGACATCTCTTCTCATCGCAATCAATTTCCGCGCGCACACTTTTATAAAAGCCTGCACTCCAGCCAATATCCCGCGCCAGCTTTCATAAAAGCAGAGAGCTCAGTGAGTAAATTACTTACATAAATCTCAAGCGGTGCCACTTCAGCTCATTCTGATTAACATTTGATGCGCATTGCAGACTTGAATATCACCATTACACCCGAGGCAGCAACCGCTCCGCAACCCCGACAGATCCCATACCGGTCCCAATCGCGAACATGGGTTCACATACCGGTGGCAAGCGCCGTTCCTCCGATGAGACTCCGACCACCGGCAAGTCTGATAGGATGAAGAAGCAGAAGACGAAGATGACCCACGATCATGAAGAGTTCGACACCGTGGATGACGGAGATATCACCATGCAAGGCACCGGAAATGACCATGAGAATGACAGCGAGTTCGAAGAGGCCGATGACATGGATGGCAGTGACTTTGACGACGAGATTGACAACGACCAATCTTTCAATCGCGGCGACATCGCTGGCAAGGACCATCCCGATGTGATCTTGGGCGTGATACCTGAATGGTCCCGTGTCTTGCCCGACTGGCCCTTCGGCCTCGCCCCGCCTGATAAATCCACCAAGGCTGCCAAGTTGCAGAAGAAGGAGCTGGAGGCGGCACAGCAATCAAAGAAATCGTGGTCTTTGGGCCTGCCTCCTAGTCACAAGTTCCGCTCAAAGGATTTCGTTTCCAAGGGTGTCTACAGCCTCCGTGACTATCCGCCGACTGGAAAGCTCGCTTTGAGCCGCGAGGCTCTCATCAAGGAGTATCACGACGCCGGCAACAACACTGCTAAGCGCCCGGTCGCGAATATGTTGCCGGGTGCGCGCGTCCTCATGGAAACCAACACCTACACCAATTCCCGCGGGAACTTCCTCCGCCCGTACCTTCGATTCAGAGAGACCTATGACTTACACGAGTTCTTGGAGACAGGTGGTAAGTAGATTTTCCCTGAGGTGGCGCCGTTTGAGTTTTATAAAACCCCATTTTCGTCACTTCTCCAAGTCTCAAGCGATACCACTTTGTGTCGCTCGCAGTATGTGGTCAGTTGCTGACAAGACCAAGTTTCTCGCGTCCTCCAACACTTTCATTACCCGTGGATCAAATCATACGCTCGCAAGCTCAAGGCCGAAGGCAAGGATCCGCTGAACGCCAAGGGATTCTTCAAGCCGCCGCAACAGCCCCGCAAGAACAACATCTTCCAGGAGATCTTGAGGCTCGATTCGGAGGAAACGCATCAGACCCTTCAAAACAAGTCCGTCGAGGCATATCCCAGCCTGGTAGTGATGAGAATGCCGGAGTTTGCGTTCTCGAAGAAGAGCTTCATGGAGCCCATCGATTATGACAAAGTTGACTAGGAACTCAGCTTTGTCATGGCGATGTGGGCCGTCATGATACACTTCCCGAACATCTTCAAGGAGTGGAAGGGTAATAAGAATGCGCCAGCTCTGTCCAAGGACAATGAACACTTTGCGTGGGGATATTCCCACGAGGACTGGACCAGAGCATATTACACGGTGTCGATGTTCTTATATCGTCGCCGCACCCATGAACCCATGTCATGGGACAAGCGGGCAGCTAGGGTCCCAGAAGATGTGAGCTGGGCGGGCTACTACAATGCAGAAGAGGCCGCGGTGGAAGAGTCTGAAGCTCTCACCTACGACAGCATGATGGCACTGACATCGCTCAGCCTAGAGGAGCTCGTCGCACCGGCGGATTACACTTCCGATCAAGGCTCCGATGAGGACACCGAGGAAGAACGGCACGTGAGATTCCAGAACGACCTGGAGAGAATGAGCATGCAGGACGAGCTGGACCACTACAATAAGATCTACTCGCCGGCACTCGCCGATGCCGAAGCAGAGACCCTCCGTCGGTCCATCCGGGCCGACCAGCAGCATCTGATATTGGGGATGTTTCGGCCAGCCCGGAAAACCACCTCCACGATCAACGAGAAGGCCGCAGCGCTTCGTAGGAGCGAGCTTACGAAAGTCGAACTAGACTTCCTCTTGGATGTTGCGGAAACCATCGCCAATGAGAAAGAGTATGAACGCGCTGGCGAAACCCTCGCGAAGGACACACGCCTGCTTGCGATTTCAAAAGGGGAGGGTGACGAGGCAATCCGACATGCGTTGGCAGCAGAACGCAACACGCCGGCCTACGATGCCGCTGAAGTGCACAATCCCGGCGGCGCCCTGCAATTTGATCCCGACGCCGTGGGGCTCGCGGAGTCCCGCCGCCTCATGGGCGAGAATCTTCCCCAAGACAACGACTTGATAAGAATCGTGTCGGAGCTTCTGGTTGCTCCTAAGGGAGCAACATGGAATAATTGCCCACTCTCACCCGATCAGCCCGATTCCTGTCTCAAGCCGCATCAAATCATCGGTAAGTCTATAAACTGTTGCTGTTTGAGCTTTGCAGAAGCCCCCTTTGTCCTTCCTTTGAAGCTCAAGCGGCGCCGCTTCGCCTTCCTCTTCCGACTTGGATTGCTTTTGCCGAGCCCGCGACTAACCTCTATAGACATCGCATGGCTCCTCGCTCAGCTCTCGCACCCGGTTCGCGCCGCCATTCTCGCCAACGAATGCGATACTGGCAAGACAGCCACGGCTTTATTCGCCCTAGCGGAGGCGATTGCCCGGCACAAGGCGACTAAGAAGAATGACCCGTCAGCAACCTACAAGCCCTCGGCGATCGTTGTGCCCGCCTCCATGCTAGACCAAACGTATTCGGTGATCGTGGACAAGTTCTACCACTTGTTCCGAGTCCACGTGTTTTACCAGGAGAGGCATACGGCGCCCAGGAACCGCCAAAAGAACACAATTGGCTCCCAAGAAGACTTTGTGGCGCTCATGCAGAGGTTCAAGTCGGAAGAGGCGAAGCCGGAGACGGCGAACAACATCATTCTGATGACTTACACGGCCAACAACTGTCGCTTGATCCCGAGTGATCATCAGTCTCAAGTTAACGTCTACGGCGAAGAGTCGGATCAGGTTGAGGAGGAAGTCGCCGCGAAGTTTGAAGACGACTTTGGGAACTCCAACGAGCAGAACACCAGCAGCGGAAAGTCATCGCGCAGCCGGGACGGTCGAAGAACGAGAAACGCGCACTTTGACCTCCCGTGTGAGGTTGACCTCTTCGGATTCATTGCCGACGAGGGCCACATCATGAGGAAGCCTCACTCGCTACCGTGGATCATCTGCGCAAAGTTTAAAAAGGAGTTCTTTTGGCTCTTGACTGCTACGCCGACGGTCAGTGGAATTCGTGACTTACACGGATATCTGTTGGCATTCTGGGAGAATGCCTTTGGATGCAGATCAGCACCTGCTAACTCAGACTCTGCCCTTGAGATCATCTATACCGACCAGTTCATTGAAGCTTTCAAAAAGCGTGACCACAGGGAGATGGCTCGATTAGGCGTTCAGTTCAACACGCTCGTGACAACGACCGAGGAGGCCTTCGCACAGGCGAAGGAAGGTGGCGACATGGGTTACTCACTGAGTACATTCCAGGAGGATAGACGCAAAGACTACCGCGCGGCAATGGAAAACGGAATCCCGATTTACCTCTTGAATCCCCAGAACTTCCTGCGCCATGGAAGGAATACGAAGTGGAGTGTCGAGTTCACCTCGACGGCCGTCAAACATGCCCTGGCCATGTGCCAGGTCCGGAGAGGGATGTTGACGCCAATCACCCTACCCGACGGCTCGCAGACCTGCCTAGGAGAGGATATGCCGCCCTGCGACGTCCAGACCATCGAGCTAGCGCATGAAAGCCGAGGAGATGTCAAGTCCTTGGAGAAGTTTATCAGCAGATACACAAATGATATGTTGCTGCAACCCGTGAGCAGCCTCACTTCTACCGAGGGCGGGGCCGAGGAGATCAACGACCACACCACATCTCGCATCAACATCGCAGCGATGCGGAACGCGTCGCTCGTCAGTACGAATCTCTGCTTTGCGGCGTTGAGTGACCCTTCGAGGCGCCTGGCGCCAGCAACAATGGACGGCTCCGCTGCCGCAAAGATGAACGACGTAATCCCCATGGATGCCACCTACTGCCTGCAGTACTATTACCTTGCTACCCGAATCGACTTGCATTATGCATGTCCGAGAGACACCGTTACCCTTGCTCGGTACGCCATCTCCAGGTCACCTAAAATGGCTTGGTGCTTCAAGTACGCCTTCGAGCTCTCCAACAAGGGCGAGCGATGCCTGTTCTACACTATTAGCCCGTTGACCGCTATGTAAGTCCATTTCCCACCCAAGTGACGCCGGTTGACTTTGATAAATCTTTCTTTTTCGGAGCATTTTTTATCAGTCTCAAGTGGCGTCACTTCAGCCCAGATCGCTTTCCTACAACGGCACCCACTAATAAGACAATAGGATACTGAGCGCCGTACTCACTTTGTGCGGTATTGAAACTCTATACGTCCGCTCCACTCATACCCAGACTGAACGCGACCGGATGCTTGCGGATTTCAACGATCCCAACTCTACAGTGCGTGCATTGGTGACTTCTCCTCTACTGGCCGCGTCTGGCGTCAATTATCACAATGCCTGCCACAACGGCGTGGTGGTGGAGAACTGCCCAAACTTTGGCCTACAATGCCAAGTAATCGGCCGCCTCTGGCGCCCTGGTCAGGAAGAGAAAGTGCACTGGAAGCTGCTGCAAACACAGAAATCTCTGGACCCGTGGATCGAGACGCGGAACCTCGGGGCATACGCGAGCAACGCGGAGGCGGAGGCTGCCATTGACGACCGTATCCAAGGCCCTCTCCGTACAATCTGTGCGTTCGAGATCCTGCGGTTCTACATCGGCGCCGGCTACAACTACTATCCGCGCTGCTGGCGACCATGGAATCTCTTGACAAGCGACGAGGTCCGGGAAGAGGGCATACTGTTGTCGGCGGTCGCGCAGTGGCTCATGGCGCACCCCGAGGACGCAGGAGACGCTGTCCCGATGATCGAAATCGCTAAGCGGTGGAATAAGTCTATGCCGATGACGCGTGACATCATGGTCGGCGCAGCTCGGGAGCTCGGCCATCAGGACTATGTCAAATTCAACTGGTTCGCCGCGATGGACCCAAGCCTGGGCGACCCAGAAGAGAGAGCCGAGCTCTTCAAGGTTCTGGGTATCTAGCACCAGAATTCCGATGAAGAAGAACAAGGGAGAATCGGCAGATATTGATTGACAACATCTTCGGCGATGACGGACCGTGATGAGCTCGTTAGTTTGAGGCAGATGGAATCGGGCTGGGTTTCGCTTTTCTCTTTTGGCTGTCTGCTTTAAGACGCGGATTTGACATGAAATCAATCCGCGTGGAACGGGTTTGGATCTCCCACTAGGGGAGTCGCCCCAGTTTGTACATTATAGTGGTATTCTGGCCTAGGCCCAGTACACAGTCGCATCTCGATTCTCTCTGCCCTTTCTCTTCTTGCGTGACAGGCCGCCGTCTGAGATTCTCAAAAGCCTTTCTTATCACCTGGAGAGAACTTGAATGCTGTCATTCCCTCCGTTTCGCCTCGTGAGCAACTGACAAGGAGCCGTTTATCGCGAATGTCACGAATGGAAGCAGGATGGCGTGACGTGCAATGAGGCTATTTGGAAGTCCTGAAACCGGCAACCTATCAAAAACCCGCTATAGCTTTCTCAAATATATATGATAGTTTGCTCTACCCCCGTTGATCTCATTTTCCAATTGTTCGGGCCGTCCGAAGGGGAAATTTCGTGGCAGCGTGCCCCTCGGCAAGAAAGAGCGACGGAATGTAAGTCAACCAGAGCCCTCTACTTACACAACCCCTTTACTTATACGTATTCTAAAAGGATTTATAAGGCACATCTAATTTATACTTATTCTTATTGTTCTTATTATTCTTTATAGAATATACTTAGAATAACGTAAAGTAGTAATAAGCAAGAAGGTAAGAGAGTTAAGAGAGGATTATCTTATAAACCTTTTTATATATGACCTCTACGCTACGTTATGAAGGTTCTCTTCTCGAAGGTCTATAGCTTGGTACATAACAACGCCTTCCCCTACTTTCCTCCCGCCCGCAAAAGACCACGGAAATGTGCCCATAGGCACGGCGGTTTATCACTACTACCACTACAACCCGAAAAGCACTCCGGCTCCCAGTATGCCACTAACATGCACCTTCATCTCCCCCAAACCATCCAGCACCCGGCTTGCATGGTGATTAAAATCACCAAGAAAACAATCGGCACCGCGGTTGCAACCATTTGCCTCTTCTAGAGGCGGTCCTGGTGATTTCTCCGGCAAAGGTCTAGCCGGCAGAGCACAACGGCTCCGGTCAGAACGTATCTTATGACCAGTGCTACAGAGAGCACTTGAAAACCAGCCCTTGTAGGCCCTTCTGGTTCCGTCTCAGCGACACTGCTGCTGCTGTTGCTCCTGAGCGGCGCCAATGGCGGGCTCGTCCGGGGGACCCTCCGTCTGCTGCTGCTGCTGCTGCTGTTGGTGCGAGCCGTATTGCTCCCAATGGCTACCGGGATTCTTGAGGTGTCTTGGGGTCATCCTCGAGGTGGAGATTGGGGACTGGGCGGTACAGGGCCGGTGGTAGTGGTGGTGCTGCGAGCACGAAACGTTGAATAGGGATGGCCCTTTCGGGCCTCGGCGATGGGGAGAAATGGTTCTTGGGGTGCCATCTTATTTAGCTTGAAGTTTGAGTGTTGAATATGTGACTGGTCATCGGCTTGGAGAGGAGGGATTTTGTTAATAGGTCGAATAGGCGCCCTCTTGCGGGTTGATAAGTAGGGAGTAGTGGCTGTTGTCCGGCCATTGTATCGCCTCGAGTATTCCGATTGCAATATGCACGGGACTCTTGGTAGTACTGTAAGGAGGGAAGAAAAGACGTCGAAGAAGTATATTCAGCTTTTGGATTGGTTGTTGGCTTGGAGAGAAGAGGTTATGTTGACACAAGGAGGAGCATACCGGGGCTCTGATAGACAAGCTTTTGTTTGCATGAGCTCGGGGTCCTCTTGCCTACTTGAGATGAACGGGCGTTATACTTTGGCAGGAGAGAGTCGTACGGAAGGTCCCTTGCCTAAGGCGAGAGGAAGGAAGAGGGCATGGCTTTATGAGCGGAATTCACGATCAAGAAGGGAAGTTGAAGCTCTTATTCCGTAATCTTTAGCGCGTCTTGACAAAAGTCGAAGAGGCTTTCGAGATGGAAGGGAACATCACTGGAAGGTAAGGCAAGTAAGGAAGAATTCCAGGTGGTCGAGACTCTTCCAGCGCGAAAATTGAGATACGCCTGGGAGGCGCTATGGTCTATCTGTCTTGATCATTAAGGGGAAGGTGGTCTTGAGAGAACGTACGTGACGGCAAGTACCATACTGTCGTATTCTGAGGCAGATGTAGCAGCGATATCAGGCACAGGGTCAGTATCTGGTCTCTTGCTGACTGTGTATTGCCATGGTAAGGCAGGTAGTGCGTGACTCACGATGGAGGACTTTCCTCCAAGACGTGACTTCCCCCTGAACCATCCAGGTTTCCACCGGATTCGAATACACAACCTGAATAACCACACAACAAGCCTTCATATACCCCTCTGTGGCCATTCCTGTCACCAGCCAGCAGGCGCCCGTCTAGGTCGACGGGTCAGGTCAAACTGGCTGGGTGGTGGAGTGGTTAATGGTCAACAATCAATTCGCCAACCAGCCTACTCGACGACAGGCTCAGCGCATACCCGAGTTCGAATCCCAGCTTGAGCACCAAAATTTCCCAGCATGAGCACCAAGAGATGTAGCCCCCAAATCGGCACCGAGGGGGTGAACTCTTTTGTCAGTCAGAATGACTTTTCTGATATTAGCCGTGCCAGGATCAATCAGTATGACCTCCACAAGCGTTACTGATTCGAGCTTACATCCGTGGCAGTCATTCATACCTCACAGGAACTCATACCAGATGGGTGAATTCAAATGCCAATTGCGCGTGCTATGACTCAAGACTAAACAGCGTTACGCCGCCATAATATTGATATGTGATGCGATTCCAGCCTTGAGATACAGTATCTCTACCGCAGACTTTGCTTTCTTTGGCAGGCATGTATCTTGATCAAATTGAGCGCCCTACCCATAATCAGCCTCGATCGGGAGTCCAAGGATTACCTCGAAGCTTCTCTTGACATGCTTCATCTTTCCGCCATCCTCGTGAGGTAATCGTAGTGAGAAGCCGCAATCAGGCTCTCCCCGTCTGTGCCTTTCTCTCACTCTCGTCCGGTTCATCCCAAGCGTATGTTGAGTGAAACCCGTCCCACCAGTTCCGGCGAATCACACCGCTCTCGAGATAGGCTCTGTAATTGAAATGCGATGCCCACTTCGCATCGTTCACGTCCTCACCCTTTCCAAGATTCTTATATGAAATAAGCCGTACAATTCGGCTTTTCTCTACATCCCTCCATTCGTACGTGTAGTTGGTGTAACAAAAGGCACAGGCATTCATCCTCTCGTTGCCTAATGAGAGCTGTGGCTCCACAGCCGGATTCCAGATATCGCGTATCCTCATCAGATCATCGCGTGCTAGGAGTTGGCCGTAGATCGCGGCCTCCTTAGGGTCGGTAGGATACTGCATATTCTGCTGGAATATGAAAGGATAAACCGCTTCCCAGTCCACATGCCCGCAACATGGGGTGAGATTGTTCCAAGCCAATATTTGGTAAAGGTAATGGACGTCATCCTTGTCCGCGGAAAGGTCCGTAACGGTCTTGACGATCAGTTCGCCGTCTTTGGAAGCACGGCAGGTCATGGTTTGTACAACCTCTGCCTTTTCATTCTCGTGTCCATAAGAAGTAGGCAACTCGACTAGATACAATTGATCGACATCATACGGGCTCTCTTTAGAACGCCTATAAGCCTCAGTATTCTTGAACAAGTTGAAGTGATAAGAACGGTGAAGATAGGGCGATAGCAGCCTCTGTCGCGGATTTGCGGGTTCCTGACGACAGGGGCGATTATACTCTCTGTCGTTGGCGCTTTTGCTGCTGGGCCAGGATAGATCAGGGTCATGGAAGATCTGACAGGGCCTGCAGAGGATGTTGCCAATCTCGTCCTCGCTGACGTCCCTCTCTAGCAACGACAGCAGCTCGAGCTTCTTATGAGACGGTAGGCTCAGCAGCCAGTTGTCATGTCCGAACATGGCCCACATTCTCTTGCTCGTCAGAGATAGGACTGCGCGGTCGACTATGGTGAGATAAGCGGAGATGCCGAGGAGTAACCCGGTTGGCATGACTTGATCGAGGCCTGGACCTTGGTATGCGTCTTTCCTCTTTCGACGGAGTCGGATAGCGCCAATTAATCGTCGAAACCACGCCTTGGCTGATTTCAGAGGTTTTTTCCGACATGGGTGAGTGGTGCTCTGTGTTTCTGGTAAATGTTCGCGCACCATGTACTCAAAAGGGCCCTCAGGGGCCTCTTCGAGAAGACGACACTTTTCCTCCCATAATCGGTTTCGCCTTGGCCGGATCAAGTGAGACATTACTAACATCACGGCCATGTTGTAGAAAATGTCGAGTGGTTGCTGTTGAGTGTGTTCGAGAAGACTTTGCTGCCCGCCTTTTGTCACCTTGTACATATACATGTATATAGTAGAAAGAGTAAGGCTCACGCCAGCCAACATTCAACTCAGCCTTATCTCCATCAATACCATAGAAGGTTTGGGCCAAAGAACCTTCTTTTGATGGCCAAGTCCTCAAGGCCGGTAAGGTGTTGTGAATCTACCTTAGCTAGGTGGCAGGGTTAGGTGGCGGCGCAGTAGGCGTCTTATGAGGGAGCCTGAGATCTGCCCGAAGCACACGGTAGACGAATACACTGGTGGAGTTCTCTATCATACAGATAGCAAGAGATAGCTTCTCAAGTGACAGAGATCGCGCTAACCTGCCGGCTGAGTACATTGGAGGCATGAATGAGGAATGGCAGCCATGACGACAGTGATGGTTGATCCTGCGACGAGCTATTGACACAACATCGCGAATGCTATGGAGATAGCTTCGCCAGATGATTAGCCTCAAGTGGGTGATGGAACGATCCGCCGGTCAGCGCGTAAGTAATACACAGAGTATACTTAAGGACCAGCGAGAAATAGCAGTGGAAGTGATAGTAGTAGTCATAGGAGATAGAGGTAGAGGCAGAAGGGGCTGAGCGGCTGATTATTCTGCAACTCATCTGCCACCTTTCTGACAAGTTGCGCAATGAGTGAAGAGCTTCATTCACACGTCGAAGTCAGACGTCAAAAAAAGGTTGTTATGGTTCTCTCCCTTGAAACATGGCCCTGAATTCCACCTTGGCCGGAGGTACCGAAGTGCGACCAGACACAATCAGCTCATCACCCATCAAACACTCAACCATCAGAAAGCCAACGAGACCTAAGGCTGGCAGAAGTGAGCAATGACCAAAGGTCTCTGCTATTTTAAGCTTTCGTCTCCCATGACGTTTCGGTTCGGGACTAGTGTGGGGAAGTGCAGGCGGGAGCCAGAAAACACCTGTTTGAGTGAGTGAGTGAGTGACGGGAATGTGAGTGAATGAGAATGGGAATGAAAATGGAAATGGAAATGCCGTTGTGGATCGACGAAACAAATGGGCAGTGCTGAGGTACCTTGGAACTGCAAAGTACCGACAGCAGCAAAGTTGGGTGCGGTGATACCTCTGATTTCCCCGCAAGGGGAAGCCTGCAAATGAGCCTCAGACGGCTCAACACGGTTCGCTGTTCATGGCGCCTACTGCGTTTTCACTTTCCAACCCTGGCAAGCCTGGCCGCATCCAACCGGAAAGGTTATCCCACAGCACCTTGAGGTAAGGTACATTGCTAAGTACCTATGTAGTCAGAGTATGGACGGTAGGTACTTTGACCTCTCCAACGTCCGCCCGCCTGCCAACTGCACTGCCCGCCTACCCGCTGCGCTCGCTCGTCAACCAAACTCCAATTCAACCTCGACCCATCTACGACAACCTTGAGAGGTGGCTGCTCGAGCTATCATTACTACTACTCCAGCCTCCTTTGCGTCGACATCAAACGTACAAAGAGCGCTTCAAATGGTCTTGCGACATTCAACAATGCCATTTGCAACTCCGCATGTTACAACCAATATCTCAATGACATCGCCAAAGCCTTAATCGCGATCCCCGCCAGAACCAGCCCCCAAACGACGACTAGACCCAAACCACCTGGTCCACTACCCACTTAACGTTGCCGAACATCAAGCGTCACTTACAATAAATCCTAGATCGCTCCGTGAATCTGGCTCTCGCGACTACCTCGACAGTTTGAAACCTCACTGCCTTCCGCCATGGACAGAACCATGGATCTGAGGGACATGGACTTTGAGTCTGCCATCGTGGACGACGATAAGGACGCCGACGTTCCCGTAAACGCCCTCAATACTCCACAACGCCTGGGCCGCTCGCCCTTGTCCAAGACGCGCTCCATGTCTGATGGAGGAGGAACTCCTTCCAAGCTCACTCCTTCACCGCACATTGCGGATGGTCGCCAGGCATCCAAGGACGATAACCACATCAGAGACACGGCCACCACACCCGTAACCCCTCACCGAACCGAATTTCCCCTCCGTGGTCTCTCGCTGCAGATGCCCGCGAACCGCGACCCTGCCTCCCCTGCATCCAACTCGTCCACCGCATTTACGAAGCCCGCGCCGCTATCACCGAAGCTCGACCACTCGCAGATCTATGCGAGCCCAACAAATATCCTACCTCGTCGCTCTCGTGGCCTCGACTTCTCACGCGCTGCCACCAGCCTGCACCACTCAACACTCGCCGAGTCCTCACCCGACTCCTCGCCTACGATCGGAGGAAGGGGCATGAATATCCCAGGACGCAGGAGCAACGACTACGGACAGGCCGAGCAAACCACCAACTCGTTGTGGTCCATGATGGGCAACCACGAGCGCATGACGGTGTCGAGCTCCCTGGGCAGCGCGAATCAGATTGGGTCAGATTCTTCTTCCGACTCCGACGACGATGATCTTATGGATGAGGATATGGACGAGCCGTACATTGGTACACCGCAAGCCAACAAGACCGCCGCGCCCTTGGGCACACATCCCATGATGGCGCCCTGGGGAGGCTCTCCGGCAATGAACAGTCTGATGAGCTTCCAGCATAGGCAGCGGCAAAGGAAGCAGCCAAAAAAGAAACACAAACTGCCACTGGGTCTAGGATTCAGTCCTAGCACAAATGCCGGTGTCTCAAAGTCGCCGCCAAACAACGTGCCCAAGGACATGTCGGCACATTCACGTAGGGAGAGCATTAGCTGGCAGGCCAACCAGTTACATATCTCTGGGAGCGAGGAAGAGCGAGGTGATAATATCGACGGTCTACTCTCGACTCCCAGTCGTGATGGGCAGCGCCCAACAGTAATGAGACGGGTGGTTACGCAGCGTAGAAATCTGCTACCCAAGACGAAGAACTTTGCTCGTATCAGGGCGGCTTTATTCGAGGAAGGTGCGCCAGTCGAGACGGAAACCCAAAGAGAGGCCGAAGTCGTCCGTCAAGTGCGAGAGAGTGACGTCGATCTCGGAGCACCTCGTCAACAGACCGTTCCTCCCGCTACTACCCACTCGTCGCCCAACCTAGGGAACCAAGACCAATCCCTCGACGACATACCGGAAAGCATGATCACCGACTCGGCCCTCAATCTCTCGGGCAGCTTTAAGCAACAAGCCTTGAAGAATTCAAAGGGCACCAAGTTCTGGGATACCTTCTCCGAGTCTAGCAGTATCGGCGGTGCTCGCACAACGCCGCCCCCGCCTAACGGGGGACTCCCTCGCGGCTCATCGTCAGGAATGAGCGAAGACATTTGCATGGACTCCCCGTCACTCGGCCCTACGGCTGGTTTTGCTATGGCCGCAAGCAGCGGGGAGTCTCAAAAGGGGGATACTCCTCTCCTCGCCCAAGGCCCGCAACCGGCACCCAGCGCAGCGGAAATCACACGGCGGATTAACAGCAAGCGCAGGCGGGAGGACGACTACGACCCCGTCAGCCTCAAGCGCCGGGCAGTAAGCCCAGGCATGAGCGTGCACAACTCGCCCATTATGCAGAGCCCCATGCAACGCGACGTGGCGCCCTGGGGATCGCGGCCCGGCAGCAACAGCGGCGATAGGGGCGGCAGTGGCGCGCCGAGCGAGTCGGGAAGCCTTGGAGGCGGCACGCCCGGTAGCGGCGCCAACGCCAACGGCCGGGTAGTGAACGGGAACAAAGGACGCGTTGGATTCCAGGGCATGGTTGATACCAACGACGGTCTGATGCGAATGAGCATCGAGTGATTTCTTGAGGCGTGTCTTCGGAAGGGTGGAATTGGCGCAGTCTGCATTTCTTGGGCGTTGGGATAGGACAGTTTGCGTGTGAACAAAATACCGGCGAGAAAGGGGGGTATCAAGGCGAACGAATCTTGGGAGGTTATGGACAAGGAGCAAGGAGCAAATTAGTATATCCATAGAGGCCGAGCTTCGGCACCACACACACACAAGCACTCACAATAGCACACGGGCTACTTGCAAATGAAATAGAAATCCTTAATGAGCAAGATATTGTACACGCCAGAGTGATTACGAAGATGAAGGGATAATTCTCGGCCGGTGGTATCTTCCCCCGAAACGCCCGCGTACGCCTTTAATGCTTCCAAAAGCCCCCTTTCGTCCCCTTTTGATAATTCGATGCGAAATCCATGCCACTCTGTCCCAGGTCCACCATCTCTCTACTCGTACAGCTTCCTCGCGGTTCCCTACCCATGAAAGAAAGAGACAAATGCGTCGAATCCAGCTCTATTCCACACCGACGCCCTCCTCGGGAACCCGCAAACTCCCAAGCTTATCATCCAGCCACCGCGCCAGCTCCTCAGCATGCCGCCGCAACACCACGACGCCGGCGGTATTCACGCTCCCGACGCTGGCGAGGGAGGTGGTCGTCTGGGCGCCGAGGCTGAGGATGCTGTCCGCTTCCGAGGGGGACGCGGGGATCTGGGAGGGCGTGCCTGTGCCCGCGCCGCCGTTTGCGCCTGCGTTCGCTTGGGAGTGGGAGTGGTGGTGAGAGTGTTGGTCGGTAGAGGAAGAAGCCTGCTGAGCTTCGATGGTCTCGGCGAGGGGACCGATGCAGACGAAGAGTAGCCCGCACTTTAGTCTCCGGATGACGACGACCCCGGCGGCGAGTTGGACTGTTATCGTGAGGGGTTTTCCTCCTGCTGCTCCTCCCGCGTGGTATCCTCCATCTTCCGTGTTTGCTGCAGCAGCGCCGGACGACGACGGCGGCGTGGAGGACGAGGAGGGGAGCGCGTCGGGGATGTCGGGCGTCGCGGAGGCGTGGAGGGCGAAGAGGGAGGATGCGACGGTGGACTGGGTGCGGAGGAGCGAGACGGGCTGCGGGGAGGCGTGGGCGAGGAGGCGGCCTGAGGGGGTCGCGAGGAGTGCCGTGTGGAGGTTTGCGTTTAGGTTTGAGGCGAGGAAGGAGGTTAGGCGTTTTGTTAGGAGGAGGGGCGTTGGTTGGTTTAGGGACATGTTTGTTTGTTTCGTGTTGCGAGTTCGTTGTCGAGAGGGGAGTTGAGAGTGGTGAGGAGTTTGGGAGGTTGAGGTGTGGTGAGGGTTGTAGATATCGCGGTTCTGGTGTTCGGGAGGAGAGAAGGTGTGTGGTTCGATGCAGGTTGCTTCGTTTGGATTCCGGTTTGGTGAATGCGTGTTGTCTATCGTCACAACTGCTGAACGTGATCAATGTCGAACCTTCGAAGCTATAGCAAGATGCGTCTGGAAGGGTGAGGGATTGGTGATGATCGGGTGGTGGTTGAGACTCAGGCAAAGATAGAGATCCACACGACTACCAGGTTGTGGTGGTGGACAACCTGGAAGCTGGCGGGCAGGCTGTGGCACTCGGAGCTTCCATTCGAGGTCGCGCGCCAAGTAAAATTTGGACAGCACCTGGCGGAAGGTGGGGCTCCCTGTCAAAACGTCTGAAGGGTACGTACCAACCGTAGGTACCTTGGTCTGTCACGCAGGGAATTTGTTTCCTGTTAGTGCTCGGAATCTACTGCAGCTAAGGTACTTAGACAGCTCAACGTGCTTGTGTCGTGTGATTTCATGGATAAATTGGATGAACTACGAGAGACAAGTGCGAACTACCTTGGTCAACTAGGTAGCTTGAGAAGCTTCTACTCATTCATGTGCTACGACCATGACATAGCTCTTAGAAGCACACTTTCGAGGTCAGTCGGTGAGGTCCCTCTCCCCGATATGCTTGACACCAACACCAAAACCCCATAAGACACCGCTACCACTAATCCTGAATTTCACCAGACATCTTATTCAACACCGTGAACCGGTACCCAAGATCATCCAGCACATCAACATACTCCCTCCCCTCCTCCGTCTCGCACCTCCACTCCTTGTACAACCTCTCCATCTCCTCCGCCAACCCCCTCGTCTGCACAGCCGGTGTCTCGAGGTCATACTCCAACAACGTCCGCACCGCAACCTTCAAGTACCGCGAGTACCCGGACCGGTGCAGCACCTCGTCAAGATGAACATCCGCAGCGGCCCCACCGCACGCCGGACCGGGCCCCGCACGTGCATTCGGCGCCGACCCGGACGGCACGACGCACTGACACCCTGGGAAGTTCTCGTGCAGGCACCCGCGGCTGCCCTTGTGCGTCTCGTCGTCGTAGATGCAGAGCATCTTTGCGCACCGCCGGATGTGGATGCACTGGCACGTCGGGCACCCGTCCAGGCTGGGGAGGGGCCGGCCGGCCATCATGCGGAAGAGGACGGCGCCGAGAGCCCAGTGCTCGTCGCTGAGCGTGTAGAGGCGTTTGCTCTGTGGGCGTGATGTCAGTCGAGCTGCTGTGTGTCTGTACGAAGTTGCTCCGGGATAACTCACCCTCCTCCCCGTATCCTGATACTCCTCCCACTGCCCAATCATCTCCGTAAGACCCATATGCCCCGTCTTGGGCGCAACAGGAAACCCGACACTATGCGGAAGCGGCTCCTCCCTCTCCAGCGCCCCCTCCCGTCGCGCCGGAACCCCCGACACGAAAGCCCGGCCAAACTTGCCCAGCTTACACACGCCGTACGTCTCTTTGCCTCGCGAGTGCTGGAAAAAGATGGACTGTGCTTCAATACCGCGGTGCAGGATGGGCATCCACTCCGTATCCGTCGCCGCCCACGACTTCTCGCCGGTCACCCAGTCCACCTCCTGCCGATATCCATCATGCAGCCAAACAAGCGTACGAATCACAGAGGTAAGGACGTGCCAGCAGAGCGACTCGGGCAGGAAGCACCCCGGCTCGTGCTCCGCGTGTCGGTGGTCCGCAAAGAGGATCTCGAGCGTGCCGGCGTCGCAGATGTCCCAGACCAAATAGTCCTCCGTGGCCTGCTTCTCCGCGCGCGGGTCTAGGGGCTGCTGGCGGAGGTACCCCGCGAGGGAGATGATGTTCTCGTGGTTGAGGATGTGGGAGACGGTGCGGCCCATGTTGTGCGTGTAGAGGAGGTCCATGAGGCCCTTGACCTGGCGCTGCTTCTTGGTCGTGAAGCTCATCGAGTACTTGCCGGCGTCGTAGTACTCGTCAAAGTCGTCCACTTTGCGCGCGATGAACTCTTCGCCGTCGGCGTAGCCCGCGTGCTGGGCATTGCGCCGGGTGATCCATATGTTCTTCTCGACTCTCTTGATGAGCTGGAACGGCGGCTGCGGGTGGTCTGGGTCCGCCTTTTCGGCTGTTGATGTTGACATGTTGGGTTTCCTTGAGTAGTAGTTTGGGACCAGTCACTTGATGGGCATGGAGATGTTGGGGTCATGGCGAACTCTTGCCATTTCTGAGAAAAGGTGATGCTGTCTTCTTTGTAGGTCCTCCTGGCACAGCATCGTCGTTTGCTCACCGGGCAGCGTCAACTAAAAGGGACCATGATCACGGTCGAAACAAAGAATAGCCCTATGGCTATTGTAGTCTTTCATTCAACGGTTGCCGCCTTGGCATTCCGGAAAGGGTCATAGAGTGCGCCACTTGGGAGGCAATTATGATGAGCGTTGATGTTTAAGTCATCCTTGGAATCAACCTCACAACGGTGTAAGTTGCTGAGAGTTGAAACCCGTTTCCAGCACAAGAGCAATGCTCAACAGACGAATATCACGAAATATTCATAACAAATATCCTGCATCCCGTCGGTCGAAACGTCTGTACAATCAAGGCAAACGAAGCAGCAGGCTTGGCCAAACGGGAGGAGGCATATGCAAGAAACATTTTTAGTCGTTCGCGCCGAAGCCGCATACTCTGGTGACACAGAGCGTTTACCCATACCAACAGCCATGGAATTCCTGGCGTAGGCTGGTCGCACGACTTCTGAACCCACCGTCATTTCTTTGTCGGCCTGTCGCATTCAAATTAGAATGGCGATAAAGATAGCCGAATGGCCGGGGTAATCCACGTGTATCCAGCACCTACCAGCGTCCACCCCGCAGAGCAAATTGGCCGTGGAGAAGCGAAATGTTGCGTCTTCCGAATGTGGGAGGCGATCAAATTTGACTGAGCCCTTTTTTGGGTCGTGTTGGCCAAGACCTGCCGTCTGATCCGGGTGCGTTTGTCGACGCATCCCTTGGAGTTGTTTCCGGAGGCTGGTGCAGCGGTGCTGTTAGTCGGTACTCCATAGCCTCCGTCCATTGGTCCCTTGCGATGTTCGGGCTATGCTTTGGGAGGGAGCTGTAAGGAGGCACTCGTCGCAGTGTGGCACTGTACGAATACTCCGCAGACGCGGCGTCACTCTTCGTTTCGATGATACTGCTTGCCATCCACCCTGCGTTCGGCCGAACCGTCGAATGACATAAATGGAGGAACAATCAATGCGAAAGAAGACGCACTGGCCATGTAGGAGGTAGAAGAAGCAGCAGAGGGCCAGAGGCAACCCCGGGGTCATGTATCCGCGAGCTCGCCGTCATGCATACCGTTGTATGGGCCAGGGCACGGCGTTTCAGCGAGACTGCTCCAGGCAAAGCTGAGCAGAGTTGAGACGGGATGCCCGTGTTGAAAGGCTGAGTATCCATTCTGGCTGCGACGACTGTGAACAGCCGGCGTCGTTATGAGTATAGCTTTGGTTCTGAGATAATTGTTTGCCATTCAATCGGGTGCCCGAGTGTTGGGTCTAACAGAGTCAGTTGTTAACTTCTATTGCACTTGCAAGCCACATCGGTTAGGACCGAGAAGAGGCCTCGTGGCCGGCCTCATCTCCACCGCACCGGCGCGACTCTACCTAGTGTATTGAAAAGCTGACGTTGCAGTTTGCGGGAGTGGTTAGCGACAAGTCCACGATTCCTCCAAGCTTCATTCAGGACGGTCGAAACAACACGACCACAAGTGAGTAAGAAAGGAACAGCATTCCCGCCAGCTTCCCGCCGCTTCGAGAGGCGCAGGACTTGGGTCGATGGTTGGATGGGTGAAGCGGGCGCGTCCGAGCCGCGGCTGTAAAGATGAGGCCGCGAACTATGAGGCCATGCCGCCATGGTCAATCTCGAACCAGTGCCTGTCTCGAACAGAGCAACTGGCAGGCTTGGTGCGGGACGAGTTCTTCCATGGGTTGAACGCAGGAGAAGACGCACAACATGAGAGGCTGAGGAGGCACGGCAAGGCACAGGTGGCGGAGAGACAGGAGGAGGACTGCAGGAGAGGAGGAGGAAGAAGGCCGACGGAGAGGGTACGTACTATTGTACACTGTGAGAGACTGTGGAAAGTTGTGGGGTTCTTATCAAGGACTATAATTGAGTTGAGCCAATCAATGGCCCAGATGGTCACGGGAAACGGGACCTCAAACGCTCTGTTGGTGCACTAAACCGAATTGGTCGACTTTGTGACATGGTACCTGCGTTAAAGGCCGCGCTTCCGTTCGCTATTGCTCCACAAGCCTCTCCTCCTCCCAGTCTCTGGGCAGTGGGCACTTTGGGCAAGACCCCTCGAACGGTGGACGCTTTCCTCGAAACCGCCAAACTGCTCCCCTTCCATTGCCCATGTCTGCGTGGCCGCGACTCTGCAACCATCAGCGGCAATCATCAATTATTGGATCATCTTACCCAAAAGGCCCCCCTTTCCTTCCCTTTTGGCACTGACCCGGTGTCTTGACCCTAGTCAGACTGTCAGACCCCCCCTCTCGCAGATCACTCTTGAAGGCCTCCACTCCCCTCTCACTCCTCTCAGAGACTCTCCCTCACTCAAGGGTCACACGCTTCAACCTTCTGTGTCTTGACCACGCCACACACATTCCTCCTTCGAGCTTCACGAAGCACTTCCATGGCCTCAAGAGTAAGACTCGACGTTTTCGACCGAAACATTCCGATCGTGCGAGTTATCCACGACGTCCGCTCCTTCTAGACTCGAGCTTTGAATACTCACTCACTCACTCACTCACTCAATCACTCGCATTGCGCACTGTAACTCTCTTCGCCCATTTCGACATCCTGAGACTCAGCCTTGCAGCCCACGGCGGCCGATCAAACGCGGATATTCACCCACAACCAGAAAACCGTCACCGCCTAACTTCAAGTGCTTGCTCGACAACAGTACTGACTACTCCGTACTTGACCCCCATTCCCCGGGTCTGTCAATTTCCACCACGGTCGACCAGCCGACTTGGCTTTTGCTCGCTGTCGTCACGTCGCCACGAATCTTCACCAAGTCTTGATCCACCCTCAAACGCCCGGTCGCTCGACCATGCCAGCTTGACAATCGCGCGGTCCGAACTCTTGCGTCGCACATTCAGCCCTTTCTTCCTACCCTGGGACCCACATTCCGTTCTCCCTCTCGTTCAACAACCGAATCTTCTTCCTCTACTCCTTCGGCTTCGTCCCGTCTCAAGTATCGATCTTTCTCTCCTGGTCATCACCAAGAGAAACACTGTCGATTACTTCGCGGGCGAGTAACGACTTGTGTTTGCGGCAGGTCCGGGTTGCGTTATCACACACTCATTCACACGACAATTGGTCCTTCGGCGACCATCACCCTTCTTCTTCTCTTTTCCGACTCGACTGTGTCGGGATTCATCAATACAACTTTGACAATCGTCACCCTCGTCATTTCACCGCCGCCCACTCCCCAAGATGGGTTGCCTCACTCACCGCAAAAAGGTCATTGACCAGCGTGCCGAGCAGAAATGGGACTATATCGTATGTAGAACCTCATACGGTACAACATCCTTTTGGTGCTAACCTGTCTAGAACCTCAACGACTTCAAGTCACGAGGATGCCTCACTCCGTTCGCGTACTTTTACCTGTGGCTCATGTTGATCATCTCCCTCGCCGTCTACGGCGTCGATATGTTCACTGCCATCAACCTCCTGGCTTTCGACCGCTGGTCCTCCGAAATCGACCCCGCCATCGACTTCAAGATCTCCAAGTGGATCTTCTCCATTTCCATCATCGCCTCCTTTGTCAATCTCGCCTTTGAGCACTTCCGGGCGCACCGCGTTATGAAGCGAGGAAACGTAGCGGAATGCTACCTCGACACCATTGCCGTTCGCCTCGAGAGTATCCGGTTCGGAAAGGGCCAGGGTTGGAAGCGTTTCTTGGTCTTTGCCGAACTCACCAAGAGTAAGAAGGGAGCCGAGTATATTGCTCTGTTCACCTACTTCAGCTTTCAATGTAAGCCAATCCTACTTTCCCATCGGGGCCGTTACTAATCTTATGTAGCCTGGATTCGCGTACTGGTCTGTTCCGGACCTCGTCAGGTCGTCAACGCATTGACTCTCAAGTCTGTCTACGACGCTAAGCTTGCTGTTCACGAAGTCTCCGTCGAGGGCTCTCTGCTGGGTTTCTTTGATAAGATTAAGACGCTTGCCACGGAGGATTACCAGCAGGCTCTCATCCTGTCGGGTATGGTCTTCACCCTACTCATTTGGGTCTTCTCCGCTCTCTACCTCATCATGGCTGTCCTCTTCTATGTCTTCTTCCTCTTCCACTGGATCCCCAAGGCCGACGGAGGTCTCTCGGGCTACTGCGAGCGCAAGGTCACCAAGGCCCTTATGAAGATTGTGACAGTCAAGGTCAACAAGGCATTAGCGAGACAGGAGGAAAGCAAGAGGAAGGCAGAAATGAAGGCGGCCAAGAAGAACGGCGAAAAGATGCCCCTAGAGCGACAGGCCACTCTACCGACTCTACCCAATGTCGGAGACCCAGATAAATTGGCCGAGATGCCCATGTTTGGCCGCAACGACACCTTTGCGACACTGCCCGCCTACGAGTCTCGTCCCGGAACCCCCGGCAGCATCGAGCTCAACTCCATGGACCAGAAACGCCCCCTGCCCTCGAGAATGGGCACCACCACTTCCACGGCCAGCTACTCGTCGCGCGCACCTCTTGTTGGCGGCGCTGCCGACTTTGGATACCAGCGCTCAGGTTCTCCGGCTCCTTCTCTGCCACCCATGGACTTGAACAACTACCCTCCTCAGCGCCCTGGCACCTCCAACTCTCAGAGGAGCTTCCGGCCTCAAATCTCTCACGTTCAAACCAATTCACAGAGTTCTCTCCGTGGTGGTTTCACTGAGAGCCCCTCCACATACTCTCCCGACACGATGCCACCCTTCCCTCCGCCTGTGAGATCCAACACTGGCCGATCGGTAGAAAGCTTCAGATCGCAAAGACAAAACACTTACCAGAGTGATCGTGGCACGCCGGCGCCTAGAGGCACCTACGATGACTACTCGAGCCAGTCGAATGGACGGGCTAGCCCCGCGCCCTCAGCATACTCAGGCCGCGCTCCTGCACCCATGCCTCGTGGCCCCGGTCCGCTTAACAACACCCCGTACCAAGCGTACCAGCCTTTCAACCCGCAACGGAGTGCGACTGGCCCGGTTCCTCCGCGAGGCCCGCCGAACGCTCCCACGCGGAACATGACGGCGCCCGTGCCCCCCCGGCCACAGGACGACTACTTCAACCGTCCCGGCACATCACAGAGCCAGCGACCGAGCCCTCGCGGCCCGGGATACGGCTACAACAACGATGTAGAATCTCAGAGAGATCCGCGGTACTAGGGGTACCGTGCTCCTTTCTGAGGCTCTTAGATCGCGTGCGCTTATAGGGTTATGCGGCTACGTCCCGCAAGTTCTTTTTTTCATAATGTCTTTATGATTCAAAAGGGGTGTCTACTTTTGCGCTGGGAACAAGCGCACATTTCACGAAAGGCCTTTCTCGTCATTTCCTCTTCGTCCTCGCCCAGCCCTCTCACACTTTCTTCCTACTCGGAGAACACAACAGTGTCGAGGCTGAGGTTGAGGCAGCTCCTCCGTCTTTTTACGACCATCCTTTCGATACCCCCCGAAACTTTTCGCTTCGTTCTCCGTTCGTCCATGTACTACTAGGAATTTCAGGGTCTACTGGCTACAGAAGTGCTCCAAGAGCCGCTAGAGAGAGGAAACCGCCAAAATCCAAATGTACTTTTAAAAACTCAAGAATACCAAAGTCTGTTGATGACAATCCGATGTTCACACTTTCTGTGATTTCGTCTGCCTTTGTCATGTTCTTCATACTTGACACTGTATTTACTAACATCACCCGCGGCGCCAGGCCAGGGCCCCTGGCAAGCTCGCAACGCCAATGCAGGCGATTAAAGTTTTGGCCCCGCTTCCCCGATGTGATGACCCCTGGCGCAGTCTGACAGTGCCAAGTAACTGTCTTCACCAGCTGCCAACCTACGTCAGGCCGTCAGCTTTGGAATCCCGCCTTCGCTGATCACGACATGCGCCCTTCGGTGCTTGATTTGTCACCCGGAGATGTCAATTTCATCCTCCAGGGCTCATACAGATGCGCTTACAATTCATCTTGTGATGTTGGTGATGATTTCTAATGACGAGATAATACTATACCTTTCTCACAATTCTCATAATCCAATGCAAACAGCGTGATCACCTGCGAACTAGCACCCTCAATACACATCTCATATGAACCATAGCCTCCTCCTCACAACCCTCCTCACTTCACAACTCCTCACGACATCACCCCTCTTCCTCTTTGATTCACAACCACAAAAATCCAACACCATGCCAGGCAGAACAATATCCTTCCACCAAGGCGAGCTCGCTCTCCACGAGCAACTCAAAATCCCCCGCCACAGAGCGAACCCTACGGCCGCGGGCCTCCCGCCCTCCTACGGCAACCGCATCGCCGCCGCCCCGCTCCTGGCCCTCGGCACCCTCGACGCCGAACGCCGGCCCTGGACGACGCTGTGGGGCGGCGAGGCGGGCAACGTGGCGAGGCCGATTGCGGAGGACGTGCTTGGTCTCAGGAGCATGGTTGACGTTGTTGATGATCCGGTGTTTAGGGCTCTTTGGGGGGCTGAGGAGGGTGGGGAGCAGCAGCAGGAGTTACAAGAGGTAATTCAGCCCGGGAGGGGTCCGGATGGAGGGAAACTCGTCTCCGGGCTGGCCATCGACCTCACGACGCGGGATCGTGTTAAGTTTGGAGGGAGGATGGTAGCCGGGGCGGTTACGGTTCCCTCGGATGGTACTGCTGCCGCTGAGGACCGGAGCTCCTCTTCCTCCTCCTCGGAAGTACAAATCGCGGTACACGTCGAAGAGAGTCTGGGAAACTGCCCAAAGTACCTCAACAAAAAGGACGTCATCCCGCGCGCGTCGCTCGCCAAGGGCAGAGTGGAGCGGGAGTTGCCGCTGTCTGAGGAGGCCGTGGAGGTCGTGCGCGGGGCGGATATGCTTTTCCTCACGAGCGGACACGAGGAGGGAGGGGACGATGGCGGCAGTGGCAGCAGTATGGATACGAACCATAGGGGAGGGTCGAAGGGGTTTGTGAGGGTTGCGAGGAACGATGAGGGTGGCGTGGAGATTGTGTATCCTGAGTGTGAGTTTTACCACCCCCTTTTTTGAGTCATTTACATCCGGATCGATGGTTATGATGAGAGGCTAATCATGGGCACTTATAGTTTCCGGCAATCGGTTATATCAGACGCTGGGGAACCTTAAACTGAACCCCTTGGTCGGGATCGCGATACCAGACTTTGAGACGTCAGACGTCCTTTACGTGAGTATTACCCCATTTATCCCTAACCTCACCTGGAACCTGGAAGAATATGAGGCTAAAACTTGGAGGTGGGAAAAGCTCACGGGATCGGCATCGATACTCGTAGGACAAGACGCGGCAGCCTACCTCCCGCGCACGAAACTCGCCGTCAAAATCACCGTGTTGGCTGCGGTCTTTGTACAGTCCGGCCTACCCTTCTCCGGCACCCCTCTCGAGCCATCGCCGTACAACCCACCCGTGAGGCCGCTCTTCTCCGAGCAGCAGCATGTCTTGAGTTCGTCTGCGGAGAAATCAAGAACGGCCACGTTGCTGCGCCGCGAGATCATCACGCCGACAGTTGCCCGCTTCGTCTTTGGCCTGGAGCCCGCGGCGCAGTGGGAGGCGGGCCAGTACGTCACGTTTGATTTCGCGGAGGAGCTGGATGTCGGGTGGAGTCACATGCGCGACGACGAGCCGCAGAGCCTGAATGATGATTACGTGAGGACGTTTACGGTTTCGAGTCCGCCTGGAGATAATGAAGGGAAGGAGTTTGAGATTACGGCGAGGAAGAATGGTCCGGTTACGAATATGTTGTGGAGGTGGAATTTGAGGGTTCCGTTGGAGGTTCCTGTGCTTGGGTTCGGCGGGGAAGAGGCGTTTAGGATGGGTAGGGGGAAGGGGAAGAAGGGTGATGACGGTGGTGATGATGTTGAAGAGATGTTTGTTGCTGCTGGTGTTGGGATCACGCCTTTGATTGCCCAGGCTAGTGGTGTTTTGGAAGCTGGGGTGAGGATGAAGGTGTTGTGGACTGTTAAGGGAGAGGACGTGAAGCTGGTGAGGGATGTTGTTGGGAGGATTCCTGGGCTGGCTGGTGTGTTGAGGGTATTCGTGACGGGTGAGGTTGGAGAGGCGGAGGAGGCGATGGTACGAGAGTTTGAAGGGTTTGGGGCTGTTGTTGAGAGGAGGAGGATTAGGGCTGGCGATGTGAAGGATGGCGGTCTCAAGAGGAGGTACTTTTTGTGTACCGGGCCGGAGATGCTCAAGGTCTTGAATGGGTGGTTGGAAGGTGAGGATGTGGCTTTTGAGGACTTTGCCTTCTGAGGAGGCAGTACGGGATATCTTCAGATATCTATTTACTCCAACTGTCAAGCTATCTAGCAAAAGTCTCTAGCTTGATCTACCGAATAAGACAAAATAATCATTACTTACTGATTAGACATGGACAATCAGTACAAGGCACGAGAGGCGAAACGAATCATCTTCCTTTGCTATTATTTGTTAAATCTGATGTAGCGGACTTTGATCCTGACAACTCTCAAGTCTTCGTGTGTAGTTGTCCGTATGTTCATTTTATTTCTTAGTACACTTAGGTTCTGAGGAATGAACGTTTCTCTATGTGTGTTACGAGCTTGACCGTCTAAAGCATCCAGGACTCACTGCTCACATGGCGATGTCAGTTACTAGGTAAATAGTGTTGAGGACAATTGACCAAACGACACCTCATCACATCAGGGTAGAGCTGCTGGAACAGTCGGTTCACAATCCTTGGCAAATGGCGACAGACACTTCGTACTGTCTAATAAGGTTTCGTTATGAAGCTCTTGGATGTTGTAAGCCAATCTGGAAGAGCGGAGTCTGTTCAACTACCGGCAGCAAGACGTCTGGTTGAGACATTGAATCTGGGAGAATTTCTCGCTAATTGGACTCAGAAAAGGCATGATGACCCTATCACAGTTTCGGGATCGGTTGGGCAAGAATGAAGAATTTAATTAACTCGGAAGGCGGAAGGCGTAAAGGTAACGTCAAGTTGTATCATTGCTAAAAAGGAAAGAGCATTGGAAGTGTAAGCGAGAACCCGCACCTGCCTGCTCCAAGTCAACACAGTCGGCGTTGAAAACCTCACACCTGGCAGCAGCCGGCGCTGCCACTTTTCATCGCCGCGATCCTCAACCGCAAGCGACGATGCCACACGACTTTCCCGATTGCCGCCAAACCCCAGAGTTCTGGAACCCCATCCTGCCGCCGGATCGGTTCACACGTTGGCATCATCGCCTCTTCGTCTTCGTCTGCGATTGAGCGACACCCGCAACGGAGTATTTGCATTCGAGACGAAGTGAGACCAAGGCTCGAGCTTGATTGTCCCAGTTGAGCCTCAGAGTTGAGAGTCGAGCGGCATTCCCGACGAGCTCCAGCCAGGCGAGGAGTGCAATCGAGATGGTCGTTACCCAACGTCGAACTGTCAAGTGAGGCACAGCAAACGTCTACACTACGGACTCGCGGGATACACTCGCTATGGATACACAAGGTGCATGTGCTGCCCCGCCGTCAGGCTCTCACCGATGAACTGAACATGCAGCTTGGCTCATGCTCAGCTCGGCAGTGGGGAATCATCCGGAAGGCACGTCGACTTAGATCGAGAGACACCTCTCAATCCGGGACCCAACTAATACCCGCCTGCCTGCTCAACTGGGAAATCTCGATCGGTAGTGAGTGCGTGGGATTGAGGGCATCGTCGGGTCGACCGGTGCCCGCCAAACTCCAATGCGTGCAAGATGCCAGAGGACACAACTCACCCGACTCTCGCGTTGCAAACATTCCGCCATGATCCGGATCCGTTGTGTGCTCGTGGAACGGTGGAATGACACGACCAAAATCACCTTTTTTCGCTCTCGCCATTGTCTCCCGTCGCACCCCTGTCTCTCGGCCGATTCATTCTGCTGGATCGATCAAGGGGCATTCAAAGATCTGGCCTGGGCTCGTCCTGCGTAGCGAGACAGGTTGCTCTCTCAAATTCTCAATGGCCAACCACAGGCTGCCGGCAAGTTCCCGGAATACGGAGACTGGGGGATGAATTCGACAGAAAAAAAGTGAGAGATCTCGATGCGTGCTGCTTGGCCGAGCACAGACTCAGACGGCGCCATTGTCAACCTGCGTTCAATTCTTTCAGGGCAGCAACAGACATGGATGCAAAGGGCCAAATCCAGTCTACTTCATCGCACCAGCCAGCCGAGCGCACTTCCGCCCTGTGGTGTCTTGTACGGGGCCTGAGACGTCGTGTGCTTTGTGTGGTGTAGAAGAGCAGGCGATTCATTGAACTTGGTCGTTCCCAGACGGATGACGAGGGAACGGAACCACAACCACATCTCGATGTCGATGTTGAGGCCTGTCACCCCAAAGCCCATGTCAGAATTCGATGGCGACCAGGGGATTCTGAGCAACGTTTCTCCAGCAAAGAAAAAGCCCGATTCCGATGCTGGTGGCCGGACTGCGACGCCACACCAAGGTGTAGGTACGCAACAAGGCAAGCATGGGCAAAACATGCCACAAGTGAGCAAAATGCTCATCCAGGCGGGATCGAAAAGGGTGCAGGGGCCCATGCTGGTGGAATCGAGATTATGGGAAACCTGTTGCGGCGATCGCTGTGATCGCTGGGCCAAACGCAAATCTGAGCATCGGATTCCGCTCCGACTCATCACCCTGGCTCCCACACACACGCCCATCGGTCATCGCCCTGAGCGCCCATGCAGTTCGTCACCGATTGTCCTCAACGAGCGGCACTTGGCCGGAAGCAGCAATGCCATCGATCAAAGATAGCGACCCGAACCAGTCTGAGAGCTTGCGTTGACAACGGCTTAACATCAGGGACGCCTCCCCACGTCCCAAGTCTATGGAAGATGGCACTGCCGGCTGTTAGGCTTCTGGTACGAACCCCGCTGCACCACCGCTGCCGTCCAAACATGACGAGGTGACGCTCGTCGCCATCATTCCTCACCCCGCGCGAAGATGGCTCTCCATTTAGCGCATACTCTGTCTGGACAATAGGTATTCTGCACCTCGTCAAGCGAGCACCCCCCTGGCAAGCATCCAAATGGGAGCTCTACGCAGTACGAACCGAGGATATGGGCCCGACCTATTGGCAGCAGTCGTTGGTCCTTCCGCCATCTTTCGTTGATGTAATGGCCCATCTGACGACCAAAATGCTGACCAGGATTGGATGGTAACGCTCGCTCTGTTACGAACAAATCGGAGCAAGGGCCGTTTATTCTGCTCTCCCAAAGCTCAAAGACTCCTCCTTGCTGAGCTTACCTCACCAAGCTCACCACCCAGGCCAGCAAGCAGACGCCGAAGACTCCAAAGAGACCCAGACCCTTAACTTTGCGGCAGGCCGTTCCAGGTCTAAACCCACCCCCCTCTCCACACTGCTGCTCCCGATCACCGTGTTCCACGCATCGACTCGCGATCAGTCCTGCAACATTAACGATCGCTCCGCTTGCTGGTGGACAACGGTATCTCCAACCAGCCCCTACCGTTCTGCCACCGATTTTGCCCAAAGTGTACTTTGTACGTTTGCCTAATAACGCCTGTTGCACCACCCAACGCACCTTTCAGCGAACAACGTTCCGTCTATTCGATATCTTGGCTTGATGACCTTACATCCGTCCACAACGACCTGTCACTTTTTCCCTGACTCTGTCAACCAACGATTTACACTTGATATAGCAGCTTTCAAGCAATAATCTTCAAAGTCCCCGATCGACTTCCTTGCCAGCACATCCAGACATACGCATAATGCAAAGTGCCTAACCGCCTTACTCCGTACCATATCATCGATCGACAACCCTGCTCTCGCTCGCTGCTCGTACCGGCCAAACTCCCCCGGTCACACATCCCGCTGCCTCCCAGTCACCCGTCACATCGTCGCTTTATAATCACATTCGGCCTTCAGGCTAAGCCAACCTTCACAATGTCGATGCAAGAGTTTCAATACCCGGCCTCCTATCTTCAATCGCAGAAGACGGAACGCATTCTATCATTTCGGGCACAAAATCAAATGTCGTCAACCATGAATCCGTGGGAATCCTGCGCGCTCCAGGTACGTTTGGGACTCTCGACTCAGGCTTGCTGGCTCCGGTACTGACATCCCTTCTAGTACCAATTCTCCGAGGAGACTGAGCAAGTTGTGCGTGGAAAGCGTGGTACTTGGCGACAACCGCAAGCCGCCGCCGATCCCGTCATGTACCCTGGACTTTACTGCCCCAGCGGATTCGACATGATGAGCATTCTCGTAAGTACCCAAGTCGGCGATGGTTGTTATGGCAATTAACAATTATCAGCTCCGCGTCGCTGGAAGGCCCAACCCCAAGGTTGAACTTGGCGCAATTGACTGTTCCGTTGCTCTACTTCTTTGTGACCTCGAACAGCCCGACTGCCCGATTGTCTACGCCTCTGAACACTTCAGCATTCTTACCGGCTACAAGAACAGCGAGATTCTTGGCAAAAACTGCCGCTTCCTTCAAGCGCCCGGCGGAAAGGTCAGCAAGAAGTCTGCCAGGAAGCACATCCCCAAGGAAACCGTCAAGAGCATGCGCAAGGCTGTCGAGGCAAACGACGAGTTCCAGACCGACGTTCTCAATTTCAGGAAAGACGGCACTTCCTTTGTCAACCTCCTCACCATGATTCCCGTCCGCTGGGACTCCCAGCACTTCCGGTACTCTGTCGGCTTCCAGGTCGCACGCGAGGATTAATTTTCGGCAACACGCAACACGCAAACACGAAAGTTGTTTTTTCGATACTTCGTTAGCGACGCTTGTAAACGTTGGTCGCGAAGGCAACGAAACGTTTTCTTTACACAGGCAACAACTATGTCACGACTTGATTACGAGCGAGGCATCTGCTATTAGGCATTTACGATACCCACATTACACGCATGCGAGTTAGAGCCCACGCATCTCGGGACACGATACGACTCTTTATTATTATTATTATTATTTCCTTCATTTCCGGGGTGTTTCCGCGGCGTTTTCCACCAGGACACGAAGAACGATGAAAAAAGCGAATTACTATTGCATGGAGATCTGGAGTCACTTTTAGGTGCATCAAGACCATTATCAACCATCCGCGTCATTGGAGTTGATGGATGGCAGGGGAAAGCGAATTGAGAAACAATCCAGCTTCAAAGCATTTGGGATGGCGTATTATCGACAGTCGGCACTGGCCTTGACTGTACGTGGGGGGGCTTCTTGGGAATTTTCTATCATGTCCGCAACATGATATCTTGATCATGACGAAATGTTATAGCATAGCAGACGGCCCAAGGCCCTCGGCGAATTGAGTTACAGGCGTTGTATTTCGGGAAACACAACATTTTGGTTTACTTTACGACCTGTGATGATTGTCGCCTGCATCGTGACACTGCATGTACGAACACCGCACACGAATCAATGTCTGATAATCAGGGCTGCGTCGAGGACAATTCCACAAGTTGGATAGGTTATACTTGACGGCGCCCCCCTCACTTCCGACCATCATTGGCGTCATCAAAGACCGGTGAGACACTTGCACATGTTGCTAAACCCCAACCTACCTCAAGCTAAGAAAAGATTCGACAGCTCGTGGGAGGACACGGACTCGATCCGACAGGCCCTCTCAAGTGGGTGACAAAATGGGATGCTAGTCAACAAGATTATAACGCCTACTTACCTGCTTATTATGTCTAATGTTCTTATTCTTTTTATCACTTCTACTTTTATCGTTGTCTTTTGTATATCCATTAGAGAATACCCTTTAAAAAAGGAATAGCAATAGGGATCATATGAGTAGAAATAATAGGAAAGCAGCGAGCAAGGGTACCGATAGAGCGGCAGGCGATTTTGTCACCCACTTGCCTCTTTCAACGTGCAGTATGCAACTAACTGCGTCTGCCTGCTTGCTTCCTCGTTGCTTTTTCCGGGTGAGTTTCCAGACTAATGTACAAAGAAAGACGCCTCAACCGACTAAGGTAGTTCGGATGTCCATCCACAGAAAGACACGGCAGATCCGATAGGTAAGTTGGTTAGTCTTACCTAAGCTTACTGCTAAACCTCCTCAACCTCCCTTCCCCTCCTCTATGGTGCGCCGGACGTCCATTTGGGGGAGATTATCAGTATCATCAGATGAATGTCACGGATTGATACCCGAAAGTTCAGTGAGGTCATTTTACACTACATCTTTCTCACGTAGTCCGGTTCTCGCAATCTTTCTTCATTTTCAAAGGGTAATCCATCACATCTAAAGCAAAAGGGAGGCACCTTACCACCCCCGACATACCACTAACAAAAGTACTGGACAACAAAAGTCAAAGTCGCAACGCAGCCTCAAAAATTTCAAGATGCCTCTCCGCGGACCCGTACCGGTGAAGCTCTACACAAAGGAGAACAGCGAGTGCCTGAAGCTGGGCCCCATGACGATCTACATCTTCGAGGACGGGACCAACACGGATAACCGCGTCGGGTGCATGACGCTCGAGCTGCCGCCGGCGACGTCCGGCCCGCCGATGCATTGGCACCGGTTCCACGACGAGTGCTTTTTTGTGACCAAGGGTACGTCTTTTACTAGATCAAATCGGTGTTGGGGTTTCTCCCTCATTGATGTAGTTGAGTCGAATTAGTTTTCATGTTTAGACTGAATGAAGAGGGTTTGTTTCGTTGACGTTTTGATCGTGTTGCTGGCAATAGGGACGATCCGGTTTTCGACGCCAGAGGGGAACGTGGATGCCGAGGAGGGCCAGTTGATGGTCGTGCCGCCGAGGGCGATCCACACGTTTTCCAACCCGTCCGAGACGGACCCCGCAGAGTTCTTCATGACGTCTACCCCAGGTATGTACTCCTTTTATTGAAAATCCTTTGTGAATATCATCGTGGCAAGGTGGGCTAATAACATGGGACCTAATTCAGGATACTACATGGACTGTAAGTACTCGGAAGGGCCCAGCATCCCGAGGCCTAACCTCGTGATGAGTGTCATCTTGATGTGAAAAAAGCTGACGATTTGCGGTAGACTTTCGTATGATGGCCAAGGGAGTCGAAGAGGGTAAGAAGTTGTCCCGCGACGAGACGCAGCATCTCATGGCGCTGTTTGGAACGTTCCCGCCGGATGTGGAGTCAGAGCCGTGAAGTAAACTAGGATGTTGGGGTTTGAAGGGGATGAGATTTGGTGTTTGGAGAATTTGGGACTCATATCAGGTATAACTCTGATTAAGATATCAATGCTCACCCCTTCAGTCGGAGGGACCTCCGTCTACCAGTGTCCTCTACCGCCGCTGCATTTGTCTTCCCAGACGCCTCTTCCTTCTTGACGGCAGTCTTCTTGATCTTGGTTGGTGCGACCTTGGGCTTCTCCGCAGTCTGTTTTGAAGCCCGCTGCTTTTTGCTTGGTGCCGGTGCTTCGGCGGCGGGATCTGGCGTCTCCTCCTTCTTCACCTTTGCCGCCGCGGTGGGTTTTGCCTTGGCGGAACCCTTGGCACCTCGTGCTTTCTTGCTGGGCTTCTCCTCCTCCTCCTCCTCATCGCTCTCGTTCGCCTTCGCCGACCTCTTCTTCTTGGCAGCGCCCTTGGGCTTCTTGCCGCCGTCATCGTCCTCCTCCATGGGCTCCTCCTTTGCCGACGGCACAACCTGGCCAGTCTTTTTCTGCCGCCCAGGAGCATAACAGCTCGTCCGCCCGCCAACGGTAATAAACGCGAGCTTCTCCCCGTTGGGAAGCTCAGACGCGGCACCTTTACTTCCCTTGCCCCAGCGGTAATTGAACAACCAATCGTCCGGGAACTCGTCCGAGTCGCCGAGCTTATCGACGGCCGTCTGGCAGACATACCGCACGGCCTCGTACAACTTCTTCATCTCCCCTTCGTTAAAGGTATCGCAGTACTGCTCCGGGTGCAGCCGGGACTGGTACAGCACCTCGTCGGCGACCCAGTTGCCAATGCCGCTGATGTGGCTCTGGTCGAGGAGGAGGGCTTTGACGGGGACGTGGCGGGACTGCATCTTCTGGCGGAGGTAGGTCTCCGTGAAGACGTCGACGTCGACGACCGGGTCGGGCCCGTTTTCTTTGAGGGGCGAGTGGGAGCGGATGTCTGCGCCGGGGCAGTCTACGAGGCGGATGCGGCCGAAGCGGCGGGGGTCTGTGAAGGCGGCTGAGACTTTGGGTGTGCCTTCGGTCTCGATGTGGAATTTCCAGTATTTGGGTGGCCAGATGTCTGCTTCGCCTTCCTTCATCTTTTTGTAGTAGTTTGTGTAAGCCGTCTTGTCGCCTTTGATGTGGATCCATCCTGCGTGGTGTCAGTCTCGATACAGAGTACCTGAAATGAATAATTCTCATTACCTGTCATGCCTAGATGCATCACCGCATGAGGGGGCTTGTCGAATGTGATCCTGAGACGAAATGAGTGTCTTTCAAGAGCTTCTAGTTGATCGATAGGGGTCGACATACCAGAAATACTTTCCTTGACTTCCGACAGAGACAACCTTTCTCCCCTTTACAGCTTTCTCAAAGGCCGGACCGCTGGTGCCGACTTTGCCAAAGACATTGGCATCGTCAGGGGCAGAGACCTTTGCGATCTTCTTGCCTACAAGATGAAGGCGCAAGAAGTGCACGCACCGCGCGACTGGGAGAACATGAGCCAACTTGCATTTCTCGGTTCCATGACAGTCTTACCTTCAGCAATCTCAGGCATTTTTGCACTGTTTTATTGTCTGTCTCAGTTGCTTAAAGAAAGAAGATCACGGATGAGCGTCTCTTGTCTTCCGTGCTCCACGACGATGGGACTTGCTCACTGCGGATCCATGACGCAGACGCAGGCTGCGACGCGTCGAGCTCTCAACTGGGGACCGGCCATCCGCGCCGACCGTTCGCGTCGACACGTGATCGAGCACGTGAAGATATCACAGCTACACCTCGAGTGGGTCGTGGCCGACCGCCAGCTTCGCACCCCCACTCGCGGCTCAAAATTTCCCAGCACCTTTAAAACTCTTCCCTCGCAGACCACCCCAACCTCACGATCTTTTCTTTCCATACTGCAACACGCAGCAAACTGGCTGCGTAGCCTCGCATGACCTGGTAAGTTCTGCGCTCGCGCTTATTTCGTACTTTTACCTTTGAATTACACCCCCAATCCTTGGTGATGACAGACAAACACCGCAAACTAGAGTCTTTGACCTAAATGGAATGAAACCTCTGTTTTACACGTCAGTCTGATAGGACACGACAATGTCGCAAATTTGTTTCTGGATCATATGCGCTTCGCTTGAGCAAGTGGCTAACCAAACAAATTAGGCTTTGACAGATTTATTTCAATCTGACGCCGGCATCATTGAGCTACGTGGCTGCCTCGAGATGGCTTGACAAAAGGTACGGTACACTTCTTCCTCAACCTTCCCATTCGAGATCCGGATGATTAGTTTTTTTGTGCTTTGCACAGTTGGAATTACCGGCTGAACACTCTTGTTGAAAACAACTGGCTGTTTCTGATTGATCTCACTATCCCCCATTCCATTTACGCTTCTGTTCTCATCGAACTCCATAGCTAACATGGAAATCAGCCGTCTCAGATCCAATCTACAAGGTACATACCAACCCCTCCCTTTCCCGCTCTCCCATCATTACATGATGAAGCGGCACTGGGCTCCGAGAGTACCCATATGGGACTCGGCCATGAGCAGACAAGCCACTTTGCGGCAGGCCTAGAAAACCTCGCCCACTGATTTCGATCCGAACACTCAACTTGTCGGGAATACACCTTACTCTTCAGGTGGCTGACCCGTCTACAACAGTGTCGAGATGGATTTCGCTTTGCTACACAATTTCTGTGTCTTCTGCCAGTGCAGTACAGACACCCGCTTCCTTCCGGTCCAGTCATGGTAGGTCTCACATTTTTCTTTGCTGCCCCCCATGCCTTCCTGATGAGCAACTTAGATGACGAGTCTGATTTGGATCTTCCAATGCGGATACAAACTTTTTATACCATTCATGCAACGACTGAATTGGCTTCATTACACTACGTTTTGACTTGATGAGCATGAACATCGCTGACCGTCTCTAAGATCACAGTTTTACTCTGACACGGCTTGACCTGTTGACCAAAACGCACCATCGCATGGCTCAAGTGGTAAGTTCCTACCTTCCCCTTCACCCCTCCAGCCACCCACGGCTCCGTTCTCCTGATGAACGATAAACCAAAGACAAGCATATGTCAGAGCCTAACGGCGAAGCTGAGAAACGTTGACTACCAGTCATTCTGATCGAACACTTCACATTTGCATTCTTTTTTGGGAAATAATCGTGAATACAGTTGGCTAACATTCGCCTTCTAGAGCCATGTGGTGTACACCCTCCCTCACCTTTCTTCCTGCCGACGACCTTGCATCAGATGGTAAGCTCCTTTTCCATATTTTGTCTTCTCCCTCCATTCACCCTCCCGCGTCTACGTGATGATCATAATATATATCACGACGGTCTCCTGAGCCATATGCTTTGATGATACTGCCTTTGACAAGGCCCCTTACTGATTTTTGACGCTTCACACATTGTTTGTTCTACGAGTCGTGGTGTATTGCAAACACTGGCTAACTGAAGTTGTCAGATTCTTCATGGTTATACCTTCATCAAGGGCGCAAGCCAAGGTAGGTCTATGCCGTGCATGTTTACACATACATATCAATACAAGATACCCATGATTCCTCATTACTTCTTTGCCTTGCTGCTATAATGTGATTTGCATATTGATTTGACTATCCTTTCCGATCTTAGAACCGTACGAGGTTTGTCGTCTTGATGTGTGCTTCACGGTCACGATGCCAAGATATCCTGCCTGATAGAACTTCCGTCCAGTCCTTAATGGGAGAGATCTCTGCGTCCGCGACGTATGTCCATCTGTGACGATGTGTATTATTTCCTCGCATGCCTGCTCAGTAAGGACGCGAGTAGACGCACTTCAACATCATTGCCAAGACACATGTTTACTGCTTTGTATTCCAACTATCATTAAGGGGGTATCATTAAGTCTTCAACCAACACAAATCAAAAACATATCCAGCACATATCTGTAGTGCTTCTCTCCCATTTTTGGTCCCTTCCATGTTTTCATCCTTCACATCCAAAATGCCCAGAAACGCCCAACCAAGATGATTCTCAAGGCCGTCCACATGCTCTCTAGTTGCCAACCAAGGATGCAAGTATAATGCTTTGCCACGTAGACGATGCTCCAAAGTTTTATGATGACTTTTCAATCAACCACTTCCCATCGCACCAATCATAAACATGCTAATCGAAAGTGTAACAAATGCCACAAGAGGCATCATTGGTGCCTGGACCGTCGAGCTCCCGCTTGTTGGCGTCGACGTCGCTGTGAATAATCCCGTAAGGACCGTAGATGATGTGGATGCGGCAGGCTGTGTAGAAGTCGGGGCCTTGGTGGCCAAAGGCCAGTCACTCGAGGCACTGTAAAGCACGCCGTTGATGACTGTCCCCTCGCCGCGCTGGAGCATGCTGATCTGCTCGTCGCTGCATGACGCTTGCATGTAGCGCAGCCAGCAGGTGGCAGCAGGCGAGTCTGGCAGCTTATCTGTGTGCGTGGCGTGGGCATCGCCAGAGGTATTGTAGTTGGCCAGATTGACCTGATCGCCCGTCGAGATGGACGTGCCCATGATGACACGCGCAAAGACCTGGAAGGCGGTTTCGGGCTGGTAGGCTGGCACCGAGTGGCCGGCCTGGTAGATGCGGCTGAAGGATAGGTTTCCAAATTGCCTCACGACGCCGCCGATGTACGAGTTGTTGACAATGATAGGCGCATAACCGGCGGCGCTGAAGTTGCGTCCGTACACGGTGCTAGCTTGCCAAGCGAGAGTCGTCGACGCGGCCTCCCCACCCAGCCAGTTGCAGATGTAGTCACGATCACCGTAGATCAGAGCGACGCGGATACCGCGCTGCAAGAGACCGGCCAGTTTAGGGATCAAGGGTCCTCTCATGTAGTCACCCGTGCCAGAAAAGGCGGACAAAACAGCCTGACTCGTCATCGTGAAGTTGACGACGGAGCCAATGGATTGCTGAAAGCCCGCAGTGTTGACATACTCGAGATACGTACTGGGCGGAAACGAATCCGGGTTCTTGCGCGCAATGTCATACCAGCTGCGGCCGGACTCGGAGTACGGCGTCATGACATTCTCGTTGCAGGTCTGATAGGCCCTGGAACACAGGGTGTTTACTGTATCCACCCCGCCGGTGTTGTTGGCGTCGTAGACGGACTCGGCGGTGCGACATTGTTTGATCAAGTCCAGGCAGCCGCCCGAGGTGTACAAGCTGCCGTTGGCCAGGCTCGCGCGGACGTCGTTCATCGCTTTGAAACCGTACGTGTTGTTGGTAGCCATGGCCGGGTAGAATTCCGCCTGAACCTGATCGTCGATGCAGCCGTTAACAATGCCCAGGGACGTGAGGTGGACTTCGAGCGTGTTGTTGGCCGACAGCGTCCCGTTCTGCCGTCTCTCGTTTTGCTTCTCCCAAACATCAGAGAAAACAGGCCCGTACTTTCCGCCATAACTCTCAGCGAAAAGATTGATGCCTAAAGAGCTGTTGTTTGGAGGGTTGTACTGGGGAAATGCGCCCAAGAAGCCCTGAAGCATGTGCCATATCGCATACGCAGCCGTCTCGGTGGTATTTGCCGTGTTGTTGGAGTTCAGCGAGCTAAAGGTGCCGTTGAGAAACGTCGCTGGGAGCTGTCCATTGGGGACTGGCTGAGGCGGACTCGACTGATTCGCGTTGAACAGATCCATGGAGCCATTGGTGGCAATGTCATACGAGAAGCCAACTTGGTTCGGCTGGGGAGTGTTAACATGTTGCCAACGAGTGCTTACCGGACCAGAAGATGCCAGAAACTTACCTGGTCGATGAAGAGCATGTTGGAAGCGCGGTCCCATCCCCATTCTCGCGCCACAGTGTCGTACTGGTTCAGGCCCTTCTCAATAACCTCGCAAGGACCGACCTCGGTGAACATGCCAAAGAGAGAGCTGACACCGGGGCCGCCGTTGAGCCAAATAGTCATGGCCTCTGTAGGTTCGCGGGCGCCGATGAACCAGAAGAACATGTTTGCTGGGTAAGGGCCGGGGACGTTGATCCATCCTGTGTATTGTTGCTGGGTATCGTAGGCGGTCTTGCAGACACCCTTGGGCGTTTTGTAGCGAATGGTGACATTGCCGTCTACGGGCGAAGTGATTGTGGTGAGGTTGACCGAGGTGGAAGGGAATTGAGCATTGGCGAAGGCGGAGAGCAGGCCGGCAATGGCGAGGACGGAGTGGAAGAGGCGCATGGTGAGATGTCCCGCATCGTGTCCTCGGCGCATACTCGCGCTCAGGGCGATTGTCGTCGGTCCGGAGCAGAGACGATGCGCGGGTGGGAATGTTTTTGTCGAGTCGAGGCGATTCGAATCGATGATGTTAGCGAGAGTGACGCAACACGAGCGAGTTTGGTTTGGTGTTGTTTGGTGTGGTGTTCGGAAGTGGAATGCAACAAGTGCGATGAAAGTGAGGGAGGAATGTTGTCGGTTTTGAAGGTCCCCAGTGCCCCGTCGGATAGCGGCTTGGCAGACGTGCCCCTGCATTTAGCGCCCATTGTTTGGTGTCAACGGGCGCCCACAGGCCTTACGGGGCCCCGAACGCCTGCCCCATTGCCCGTGGGTTACCTAATTTAACATCAAGTCCACTCCACTGTCCACACGAGCAGGGCGCCCAGGCCCTGCTGCAATGGTATCACAGTGCTCTGCGAAGTACGGAGTACCTACCTAAAGTACCTACTTCGTACAGGCAGGGAACCTGGAACACGCGGCCCGCGGGGAGTTTACCAGGTTCCATTGCTGGCGGGATCGCCCAGCGGCCGGGGTCTAGGGCTGACGGCACCAAGGTTCCTCCTTCTCACATCTTTCACCTTCATCTCCATCTCAATAACCTGCAAGCAGTCAGCACGGCATCACAAACAACACAGCCAGGTGTAGCTTAGGTGGTCTCTCATAATACCGTGTTACCCGCAGTGGTTCACGCCTTATTGTTGGCTCGTTCGTCCCAATTCAGCCTGTCCGAGAGCTGACAGCTGGACAGCCTGATGATTACCTTAGTACACAGACAAACTCAACTCTGCTCAAGATGCCCTGCAGTCAACCGAAAGAGACGGTTATTTGAATCGAGATGAACGGCTCGGCGTAACATCTCCGGGAATTCTTGCAGCCGAGAAAGCTCTCGGCTCGAAGAGTCATCACTCATGTGCTTCCAGGTCAGCAACCTGCATGAGCTCATGCAAGCAAGGTACTTGCATCCTTCGGCATTTCGTTCACCTGCGCTCGGCTCGATTCGGGAAGCCTTGAGAAAATCAGTCCTTCTGAGATTCTACTAATCAGAGTCATTTGTTTGCTATACTCTGTCGACCAGCGAACATCACTACTCAGCTTTCTACAATTGTTTCAATCCCATATGTCACGGCCTTCATCAGACGAGTTATACGATGTGGCTCTCACAAAGAAACCCCGAGCCCCAAGTCTTCGGCACTTGTAGACAATGGCTGCGAGGACGACAGGCACACGGAACGACTTAGTACCAAACAGGCAAGGTTCGTGATTAGCCATCGCCAACGCCTTCCCAAAGCCATGCGGCTGAAGGCCATCGGTCAGGGGTAGTTTCCATTGACTCTATTCACGGAGACTTAATAGCTTTGTATCTCTCACAATAAGATATTTCCGCTTATAGTGTTTCCACAAGGCAGCTATTGCTTGTCTGCATATCTCAGTCGAAGTGAGATATCTTTTCATTCTGTCTCATAGTCCAATAGCTTCATACGGGGTTCTCTGCTCGGCGCAATGTCCTCCGACTCGGGTACAACACCCACGGACATCATCACCTACATTGGTGTTCCTCTAGCCGTGCTTGGTGTTCTCCCGATCCTCTACAACACCATTGCGACACTTGCCGCGCGATCTCGAATCAAGCGCATGCTCCGTCATGCCCGCCTGACAGCCCTCACACGCTCCGACGTCGTAAACCGCGTCATCGAGGTCGACCTCCCCCGCTACGCCGTCACGCCCTGGGACCGCTTCGATCACCGCGACGAGTACTGGTCCCTCGCCCGTCACCCTTCCTCCATCCCCGGCGGCACTTGGACGACCTTCAACTGGCGCACCAACACCATTGGCCTCAAGACGCAGAGGGTCGAGTACGCAGACCAGCTACGGCAACCGCAGGTCGATGTCACTTTTGACGAGCTGATCAGTTACCTCCTGGATCTTGGCGCCGTTCCCGATGCTCACGGATGGAGGCTGCTCAGAAGCACCGGGCTGTGGACTCCCGTCGGCTGTACCCTGATGCAGAGTCCCGATGGACAGCATAATGCTCTCACCATTGCGCCTCTGAACGACTCTGACGGTCATCTTTCGCTGTCTGTGAACTGGTCCTCACACTGGACCACGAGGAGCCATGAGTCTTTACCCCCGTACTGGGTCCGGCTGGTACCACTCCCTAGTCCAGCAGCCATGGCCATTGAGCAGAGCGATGAGAAGGATGCCAGCGACAATGTCAATGCAGAGCAGGAAACAAGCAGCGGAAGCATCAAGAAGAAGACGATATCCCCGTCATCCTCCGTCGCCAGCATATCTCGCGCCGGAAAATCCAACGCCCAAAACCCAATCGCCTGCAAAATCTCCTCCCACGGCCTCATAAGCGCCATCCCAGAAGACGCCGACCACCCCTCGACGAGCCTCTACATCGAGCACGTCCGCATCCGACCAGGCCACACGGCCGGCACATGGTTCGCCAGCGCCGCCACGGCCTACGGCACCTCGAGCGCGACCATCCTGTGGAACTACCGCATACCGGACGACGTCCTGGCCTTTGCGAAGGGCTCCTCCGTCCCCTGCGGCGTGCTCGAGGTCCTGGGCGTCGTCGACGGATCCCAGACGCCCGAGTGGGCGAGCTCGCACAACGACACGCGGGATAACCTCGATCTCTTGCACCGAAGAATGCGGGATCAGATGAACGCCATCGCGGCTGAGCAGCAGATGGATCCGGTGCGGAGGGAGCAGGCTGTGAGGGAGCGCATGCGCAAGGAGTCTGATCAGCACATGGACGATGGTAGGCTTTCCCTCCCCCTTATCTGCATGACTGAAGGTATTGGACTGATATCGAAAACTCGCAGTACGAGATAGAATGCGCCTCGATGCCCGTCGCCGCGAAACCCGCGCCCATGAAGCAATCCAATCCCCCAAATGGGACGCCGCCCTCGTAGCAACGCACACCCTCCCCTGGCTCCAGCAGCAAGGCCACTTACCAACAGACGACATCATCACCGTCCGCTCCGTCGCCGCGGGCCTCCTACACCGCATGCTCCTCGACGGCGCCTTCACCTCCGCCCTATCCGCCACTCTCGACGCGTGGAAGGCCTGGGCCGACAACGGCGGGATGCGCAAGTCGGACCTCGAGGCGCTGCGGGAAGACACCAAGGCGCTTGAGATGTTTGCGCTCGCGAGCGTCCTTGTTGCTGTTATTCGCGACGTCGGCGGTGCGGCGGAGGGGTCGGTAAGTGGTGATTTGCAGGAGTGTTTGAGGATGTGGCGGCAGGTTAGGTTGGGATGAGGGACGGATGAACAGAGGTAGGGGACATCTGACGGACCTGTCACTAATCATGAATGAAATCAACATCTGGTTAATATGAATAGAAATACAGAAAAAGAGTTCCCACCGGTATAGCTACATCTCCCTAGTAATTATAAGTGCTTCTTTAACCCATGTCTCCTGGGCAAGCCCGAGGCCGTATTCGAGCAGGTATACGCTCCTAACACTACAAAAAGGCTAGAGAGAAGGTAATAGAGAAAGAAGAGGAGGGAAATAAAGAGGACGAGGAGGAAGACAAGGACGCAGAGGAGGCTAAGGAGGACGAGGAGGACGAGGAGGACGAGGAGAATAAGGATAAAAAAGAGAAGATGAGGGGGAGGGGGAGCTACGACTCTATAAGCTAAGGGCCTTTTTATAACTTAGATACTTACTATATACGGCTATATTACTATAACACCTCCCCCTCCCTTCATACTCTACCCGTAACTATAATAATATAGGCTGGACCTCCTTTGAAGATATCAACCTAGATACCCATACCCTCGCAGAATACGGCATCCGTGGGCCCCGCGTAACCCCCGGCGCGCCCGCTTCCACTACGCCGACTCCGGAAGCCTCTACTAAAGCTCGCCAGGACGTTTATCGACAGAGAGGTAAGTAATCCTTTTCAATCTCGTTTGGACTCCGGCAGCAAGGCAAGGTAATCATGTAAGAGAGGCTCGTGGAGTAGTAGTTTAGAGATTGATTCGAGCAAAACGTCAAGCGGGTTCAATTTTACTATAACGGCCAAGCAATATTCGTGCTTCAAAATAATAACCGTTGCATACCCGCCCAGCCCAGCCATTGTGTCCATTCTTTATTGCCCGTTTCCCAAATCCTTATAAGCCGGCCAAGGCCAATCCAAACTCCAACGCTTGAAAATAATAATACCAATAGCATCGCCAACACCCCCTTCCGATTACAATCGAGTAGCAAACACCTCAAAAGGCAAATCGAAACCGAGCTCTTACAGCTCATCATCCTGATCTGAATCGAACACAATGATATCGTCGTCGTCACCGTCGTCATCACGCAGCAGACTCTCCGGCAGCATCTGGCTCTTGGACAGCAATTGCGAAGAATCCATCTGGAACGTCCCCGGCGGCAGGTGGACCGGACTATCGTCCTCATCCTCGTCGTCCACAAAGATGGGCAGGCTCGAGTTGTTGTTCGAGCGCGTCGGCCGCCGCGGCGCAGACCTGAACTTAACGGGCGACTGGGAGGGGCTCGACGCCTGGCTTGCCGTCGTTGCCTGCGAGGGCCGGACCGCCCGCCGGGGGGTTGGATTGGGCGGGCGGCTGAGGGGCGTCGGGGGCAGAGCCGGCTTGGTGAATTGGGGGAGCTCTGTGCCGAACTTTCGAGCGCCGCGACCGCCGCGGTTCCTGGTCGGGGTCTGGCTTGACGGCACCAGCAGGTCGGCGTCGGAGGAGTGGTGCTGGGTGGAGTGCTCAATATCGCTTCGGAGTTGCTCGGCGAGCTCTTGGGAGACCGTCTGCTCCTCTGAGGGACCTCCGGCTGCCGGCAAAGACTCCTTCCTGCCGATTTCGGGTTCCGATACGGTATCCTCATCGTCTTCTTCGTCTTTACCGACAACACAGCAACGCAGGTTGGCCATCAACTGCCCGACGACGGCGGGCGGCACGTAGTTGTACTTCTGCGGTGGTCCGTGGAGCCAATCCAGGTCCATCATCTCTTGTAGGGACATCGGGTCATTCAGCAGGAAGACCTTCTTTAGATGATACGCAAACTTGGAACTGTTGTTCTGATTGAACTCTGCGTTGCCGACCCCATCCTCGTCAATCTCGCCAGGCGATTTGGCCTCGCTGAAGCAGGCCATGTACCGCAGTTCCGCAACGGGCTTCGTGACGTAAAGCCACATGCGGGT